AAATATGAATGGGTGAAACATTTATACATCTCTGACTTAAAAAGATAAAAAAAAAATAGCGTTAAAGAAATGAAAAGATAAAAAAGTGTTAAAAGTTGATCTTCTAGGTCTACTTGTATCTTTAGGGCAGGTAAAGTCGTTACAGGGAATATATTGTAAATTGCATATTTTATTTTAAAGTTTATTGATGACGCCCGATTGATCACTCAAGTCTGTCAGGTGTGTGGAGGTAACATCTATCAAAAGTCGTCTGCCATGCTAACAACATTCAATTATGATCAGAATTGAGCTTCCAAATTATCCATTCGTCCCGAAATGACCTAGTTTGTGTGAAGTGGACCTTAATCTCTCTCTCTCCCTCCCTCCAAATTATCAATTTGATGTATTTGCGTTAGACTCTCTCTCTCTCTCTCTCTTTCTCCAAATTATCCATTTGATGTATTTGCGTTAGACTCTCTCTCTCTCTCTCTCTCTCTCTCCAAATTATCCATTTGATGTATTTGCATTAAACTAGCTAGTATGGTGATTTTTGAACTTCAGTAAGATCTATGATGGGTTTAACTTATCGGCCTGTCTTCATTATCACGGTTCATTCGTGCAGGCAGAAAAGTATGATGTTAAAACCCATTTCATTTAACTTATCTGTTCTTTGTCACATGAGGAAATGTTAAAAATTGATTATGTTGGGTGTAGTTGATTGATTATACCTGTCTTGTGAGAAGAGGATAATTGTCACAGTGGAGCACTACAACCATATCCTCCAGGATCTGTCTTTGGGTGTAGTAGATTGATTATAACTGTTAAAAGATTTGAAGCTACTCATGGAAATTTGTTAGTGTAGATTGATTGTATCTGGGTATATTTGACACCTGCGTTGATTGATCACTGGAACACAATCTTTGATATAAAGTCACATTACCTGAGGGTGAAACCCTGTTTTATGAGACCTCAGGGTATCGTGGAGAAACCCTGGTTTATGAGACCTCAGTGTTTCTTGAGGAAACCCTGTTTTGTGGGACCAGTGTTTTTCGAGGAAACCCTGTTTTGTGAGACTTCAGGGTATCTCGAGGGAACCCTGTTTTTGTGAGACCTCAGTGTTTCTCAAGGAAATACTGTTTTGTGGGACCAGTGTTTTTCGAGGGAACCCTGTTTTTGTGAGACCTCAGTGTTTCTCAAGGAAATACTGTTTTGTGAGACCGTTATGTTTCTTGAGGAAACCCTGTTTTATGAGACCTCAGTGTGTCTTGGGGAAACCCTGTTTAGGGACCTCAGGATGTCTTGGGGGAAACCCTGTTTTATGAGACCTCAGGATGTCCTGTTGATGGGTCTCTTTTTAATCTGATTGATTACCAAGTGTAGCACTTTAATGGAGGGTCATGTAATAAGAGCATCGGCAACATTACTAAGTGTAGCACTTTAATGGAGGGTCATCGGCAACATTAACAATTAGTCTTAATTATTTGTTTTATTGTTGAATAATTAAACCTAATTGATTTAAATCCCTGCCATCCAATGGTCTAGAGAGTTGATTATGGGCTTCTCATGTGAATAAATGTCTAAATAATAGTTCATACGATTAGAAACCCAAATAAAAACTTTGCAAATGGCAAATTTAGCTCTTACATAATGCATCTTTAAGCTGTAAAAAAATTTAGATAATATTTGAAAAAATACAAACGTCGATTATTGCGACGATTATTGCGTTTATATTATTAGATGTGATATGAAATAAAACAGACCGTCTAATTTAAAGATAATGACGTTAATATATATATCAGCAAGTATAGTGAAGATGCCTACAGGCGCAGTTTGACTAGACTCTCGATATTTTTTTTTATTTGAAAATATGTTTATGCAATGTGATGAGTCATTTGATGGATTTGAAACAAGGTATGTGTTTTAGTAATTCTGGAGAAATCCAAGCGTGTAATGGATTAAGCTTATGGTTATGAAAGAGTTTAAAGAATTTTTACAAATTATAAGTTTTTTGTGTCTAGTGTGATTGAATTGACGGAAGTTTTTGAAAGCAGAAAAGTATGATTTGTAATAGGTGAACGAACATTGTGTTTTATTAGGTAGGGTGTTCTTTTTATCTCTTTTGGAAAATTTCATACCACTTATACTCATAACATCTCTTATAACGTAGCGTGGAAGTAAGGCACTAGTCACAGACATCTTCAGGAACAAACTCGGGATTTGTCAGGCACTGCATAATTTCATCCGAATGACTGTCAATTTGGAAGGAACAGATTTATCTTTTTTTCTGTGTTTCTATTGTAAAGAGATAAGTGTTCAACACAAAGTTAAAACTGATAGGTACAACAGTCCTTTGCGTTTATGAAATCGTGCGGGAGCAAAAAGCTCCTGTTATAAACTCTTATCATTATATTGCAAGAGCCAAATTGTAATTATGCTTTAGTCTTGTTTAATATTCTCTTATGGATGATACTGCCTTACATGCATGTAGTTTTAAAATAAACAAAAACTGAAAGTAGTTTATTAATCTCAATATTTAGGAGAGCGATTCAGCTAATTTGCAAGAGTCTTTAATGACTCCTGTGAAAAAAAGCAGAGAGGAGCCGGAGCAAAAGTGCACTTTAATAAACGTGAAGAAGGACTTGGTACAGTTAAAAATATTAATTCCAGTTTGACAAGTTGAATATTAAATGGTTATGATATTATGGACAGGTTGACAAGTTGTATATTACATGGTTATGATATTATGGACCGGTTGATTTATATTTGAAGGAGTTAGTGCATAATGAGCTTATTGATTTATTTCTTTTAATTGGATTATATAAGAGGTGAACTATTGTACTTGAGCCATACTTGTCTGTTAAGGATCTGTTAAAAGGGAGTGGTGCTCGTTAACATATTTTATTTGTGGGCAACAGGTATCACTATGAATCTTTGTTATGTAAATGCTTGTTATAAAAATTACCTGTTGGATCTCTGAACACTGTTATGAGGAAATTATCCCTGTTAAAATAATTACCTGTAGGATCTATGAACGTTGTTGTCTAGTGCTGCTTGTTATTAACAGAATTTATGTATGGAATGAGTGAGTGGTGCTTGTTAACTGATTCTATCAAGGTGTGTTTGAACAGTGTTATATAATGAGTGAGAAATGCTCGTTAGAAAGATTTCACACCTGTAATTAAGATGATGTAAGCCAACCTTTACCTGCTTGTCAACACGTACTCACATTAACCTTTTAAAACCAGATTTATTTTAAACTTCCTCAGTTTGATTAAACAGATCATAATGAAGAATTTAGTTTTAAACATTTAATATAGAAATGAAATAGTTGGTAAGTTTGATGATGCTTAAGGCCTACTCCAACAGGCTTTAAAGTAGCTAAGTTTCTAACTCAATATCATCTAAAGTCTTTCACATTGAAAACACAAATTATTTGTCTATTTAAATCAACATTGATGTTGTGATCTTACCGGGAAAATATGGACTTCTGATATCTAATATTTAAGACAAAATAAACATTTTACTATTGGTATACGAATTGTGTACCATAATGTGTTTCAGCGCCATTTGTAACAAGGGACTTAAAGAACGAGTCTAGACATATTCCACAAGTCATGTCAAATGGTGACGCCATATTCTTATCTGCAGAGCATGTGCAGTAAATACAATTGGCTGGAATAAACAGACGCTAGAGATTGCCATTCTATTCAGATTTCTGGTGTATTTCGCCGAACATAACTGATTTGAAATTGGAGTAAAAACGGAAACGATTGAATGTAAATCAGTTTATATACATTCATATTACATTATTATATACGTTGCGACCCATTTTGTGTCAATTTCTAGCTCCCAAATATTAGTGATGAATTTTTTATGTCTTAAACTATGCATTTCTCAAAGCTTACTATATACACAAATTGCTTATTTGGTATTTAATTAAGATAACAAGTTCAAAATGTCAACAGAAGAATCAATGGGATTATATAGTGGCTCATAAAAAGATTTTAGCGAAAATCCTAGGTGGCGCTGTTTACTATATCCTATACATCTTCTGCAGTAAAAAAGATTCCTTGGCAGTTGGAATTCCACAAGTACTTGGGAAGACTGCTGTCCAAAAAGAAAGAAATGCACTAAGAACATAATATGCCCCTCTTCACTATAGCCTGTGAATGTTTAAGTCTATTTCATAAAACTATCCTCTGGAATGGTCGCTACCTCGCATGATTTCAAAAGTGCAAATTGACTTGGATTTTAATTAGGCCTGACAAGGACAGCTGTCTAGTCCTTCGAATGAGACGAAAAACTGAGTTCCTGTGTATACATTGGAATGCACGTAAAAGATCCCTTGGCAGTTGGAATTCGATATAAGAGTAGGCGATAATGCCGCTGCCTGGGCAAAATTTCCCTCATAGCACACTGTATGGCGTATGCCCGTCTTCATTAGCCCAGGTTAGGAGCAGAACAGTAGGACGTTAAACCCCATTTCATTTCATTTTGGATTTTAATTATGGTTTTAGTGACAATTCTTTGTGTATTGTTATGTCTCGGTTTTGTTATTCCGTTCTCCTGTTTTGTGTAATAAAAGCTGTGAATAGCGTAGAAGAGAATTATAGATGGTAGTGTGAACCTGTGAAGACGAAAAAATCATAATTATGGCACTATATTGGGCACTAATCGATTCCGTTACAAAAACTAAATGGAAACTTTGTTCATTTCGAACTTTTGGTATTCAATTGAATTAATCAATAATGGAGTGGGTAAGAAGTTGCGAAATGTCTGAAAGTTTTTTGGGATGGAGAGGAATGTTGCAATAAACCAACCTGATCTTTGGACCGAAAGTAGATTAGGCAGTATGAGTGGATCAGCATTTAGTGAAGCGTACTGTCTACAAGTAATTTGTTGCTAATGTCTTTTTATTCAACCATCGATTGATTCCGACGTCAAAATGTCTTCTTGTTCATGATTTACCTATTAGTAACAATCGTTTATTGATTTTTTTTATTTATTTTTTTTCATTTCAGAATTCGGCTTATAGAATTTAGGATGTATACAAGCAGTGTTTAAACAGGAGTAGTCAACAAGTAATGGACTAACATTCCAGTGAATTATTTCATTCATTCCATCGAGCATCATACCAGGTTTCTACAAAACAGACGCCTTGGTAACCCCGCCAAAAAAAAGACAAAATGGTCGCCACTCAGGAAAAGTGTCGTTTGTGCAATTTATTTAAACCAATTATAGGATTTTTAGTGTTGTTATTCGTTTGTCCAGGATATTCGCTTGGCAACGATAATTTACTCAAAATAGTGGATGTAGCTGTGAATTCTGGGAAATTAACAGGCGATGTTTCGTTAATGTGGGGAATACCTGATGCAACAGCATATGTTGGACACTTTTTTAACTATACCATACCCAGTGATGCATTTAAAGGCCAATCTCTACAATATAAGGTAGGTTGCCAGGCAATTTCATCTCTGTTTTACATCTAGAAATGAGGGATTCCATAATTGGTAGATATGTAGCTCCCTCCTAGCCAAACGATACTTGCCTCTACAGCCCGGGGGATTGGTTGGCCGAATTGTTAGTGTGTGAACGCTGCATCATAAGGTTTGTCATTAAGTCAACTGGCCTTGTTTCTATTCCCTGGTTGTACATGACAGGGAGTCGAGTCGCCTGCCCAACCTCGTGGGTTTTCTTAAGGGTCCTCTGATTTCTTCCCTCTGCTAAAGACCCCGACACGCAAGCGAATTATTGAAATAAAATTAAACCATATGTTAGTCCCGAAATGACCTAGTTTGTGTTGAGTGGACGTTAAACCCCATTTCTCTCTGAATTTTTGGCAGAACTTGAGTTTATCTCTAGACCCCTGTACTCAACTAATAGTTGAATTAAAATTTTAAATGAATAAAAAACATGTAGGCATGTGGAGGTTCACCATGGCCATGTGACCGTGATATTTCATCCCAAATCAGATAAACATCTGCTTGCACACAGAATGCCAGACATCGGCTAATAACAGGAATGTTATGAAAGTTATTAAAATGATTTGGATAAAATCATGGCAAATGGGCGTGATATAATGGATGTGTAATTCCACTCATTTCTTTAAAACAACGAGAAGAATAAACAAACTATCTGCCGTGACATGGTGTCATGGTTCCACCCAATTTAGTTTTAAATGCATGTCAGCGAAATTTGACTCCTAGCAAATTTAAAATACGAATTACTAAATTTAAAGTGGGTTTCTGTAGAATTTTTTAGCAAGAAATTTAAAATACGAATTACTGATTTAAAATGGGTTTCTGTAGAATTTTTTAACAAGAAATGAAATGAAATGAAATGGGGTTTAATGCCCTTCATGTCTGCTGCAATCGAAGTAATGAAAATCGGTTTACTCCATACAGTGGGGGGGTTGGATGGTCGAATGGGTTAATGTGTTGGGGAGACATGGTGGCTCAATGAGTAAGATGTTTGCTCACTAACCTGGAGGTCCCATGTTCCATCCCTGAGTTGGCCAAGAAAGATCATTGGGATTTTCCAGCATGGATTCTCTGTGTCAGTGGTGCAAGATTGAGGGCCTGGCAAGGGACAATGTATAGTCGTTCGAATGGCATGAAAAACTGAGGTCCTATGTACACATTGGCGTGCACGTAGAAGATGCCTTGGCAGTTTGAGTTCGACATAACAGTAGCACAGCTGTCCGGGCAAAATTCCCCTCGTAACCCACAGTATGGCGTATGTCTTCATTAGCCCAGTGGGAGCAGAAAATTTGGACATTAAATTTCATTTCAGCACGTTAGATCACAAGCTCTGTCATTGAGTCAATTGGCGTGGTTTCGATTCCCTGGTCACCTGTCCAACTTTGTGGGTTTTTTCCTGTTCCTCCCACTGCCAGGGTTAGGGTTAGACTGCTACACGCAAGTGAATTATTGAAATAAAATTGAACCCCGAAATAACCTAATTTGCGTCAAGTGGATGTTTAACCCGGTTTCTCTCTCTTCATACATACGGTCTGTCTCTGAGTCAACTGGCGGGGTTTCGATTCCCGGGTTGTATGTGACAAGGAGTAGGGTCGCCTGTCCAACCTAGTGGGTTTTCTCCAGGTCCTCCTACTGCTAAAGACCCCTATGCGCAAGCGAATTAGTGAAATAAAATTGAACCATGTGTTAGTCCCAAAATGACCTAGTTTAATTAGTGAAATTTTAATTGAACCATATGTTAGTCCCGAAATGACCTAGTTTGTGTCGAGTGAACGTTAAACCTCATTTCTCTCTCTCTCTCTTTTCATACCGAGTGATATTTTGCTCTGACATGGTTCTTTAAATAATAGAATGAGGCAATATAAATATAAACCTGAGCTGTATATGTGAGGGTAATTTTATTCCCCAGCTGTGAACAACTTAAAGTGTTTTAATATAATCCCAGTTTCAATGGGGAAAGTCTAGCGGAAACAAGTCAGACGGTTCGACAGTAAAAATAAGAATCAACCACCTTCTTCATTCTGATATATATCAAATTATCAGCTAGCCATCGACCCTTAATTCATTGTCTTCAGATGGTATTATGTACATGTATATAAATAATTAAAATATCAGCCAAACAGATATAAAATAATATATACAATAGATTATAAAAAATGCATGGTCAAATGGATTGCGTTTCGACCCCAAGCTTGCACATGACAATAAGAAGTGACGTCGGCCCAACCTCAAGGGTTTTTTCTGGGTCCTTCACCAGCTAAAGACCCTTTTATTGTTGTTAGTCTAAAAAATATTGGGGGCTTGGCGGGTTGAATGGTCAAAGAGTGCATGTTCTATCATAAGGTCTGTCATTGAGTCAACTGTCGTGGTTTCGATTCACTGGTTGTATGGGACAAGAAGTAGAATCACCTGTCCAACCTCGTGGGTTGTCTACGGGTCCTCTGGTTTCCTCCCACGACGCGCAAGCAAATTATTGAAATAAAATTGAACATTAGTTAGTCCCGAAATGACCTAGTTTGTGTTGCTTGGACGTCAACCCCCATCTCTCTCTATCTCTCTCTCTCGCTCTCTCACTCAAAAATATCTACTGTGTAAACAAGGCTTGATGAAAACAATGTGGACTCCTTACATAGCTGACATACATTTGAAATCTTTTTTTTTTTTATCTCTGCACGAAATAAAACACTCAACCCATATTTACCTAATTAAATTCGTTTTTTCTTTTGTATTTTTCAGATAACAGAGGCTGGTAAAGATGTTCTTCCTTCATGGTTAACCTTTGACCCAAAGAAACAATTATTACAGGGTGTACCCTTGCCGTCTGAAATTGGACAACACTACATCGAGGTGGTTGCTACCGATAAAAATAACGCACAAGCTAAAGATATTTTCTCCATTGAGGTACAAGGTGAACGAATGAGCCAGCCATCTACAACCTTGACCTTTCAACGAGAAGGCCCGCAAACAGTACGATGTAAGCGAGAACAGTCGGAAACAGTAGTAACCATTATGTTGGATTCAAATTTGGATAAATTATCTGCTCACGAAAGATTAAATGTAATGAACCGATTTTCTGGTTACTTAAATTTGGCAGAAGAAATGTTAAAAATGGTTCCTGTCGCAGGGAAATCTCTTAATGATGCTTCTGCTCTTGTTGCCGGTCCAGGAAACACAAATGATCCCAAGGAACCTGGTGCTTTTGTGTCATGGAGAGTTGGCTGCGGAAAGGTTGAAGCTGATCACATGCCCATTCTTCAACAAATTGAAACTGAAGCTCAAAGTGGAAAGCTAGCTGAAGCTCTAAAACACCCGATTGTTGGATGGCATGTAACTAACAGTCGTTTCCAGGAACACAAACGACGCAAGAGAGCCATCAGAGCTACACCTCTTGCAACCGTAGGAGTCCAACCAACCATCCCTGTACCACCACCAAAAGAAACCATCATCATGACGAAACCTGGTGATGACATGACACGACCAGTATTAAGTATGGCTTCACCTACTTTCAGCATCCAACCAACAGAGACCACCCCCATGATGAAAACAACTTCTCCAGATGGTAAACCAACAAAACCAATTCCTGTCAAACCAACAGAAGGTCTCCAGCCATCCATACCAGTTCCAGAACCAACTGACATGGACAAGACGGTTCCTCTTCCCGAGGAAACTATCCACATCCATCCAACGAAGACTGATACACATGGAAAACCCACGGATCGACCAGCAGTTCCTGGATGCATTACTGACCAACCACCAGAGGTCAGCTCACCTCTCGGACGTCTTGAATTTAAAGCTGGAGAATTTACCAAGTTTAAAATCCCTGCCGATACCTTTTATGATTGTGAAGTTGGAAACACACGCGACTTGAAATTGGACATGCTGATCAACCATACAGTTCAAATACCCAGTGGTTATTGGCTTTCATTTGAAAGGAAGAAGCAGGTGATTAAAGCCTTCCCATCACTTAGCGACCAAGGCGTTCATAAATTCACCCTTTTGGCTAGAAAAGGATCAGGAAGTCTTCTTGTGACCCATTCCTTCAAGATCAAAGTTACGGGAGGTAAAGCTAAAGAACTCGAAAAAATTAATCATGAAATGAGCATTACTTTAGATATGGACTATGATGAATTCATGTCAAATGTTGACAATAGGATCGAATTTGTTAATAAGTTATCCAAATTGTTTGGTGATAAGAATGCTGATTCCATACAATTAACGAAACTAGAACGCGGTTCTGTTGTCATCAGTTGGACCAACACGTCGATGAGTGGTTCAGATTGTCCTGTAGATGACCTGAAAGCCATGGCAGATAAATTGATGAACGAAGATGGCACTATAAAAGAGGAGGCAGCCCGTGCTCTGAGACCTTACAAACTAACCCAAGCAGGATTAGCCCCTCAAGGAGCGTGTGAAAGAGTGGATGCATTCCCTAGAAGGTCATCGCCTATTGGAGAACCAGCTCCAGATCAAACTGATGCTCCTAAACCTACTGGTGGTGATGCTGAAGATACAACCAAACCAGCTGACGATACAAGCTCTGAAAATGTTCTTACAGGAAGTGCCAAAACAGGGGACGATATCTGGATCACCACTGTCGTACCTGCTGTTGTTATTGTCGCCATTTTGTTAATTGCGCTCCTTGTTGCTTGTATCCTCTACAGAAAGAAACGAAAGGGTAAGATGTCCCTGGAGGACAAACACACATTTGTCAATAAAGGAGTTCCAGTTATATTACCTGATGAATTGGAAGAAAACGAAAAACAGAGTGAATCCTGTAAACCCTTAATAATGCCAGAAGAGAAACCACCAATTACCTCCCCTGAATATCGTGCCGGGTCTAGTGAAGCATCAACGCCACCTGCCAATCATCGTAATGTTATGGCTGACGATCAATATAACATGGAAGTTCTATCGCCTCTTTATCAACCTCCACCCCCAGTCCAATCCTCCGGTGGCAATCGACAGCCACGCCCATACGTGCAGCCATCTTACAAACCCACTACCTACGTTCCCCCGTAAGATGTCCTCCACCTCACCGCAGTAAATAGTGCATTAAAATAAATTGAACTGTTGACCTTTTATGAAACTATGCAAAGGTGTTTTTCATACTGTGGCGATATGCGAAACGCTTTTCTTCTTTTTTTGTCATCGCCGTGTCTGCAAAGAACACAATCTATTCATCATAAGTTATTAATGCATGTAAATTGCCTTATTTGGTAGTCATGTGAAAGTTTCTTTTCTAACCTTGTGGGTCGCGTGACAGTATCTACTTTCAGTTTCGACAAGGAATCCATATTTTAAAATCATTGTGTTTTGGATTTTACATTGTGATATATTTAACGTATACGGTACAGCATTGATGAAAAATTACGATATTAGCTTCTATTTGATTGGATGAACTCAGGTGACTTGCATAATACTCAGCCAATGAGAGTGTTGCAGGAAATCATTTAGGAAAAAGAAAAACTTTACAAATAATTTAACTTTTAGAGACTATTTGGTTAAAGGAACGTGATTGCCAAGGAGAAGTAAAAACAGGTACTGAAGGTGTGGGCATTGTTCGAGTTTATCTCAAATGTGTAAGATTTTATATAGGGGAGATAACTCCAATAAGTATAAAAAAAAAAGAAAAAGAAGAGAGGATGAAGTAATATGAAAAAGGATTTTGCTTAGGACTAAAACAAAGCATGTGGCATTATTGTGCTTGAGTTCGAAGTAAAGAAATTGTAAAAGGGGAGATTACTCCAGATTTCAATTTTAATATAAATGTTTCACTTTGTTTATGTAAAAATCATTTAGAGTAGAATTCCCTAATTTAAATACCATTACATTTTCTGTATATCCCAGTCTATTTTTATAATCTAAACTTGTTAATATATTTTACACGTAACACTTTATAACACTTGTTCTTTCTGTTCACAAGATATTGTTGAGACTAACATCTTACCTTTCATAAGCCACCTGAGATATTATTTATAGAAGGAATGTTATGATTGGTTGACAGAATGTGTTGTCTGTTTCTATTGGATGCTGGAGTTGTTTGAAATTGATCGGCCATTCAAGGAATTGTCAAAATATTTAAAACTCTAATTTTTATGAGTTTTGAAATTTCTTTAAAAGGAGCTAGACCTTTTTGATTTAGGTTCAAATAAAATTAATGTGCCCAGTCTGATTAAAATACAGATCTATATTTCGTTTTGTGTTTTATACTTTCGATAGCCTACACTACATGGAGATGTGACCAGTTGTAGTGGGAGGTCGAGTCAGACGTCATACGAGTGGCTTTTGACCCTATGACGTTAGACATTTGATTAAACAATCAGCATTGATGTTTCGAGTGGGTTACCCACAGTTCCGTGCAACTCACGCCAAAAACTTGCCGTTTCATTGGCTGATCCCTCACATCAACCAGAAAGCGGGTTACATAACTCTTCCAGATCCCAGTGTAGTGAAGACAAGCAAAACAAAATTTTGAACTATAAAAAAACGAAACGAAATAGGATCTGTGTTCTAATCAGATTGCTATTGAATTGGGCTCAAGATAAGAGTGATGTGTTGTTAAATATTGGGGCAAGCTCCATTCAATTAAATTTATCTTTCAAACGATTAGGGTGCTTTTTGGCTTTATCGACAAAATCAATGCCTTTACCTAGAAACGTAAAAAACAAAGCAATATCTAAAATCCAATGAAATAAACAATTTTTTTTGGACCTGAATCAAGAGGTGGTAGCCATTTTAAGTAATTGTAAAAAAAAAATTTTGTGCGTATAGTTTACATATGGTGCAGAGTATGATTAATTGTATATATTTAACTATAATTATTATTATTATTTTAATTATATCTTTGTCCGTATATATATATATATCCACCGTCTTATATCTCTCATGGTAGTTGATCATAGACTAGAACATGTAGGTCTTTATAGGGGTAGAAAGGGATGAACTAGATAATGTAAAGGGAATATGCTGAAAATTTCAGTCAAATTGCTCCACTCTGAACCGAGATATGAATGATTGAAATTTAGGCCTAGCCTCGATCATCATTACTAAAGTCGGTATTTTTGCATTTAATCATCAATTTGTGTTGAGCAGCAGATCGGATTCAAATCCAGTGAAAATCGAACACATAAAAGGCATCGAGAGTTGATTAATAATTTATATAACATTTAAGGCTTAAAGATGGACCTACAATAAGCAGATTTAACTCTTGCATAATGTATGTTTAATTACAATGTACATTTATGTTGACCTTGTTCGTATCGCATTAATTTTATAGTATTCCCCCTGTAAAATGTGTCGATCTATTTCCTTTCCCCCCGTCATTGTCATTCTCGATTCTCCAATCCCCTTATTATTTTCATTGGACTACTAGTCACTAGTCAAATAAAACAATCATATTCCTCATGTTTCACCATTTAAAAAGGCGGCCATATTCATCATAAACTTCATAATCGTCTACTTGGGGTGTTGGATATTTTGAAAAGCGCTTTTTGTTAATATTGTAGTAGTACGTGTAGGCAAACTGTTAGAAATCCACTGATTTTCGCATCTGTCCCTCGCATTTATTTTCATTTTGGGGGAACAGGCCCGAGTTCACAAAACATTCTCAGACTAAGTTAAGAATGTACTCAACTTTCAATCACTGTTTATGTGAAATATCTTTGATCCAGAAACACAAAACTTTGCACATAGTTTCTTATTGATGTTTTTGATACATTAAAACAGCAAAAGTTTTATAAAGGGCTATATTTTAGTTAATATAAGGCGAACAATTTTGAGTAAATTCTTAACTTAAGTCTGAGAATGCTTTGTGAAGTCGGGACCTGATGTTTTTAATGCTTAGTAAATGTAGAGACAATTAATCAGGCGTTTTGGAGGTGAATTTTTTTTTATTGGAACCATACATCAACTATATGGAGAGCAATTTTTGCCTCTAATAAGGCGTTTAGGAGGTACCATACATCAGTTATATGGAGAGCATTTTTTGCCTCTAACGATGAGCTACTGGATAAAAAAGTGCTGTTTGAGGTGTTTCAATACTTAATTTTATCTCCAAAACGACGACATATTGATGCTTAATAAGGATAATAAGCTTATAAATAGTTTTAATTATTTTTGATGCTTTTAATTTTATTATTAAGATAAAAAAAAATCTTATTTTAATTCTGTTTGCTATGTTCAACTTAAAGGACAATGTTGGTTGGTCCACTGATTTTTATACGCCCACATTGAAATGTGGTCGTATATTGTTACATATGTGATTGGACACATTGGTTACGGTTCTTTATTCAGTCGGAAACCAATTTCCAGAATATTTTGGAATTGGTGTCTCTTTAACCATTTCTATTACATTTGTAAAAATCAGTGAACCTCAACGTTGTCCTTTAAGTAGTAGTGACCATCTTGTAAAAAAATTAAGTCAATATCAGAGTACTGGTGGGCAAAAACAGCTTTTACAAGTGTAAAAAACTGTGCTTGAACTCAAACATGGAAAAATCATGAAATTTATTGAATATATGACGCGATTTGTCATTTTGTAAAAATTTGCAATTATAGAAGTAATAATTCATTTGATATTTATTTATTTTCCATCTGTTATCCCTGAAAAAAAAAAGGGTCAATTTAGGGGCGATAACTTTTCTGATCGTAATTTTGTAATCAATTACAATGTGAAGATTTGATATAAAAAAAAAATACAAAAAGTTTGTTAAAAATCTTGGAAGCCGATTTAAAAGTATTTTGTATCTGACCCCTAAGTAACCCCTTCCTGTATATTAATGACCACACCTTTGTTTACGAGGGGTTTATGATATTGACATTTTGTATTGTATATATATGCATTGTAAAATAAACAACTAAATAGAATGTTTAACTTTAATTTATGTATAACAAAAAAAATGCAACTTGTTGATTGTTGACCTGTTGCCAGAAAAATCCTAACTATTATGTATTTTAAGTAGACAAGCAACCCCTATAACGACTCCTAGGTAGTGTTAAACAAATTTATTGGTAGACGTTTTGGACTGGGTTGTCCTTCTTCATTAAGCTTTAATGAAGAAAGACAACCCAGTGTATCGCTGAGATCCCAGTTTAGATGTCCTCTGGCTACTAGTCTCCAGCCATTTCAGACCTACTTTACCAGAGTTGTCGTCTTCTACTGCTCATATTATGTATTTTTAGGTCAGTTTTGAGGGGTCATTGGGAATTCTGGAATTAATTTACATAACCACTTGTGGTATCTAAATCAGTGAGTGGGAATGTCTGACCTCCACAACTGGCCTGTATATACACTAGGACGTCTTTTATTTATATCCTAACAATTTTCTTCGAATCGCAGAGGATTTATTAATAGTGTGTTGGTTAGGTTTATCAGTCACTTTATCTCCCTTTTAAAACTTTAGTCCACATGTAATTTTTCAGTTTTAGACGCATTTATGATTTTCACTGAAAACGAAAGCAGATTTTGAATTTTGCAGCCATCTGCTTATGTGTCAAGGATATTCAGAAAGTTAAGAATTTTCTGGAAACTGGCATGAAATTTCCTTAGTCAAAATCTGAATTTCATTGTTTTTAGAAAACCAGGTAAATCTGGAATTAAGTTCTGTTTTTTTTGGGTCTGGATTATCCTATCTACATGTATGTATTATATATTATACAGTAGTCCAGATTTTTTAGTTATTTGTGCTATATTTCTGTTGAATGCCTTAATGTGAGCCAATGAGAATTGTTGTTATATATGTTTGTGTGTATATTATATCTGGTAGTTATCTTGTAATAAAACATCTGATTTAATCTCTAAATTATCGCTGTCGCTTTTTTTTCATACCCCTTGCAGAGTTTTGTTGATTAGACATAATCCCACTCAAACACTGCTGTAACAAAAGCATATTTCTGTTCCAAATTATGACTGGTCAATAGTCTGATTAACAACCAATACCTAACTACTTAACAGTATCATTCGGGTTTAAACAGAGGCCCAGATATGTTTACATAACGTTATGTCATGACTCATGAAATTTATTACACTCAATTAACCAGTGCATAGCAGAATATTGCAGAAAAACTAATTCCGTGACAAACGAGGCTACAATGTAAACAATACTGCTTGGAGACGAACCACAATTTTGCAGTTTTTAAGACCCCAGATTAAACAAGGGCTGTCATGTTGCTGTACTTGGGATAGATTTGATTGAAGGGAAGAATAGACCCACTCCCCTCAAAAGCTCAAGTATCAGAAGTCAAATCCAGCAATGGCCAGAGAGGGATTTTTCGGGCCATTACTTCAGGAATATGTTGTTTTTTTATACTCACATTAAAATGTGGCCTTATGTTGTTGTTGCCCGTTTTCGATTAATGTGAAATTGATTACGTGCATGGAGCAAAGGATCCTGTTGATTTTCAATGATTTCTGATAATTATAGTCAAGAGTTATGCCCCTTTATAATGAGGAATGGGCATGGGGTTGCGTGCATATCTGCTGCTTGAGGTTTCCCTGCTCCATATTTAGTTTCTGAGCGTTATTTGCAGTGAAATATTTCAACCCAAAATAATATTGTAAAAATATAATTACAACCCATTTATGTCTCTATTCCTTAGGAACCACTGTGGCCATTCGATCTCTTAAAAGGAGTTCTGGCAGTTTGATCCAAGTGTGGGGGGTTGGATGGCCGAATCGTTAGCATGTGCACACTGTGTCACATGGCCTGTCATTGAGTCAACTGGCGGGGTTTCGATTCCCCGGTTGGACGTGACAAGGAGTAGAGTCGCCTGTCCAACCTTGTGGGTTTTCTCCGGGTCCTCCCACTGTTAAAGACCCCTACGGGCAAGCAAATTAAAAACCACATGAAATGAACTTAAAAACCACATGTTAGTCCCGAAATGACCTAGTCTGTGTCAAGTGGACGTTAAACTCCATTTCTCTCTCTCTCGTGGCTGTTCTCCTGTTAAGTACCACTGCTAATTATTGAAATAAACATGTTGTATCATAATTATGTTAGTTCCACAATGAACTAGCTAGCATTGAGTGGATGATAAACCCCATTCTTCTCTCGCACGGTTAATATTATGCACAAGAAGTGTCAATATGCTTAAAGGGAAATAACTCTTGCATTCATTCTGTCAGACAACTATTAAGAGTCATTCCACGAGAAAACCATGCAGAAGGTGGGAAGGTGGGGGTCGGCAGATCGAGTTCATCTCGGGGGGGATTTTATGGACTCATCAAGACTACTTCACAGCCAGGAGGGCCGATCTCAAAATTTCACCGATATTGAGAAAGAGCCTCTGGGTGATTTTTGGCCAATTTTGCCATTTTTCAGGTCATTTTTGGTCAATTTTCAGCCACATATTGTAGCGAGTCTAGGGTTGGATGGAAATGGTGGTGATTGGTGATGTTAGTGGGACTCTTCCTGTGCCCCATTGTGAAGACCATGAAGTCGCATCTATTATCTGGGAGTAATGATCAGCAAAATTGTAACATATGGCGACTGAAACCAAAAATATACACCTGCGAGAATTAGCTCTATTTTCTATGATGCGGGGGTAGGTCAAAATATCGAAATGGTTTTATGCACAGCTCGACACACTCTATCGATATAAAAAATAAAATCTCTGTCACCTCTCTTCAATCAATGCGAAATAATCAGTCGAAGTTGGTGAATTTTCCCAATTGTAATCTCTCATTCTCTGTGAAATGGCCAACTACTTTCATTCAGGGTAAGCCAGCTCTCTCCGTTTCTTCACCAAATCATTCGCCCGCGAGCACTGGTAGCAGCTTGAAAATTCACCAACTTCGACTGATTATTTCGCATTGATTGAAGAGAGGTGGCAGAGATTTTATTTCTTATATCGATAGAGGGAGTCGAGCTGTGCACAAAACCATTTCGATATTTTGACCTACCCCCGCATCATAGAAAATAAAGCTTATCTTCACAGGTGTATATTTTCTGTTTTATTCACCATATCTTACAATTTTGCTGATCATTGCTCCCAGAGAATAGATGCGACTTCATGGTCTTCACACTGGGGCACAGGAAGACCCCCACTAACATCACCAATCACCACCATTTTCATCCAAACCCTAGACTCGCCACAATAGGTGGCTGAAAATTGACCCAAAATGACCTGAAAAATGGCAAAATTGGCCAAAAATCACCCAGAGGCTCTTTCTCAATAACGGTGAAATTTTGAAATCGGCCCTTCTGGCTGTGAAGTAGTCAGTGGGAGTCCATAAAATCCCCCGGAGATGAACTCGATCTGCCGACCCCCCATCTTCCCGATTCTGCACGATTTTCTCATGGAATGACTCTTAATATTTTATAATTTGTAACGAAAATATATTCAAATCAGCCATACAAAAACGAGCTTTAGTCTTAGCACAATATTATCTGTACAATATGTGCAGCTGGAAAAATTGTAGGAAATGCTGTTCTATGTCCTACTGCTTTCACTGAAACCCGGGTATCATTTAATCTTGTGTTTTTAACTAATTTTTTTCACATTCATTTAATATCAAATCTTTGTTTAAAAATTCGTAAAAATCACCCAAAATCATCTAATTTGTACTTATGTCCAATTTAAAGCTGACTGATTAATTTAAAAGTATTTAATTTCATTATACATCAATAATCAATTGGGTTGTTTATTTCTTAACAGTGATCGAGAAATTAAACACTTGTAAATTGGACACTCATTATCAAAATTGAATGGTCAGCATTAAACTAAATTAAATGATTTTTGGTGATTTTAAACGATTTTTACGAATTTTTAGACAAAGATTTCATATCGAATAAATGTGAAAGAAATTAGTGCTAAATACACAAGATTAAATGATACCGGGGTTACAGTATATAAACTGAGGGCCTGCCATACAGTATGCTGTGAGGGAAATTTGGCCTGCATGGTGGTGTATCTGCCAGTAACCAGCCGTGACGTAATTTTAGTCCTACTGCTCATATTCTAGTCTATGAGCAGACGGACTAAAATTACGTCAAAGCTTGTTTCTCGGCGGAAAATTACGACTACTAGAACGACAGAAATCTCTAATGTTGAAATTTACCTTTGGCAGGTAACAGTGACATTCAGGATCATGTCATACTTATGGAAATGATATTTTGACATAATTACCTGCATTATTTAAAACAATTACGAAGCTTTTCCGGTGTCCTATTAAGGACTCTAACACTATCAGGTGTCTCAAATGGAAAGGGAGGTTGGATGGCTGAATGGTTAGCATGTGCGCGCTGTATCATAAAGTCTGTCATTGAGTCAACTGGCGTGGTTTCGATTCCCCGGTTGTACGTGACAAAGGGTAGGGTCGTCTGTCCAACCTCGTGGGTTTATTCCGGGTCCTCCGGTTTCCTCCCACTGCTAAAGACCCCTACGCGCAAGTGAATTATGGAAATAAAATTGAACCATATGTTAGTCCCGAATGACCTAGTTTATGTCGAGTGGACGTTAAACCCCATTTCTCTCTCTCTCAAATGGAAAAGCTCCCAATTCATTAATTCAGCAGTATGTTGATACCCAATCAGATCTATATACTTTCGATGGCCTCTACTACATGAAGATCTGACCAGTTGTAGTGAGAGGTTGCATCAGGGGTCACACGAGTGGCTTTTGACCGTATAACATCAGACATTTGATGTTTCTTGTCGGTTACCCACAGTTCCGTGCACCTCACGCCAAAAACTACTACATGAAGATCTGACCAGTTGCTGTGGGAGGTTGCATCAGGGGTCACATGAGCGGCTTTTGACCCTATAACATCAGACATTTGATGTTTCTAGTGGGTTGCCCACAGTTCCATGCACCTCATGCCAAAAACTCGCCGTAACAGACTGTTTCCTTGGAAAATCCCTCATATCATCCAGAACACTGGTTATATAACAACTCTTCCATATCATAGTGTAGTGAAATAAGTAAATGAAATTTTGAACTTTAAAAAACGAAATGAAATAGGATCTGTGTTTTAATCAGATCGGTTAATACATTACATAGATAGTCAACTAATTTAAGAATTAGAATTTTTACTGTTGTGTAAAATTATTCAATAAACTGGTGTATAATTTTAGTTATTTCTTTCTCATTACCAGATATAGTAGGTAATTCAGCGGATAATTATCATCCACTAAAGTATGGATGTAAATATCATTAAGTCTAGAACAGATGAATCAATAGTGGACATTTCCTGATAACAATGTGTCAATTTACTATTGTCCAGTATCATTTATAATTCTAAATACCATATCATGTTCTCCACGGGCTAAATCTATTTGTTATGGCCAGCTCAATTTCTGTCAAGGTCGCCGAGATGTAAATAAGGTTAGGGCACATTGGGTAAGCATTGGGGCTTAGTGCTAGCCCTGTTTACATCTCGTGACCTATGACGAAAAATTGAGCTGGTCTTATCATTTAGCACTAACCATGCTCCACGTCCGATTTTAACAAGAAATGTTAAATGCAGTTAGTTCCCTTTGACCCAGGAAATATGAACACGCAATAACTTGTGAGGATGATTTTAATTTTTAAAAATCAAACTGAGTCTATTGACCCTCTTAAATTATGCATTGGTATCAGATAAACAGTGATATTATTTTATATGGCCTTCGTTATTCAAGGTATACGAACCTTGATATCAGCACTGATAAAAATCATTAATTCTGCGTGAAAAAAAAAATTAAAACAATACAATAATATATATATATATACAGTTTTCTTTTCTCGATTGTCTAAACTTCGGCATCAATACCACGGGGTACATTATTATTATCTTGAGATTCCATGTTCTTGACTACAAGGTAGGCTATGACGACCAGTACACCAACAGATGCTAGTTTTATCCAAAGCCGAATCCCTCCTGTTTTTGATGATGTTGTTTCCGTGGTAACTGATGATTTAACTGGTGTGCTTGTATGTCTCATTGGTTCTCTTTTACTGAAAAATAAAAATAAGACACTGAAACATACATTACACAAGAGCTATATCTGCCTAGTGCAGATCTTTCTTTAGGCCTGAAATGTTATCTAAATTATTAATTAGACATTTATTAACATGAAAACATCATAATCTATTCTTGATGCCATCTTTGGATTTGAATCCGATCTGCTGTTCGATGTCCTTTGATGATTAAACGCAAAAAGGGATAATCAAGACTTTTTTAATTTTCGTGACAGCGCTAAAAGTGACAATCGAGGCCTACAGTGATTTTAAAATTAGGTTTTTTCGGCTTAGCATTAAAAACAATTTGACTGAAATTTTCAGCTTGTTCCCTTTATATTATCTAGTTTTTAACTATTATAGTGAGAACTGCCACAGCTCTTTATCTAATCTCCCAAAACGTATCTTTAAATAAGCAGTGGAATCAACTTAGAACAAGGTGTGGTCCCCCTTTCAACATTTTATCAGGGAAGTCCGTCCATCACACGAAGAATATATTATAATTAATGTAACATATCCCCGATCAAAGTGAAGTACAGTAATTAAACATCAACCAAGTGGAGATGGTCTATTGACGTTCCAATACACTGAACTCTGTCTTTACTACACTAGGATCTGAAAGAGTTGTTATGTAACAGGCATTTTACTTGATGTGAGGAATTAGCCAATGAAACGGTCTGTTGCAGCGAGTTCTTGGCCTTTTTATGCATGGAACTGTGGGTAAACCACTAGAAACGTCAACACCTATTGATTAATCAATGTCTGACGTCATAGGGTCAAAAGCCGCTTGTTTGACCCCCGACATGAACTCACACTTTAACTTGTCAGATCTTCATGTAGTGTAGACCATCGAAAGTATAAAAAATGAAATGAAATATACATCTGTATTTTGATCATATTGATTCTGTCAATTCTGACATCCGAATATTACGACATTCTGTGAAATCCGTCATCATTTTCATGTCCCGATTTATTTCCTTATTACTTCAACCAAAAAAATTTTGAGTAGTCTGAATTCTGAATATTCCGAATTATGACATCATTCAGCGGTCCCACGATTTTCGCTCAATTAACATTGGATAATTCCGGCCTTCAATCAGTGGGTGTTAACCAACAAATAATCACCAATCAATTATCTGTGAGCATAAAACCTGTGTTGGTCTTTGTTGATGACCTTGATAATTTTATAATCTCTCGTAAGTGAGGACTCTTGTCAAATACAGCAACATTATATATAAATTTCTAAGATGAAGAATCACTATCATTATATTGTATTTATAAAGTGTGATCGAACAGAATGTACAGAAAGCGTTACCATATTTTAAGTTCTGGATATTCGAGGGTGCATTTTAACAATACTTCTCGTATTCGAGGTATACTAATACTTCCGGTATTCGAAGGTACAATAATACTTCCAGCATTGAGACAATTGATTATTTCAGCCTATTGTATCGATCCTGTACGATGTCGGAATTGACAGAGTCCAGTGTATGTGTGAGAGACTGATTTGAATAAAATATATGCAGCAGTAACACAAGTCCAAATTTAGTTGATATCTTTGCATGAGAAAGGTTATTGCAATTCTTAGAATCTACTATATACTAGTATTCCAGTAATCTAATCAAAAACTCATGGATGGATAGTTCAAACTTAGGCAAATGACTGTGCTATATGCATGTATAGTTTATTAAACATGCATCATGCAAGAGCTAAATCTGCCTATTGCTGGTCTTTCTTTGGGCCTGAAATCTTCTCGAAATTAGTATTGTAAAACAAAAAAAAAATTAGTTGGAGTGCCCAAGTTTAGATTTGTCGTTGATTCCATAAAGAAGTTAGGTTTTAGAAGGTTAAATACTGTGTAGTTCAACACGGTGCCCGAGGGGTTTAATATGATATACGTACAAAATAGTACCAAATGGTTTATTTGTATGAGTGTCAAGGTTTGGACTATAATGCCTTGGAAATCGGAAGTAGGAGACGACTAGTATGGGTCTCTCTTTTGTGGACCGATGTGAGATTGTCCGTTGTATTAACTGGACAGGTAGGCGTATTCACCTTCGGTTATGTGTCAATGTCAAATGAGCGGCTTCTTATCAACAAGATCGGCTCTGGACCAGTTTGATTCTACGTGTCTCTCATATAACAACTTTTGGTCTCGAAGGAATTATTAATGAGCAGAAATTCGACCGTGTATCTGTTATCGCTCGTCACTTCAGTTAGTTACCGTATATATAGAAGGATAACTTGTGTTTTCCTTTTGCGTTCATCACTTCCCTTTCTTTAAAGCTAAAAAAACAACATCTATCGTAGCAATCTCCCAAACAGAGTTGTCTTCCCTTGCAGTCCAAACAATCTCTGCTAACGGCTCATTTGACTACGCCACCAAGATTCTTGGTGTTGATAGACAATGATAAACAATACGATTTAAAACAAATAAATGATAATATATTTAATACCATTACGATATTTAAAAAGAAATGGGGTCACAATTGCAAAGTAACAATGTATTTAGAAATATTACAGGGAACTCTTTCGTGTAAGATTACAGGGTTAAATGGTTGGAAATACGAACTGCGCATGTCACCGTGCTAATTTTAGAATAATACACGTGGATCTGTTTACATTTATAATGCGATCGTAAGGCCTAATACATTTACACACGAAACATGCAAAATTAGACTGTTTTCTTTCGGAGGGGTAATAATTGATGACATTTTCCCCTAAAATTGACTAAAACTCATCAAGTGTTTATAACACCAGGAACTTTTCTGACAGATGTCATTTTCATCATGTAGTTAATCACGTGACCAATGACCTGTAGGTCAACCAGTCTGGATAGCGAGACTTGTGTGGAGAGTGCTATCGTAGCAATGATCTCTGTGTTAAAATTACATCTGGAACATGTTTAACCAGTTCTATCACATGTGATAATGACTGACACGAATATTGTCCTTTAAAGTGTAAAATTCCACGTGAAGTGAAGCTATTTGTACCTGATTGGGGATCTTCTGTAGGAATCACTAATTGGTGTAGATTCAAAATCTCTTTCTGGTGTTCCTCCTCTCACATGTGCCCTTCGTCTAGCTTCAGTTCTAAAATCATTCAAATAAACAGTTTACTTTTACAGGAGGCGGGGGGGGGGGGGGGGGGGGGGGGGCTATTGGGAGAGAGAGAGAGATATGGTGTTTAAGATCCACTCAACACAAATTAGGGCATTTCGGGACTAACATATGGTTCAATTTTTTTTCAATAATTCGCTTGCGCGTAGGGGTCTTTAGCAGTGGGAGGAAACCAGAGGACCTGGAGAAAACCCATGAGGTTGGACAGGCAACCCTACTCCTTGTTATGTACAACCAGGGAATCAAAACCACGCCAGTTGATTCAATGACAGACGTTATGATACAGCCCGCACATGCTAACCATTCGACCATCCAACTCCCCTGTGGGCTAGTGGTTTATTTAATGCATGCACGTTAAAACCTAAGGTCTGTCATTGAGTCAAGAGGTGTGGGTTAGATTCCCGCTTGTACATTGACAAGGAGTGGGCTCACCTGTCTAACCTTGTGGGTTTTCTCCAGGGATTCCTGTTTCCTTCCATGGTAAATATCTTGCAAGTCAACTATTGAAATAAAATTGAACCATGTTAGTCTCGTAATGACATATCTCTCTCTCTTAAACATATAATGTTCATTTCAATAATTTGCTTGTGCGTAGGGGTCTTTAGCGGTGGGAGGAAATCGGATGACTTGAAGAAAAACGAGGTTGGACAGATGACCCTACTCCTTGTCACGTACAAGCCGGGGTTAAAGTTACAAGTGAGAAATGAAAGAGATCTTAACTTCCTACTTTTGTGTAGAAAACAGGTGTGTGTAGACGGGGTTAGAAGTGAGTGTCAACTTACCTCTCTAAATAGGCCGGTGAAGGAGCAACTGTAAAAATAAAGATATAAAATAAAAACTCTAATAGTATATATAAATGATAATGCTCATCTGCTAATAGCATATTTATCCCTAACCGGTCATTGTCAACTATAATCACCACAACGTTATACAGCTAAGTGGTCACTGTCGACTAAAGTCGACCACAGCAAGAAACTTTTTTTATAAGCCGCATTTGAGTATTTAGTTTCGTATTTAATTTATATCGCCAAGCATGTATGTCAGACAGGAACTTTTCTTGTCAATGGCATTGAGAAAAACATATCTTTGTTCAAGATTTTTTGACAAAAAACGTAATTTTTTAACGATGTCGATTTAGGAAACGAGATATCGTATGAGGGCGCCTCTTTCAATAATTGTTGTGATCAAAATAATGTTTTCGAGGAACCTGTCGCCGTGGAAACCGAAAGCCAGTGAAAATGATGATGACGTTTTAGAAGAAAACCGACCCAATAAAAGTGACTTTGGAGGTGAAAAAAATAGGTCAAATTATAGATCAACTTATCCCCTTTAACTTTTTTATTGGCGTCAGGAGTCTATCACTTATAATTATCCGACAGTAGTCGTTTGAAACAGGCATACAAAATATTTCACTTTAGCCCGACCACTTGATGTCTTGACATCAAAATAACGTTGACGAGGGTTACGGGGTGATATATTTATTCTTTAGAACCTTAAAATAGGCCAAATTTCACAAACTGTTTACAGGTAGCTACGTTGGCTCACAAGTCTGGAGATCACGTGTTTGATCCCTGCATTGGCCCAGAAAGTTTATCAGGATTTTCCGGGGTGGTTCCCACTTGTCAGTGGTGCAGGGCATGACAAGGACAGCTGTCTAGTCATTGAGATGGGACCAAAAAAACACTGAGGACCTGTGTATACACTGGCGTGCACGTAAAAGATCCCTTGGCAGTTGGAATTTGATATAAAAGTAGGCCATAGCACTGATGCCTGTGCAAAATTTTCCTCATAAAACACTGTATGACAAATTCCCATCTTCATTATCCCAGTCGGAGCAGAACAGTAGGACATTAAACCCCATTTCATTTCATTTCATTTACCAAATGTCTATAAGAAAAGAGATGAGTCTTTGATCATTTCTTAAACTGACGAGAGTTTGTTAATTCTTTAAAGTCAAGAGTAATTACGTAATTTTGTACGTCATGTTATATTTTGTTTGTAGTAATGTTATATTGTGGTTGTAGTGTCATATTGTGGTTGTAGTGTTATATTGTGGTTGTAAATGTTATATTGTGGTTATAATGTTATGTTATGGTTATAATGTTATGTTATGTTATAATGTGCTTGTTATGTTATAATGTGCTTGTTATCAGGGCTCACACTGTCGGTCGCCAAATTCGCAATTTGCGATAAAACTATGAAAGTGGCGATTAAATTTTGTTTTTGGCGATAAAGTTTTGGGGTACTGGCGATTCTTTTTTTAGAATTGGCGAAAAAAAATCCTTAAAATTCTAATCGTATTTATCCTTGATTAACCATAGCGGCATACTATAAATCAATCAACTTGCTGATAATCCCGAACGTGTCATGAGTAATACTAAACAATTGTCTAGGATTAATGGTTTCAACTGATTGTTAATTGCCGATAATAAAGCCTTTATCTTGTCTTTATTCGTCATATTAATTAACCCTAACAAATAGATTAGCGGTGACTATTTGATGTTGCGTGATTAAATCAAAGGGAAGCAATCAAAATGGCCGATCGTTACCCGACAACTCTTTTCAAAGAGAGTTACATGTTTTGATAGTTGAATTTTGTTTACTGTATGTGGCTTCATACAGCATGTACATAACAGCATGGCTAATAGGACATTATTATTTCAAATTATATTATCACGATGGGTCGAAAACGAAAGAGTAGGTTGAATAGCGATGATTCTGGAGTGAGAAAATTGTCTGCTTTTTTTTCGTTACCGCCGCCGAAGTGTTCCAAAAATAACGAAGAGTCTGACGTTGACTCATCTAGACGAAATGAAACTGACACTACGATTAATGATTCAGATGTTGATACCGTGACGATACCCGAAATCAATAAAAGGCCTATTGTACACGCGAAACGAAAATTCAAAGAAAACTGGAAATTTGGCAATCCCTGGCTGAGATTTGACGTATACTCGCAGAAAATGTTTTGTTCAATATGTGAAACGTCGAAAGTCAGTAATAGTTTTACATCTGGGTGTAATGTTCTGAAGAAAGAAAGTATAGATACTCATCTATCTGCAAAAGGTAAGCTGATTTTATATGTTGATGAATTTATGTGAATGAATTTATGTGAATGAATTTATGTGAATGAATTTATATGAGAATATCCTTGACTCAATATCAATCCGGTTACAGAATATCTTCGACTCAAAAATATCAATTCTGTCTTCGATGACCAAGTATTAAATTTAATGTTTATTTTTGCAGGTCCATCTAGTCACAAAGCAGCGGTATTGATAATTGAAAATGGCAATGACATGGCAAAGGCCAGAGAGAAATCTGTGTCAAAATCAAAAGAAGCTATATTATCAGCCATGAGAAATGTCCTGTTCATGGCAGAGCATGATTTACCGAACTCGCTACTGTCAGATTTGAATTCACTCTGTTTACAACAGGTAAGTTACAAATCTTTCAATTACTTAGTTACATGTAGATCTATGCCTCTCTTTTATTTAAATTTGCTCATTCATGCCTGCTGTTCTCGCTCGCTTTCAATTTGCTCCTTTTTATGTTTTTCAGGGTGCTGAACAATTCAAAGACTTGATAGTTGATAAGCACACGTCGTATACTCATAACCAATGTGTCCAAGAATTTCAGGCAGCAATAGCTGACACAGTAAGTTGTTATGTTATATTGTGGTTGTGATGTTATATTGTGGTTGTAAATGTTATATTGTGGTTGTGATGTTATAATGTGGTTGTGATGTTATATTGTGGTCATAATTTTATATTGTGGTTGTAATGTTATATGGTTGTCATGGTTGTATTATTGTAAATTCCAATTATATTGTGGTTGTAATGTTATATTGTAGTTGTAATGTTATATTGTGGTTATGTTTTATTGTGGTTGTAATGTTATATTGTGGAGGTAATGTTATATTGTGGTTGTAATGTTATACATGTATCATGGTTTGTATTATTATAAATTTAAACGGCTGTGTTCTTACCATCATCTTCATCATCATCATAAACAACTGGCTTGTGAGGTGATTTAACCTCATGACCTGTTAAACACTGTATCAATTTCTTCTCATAGATTTTACGTGTTGAAACTAAAATAAACAAATTCATACAAAATAATTACTTGGATTAAATCTAATTTTTCAAAAGTAAGAGTGGGAAACAATGTACAGTTTAACTTTAGGAAATAAGATTTCGGAAACTCAAGTAAATTATTGATACATATTTTGTTTCGAAAACTTATAGGTAACTTATGAAACTCAAATGTCTGTATCTCAGTCAATTTTTAAGCTACAAATTTTGCACAGTTTCTAGTTTTTGCATGTACTGTACCATATATTTTCCAGATTTTTTCGAGGGGGTCGATTTCTTAAAATTGACCCACTTGACATGGATTGACCCAATAATCAGTCATTCATGCTAATGAAGACGTCATATGCCTTGTAGTGTGAGGAACATTTTGCTTGGTCAGCGACACTAGAGCCTACTCTTACATCAAATTCCAACAGTCAGGCGTTCATTTATGTGCAAACCACATTGTGTTCCAAATTATACTCATCAACAATCGGTCCTATAACAATGCCATCCAAATTATACTCACCAAAAATCATTAACAATGCCATCCAAATTATACTTACCAACAATCGGTCCTGTAACAATGCCATCCAAATTATACTCACCAAAAATCGGTCCTATAACATGTTATCCAAATTATATTCACCAACAATCGGTCCTGTAACAATGCCATTGGCATCCAAATTATACTCATCAACAAAAGGTCCTATAACAATGCCATCCAAATTATACTCACCATCAATCGGTTCTGTAACAAAGCCATCCAAATTATACTCACCAACGACACCAACAACTGGTCCTGTAACAATGCCATCTAAATTATACTCACCAACAGTCGGTCCTATAACAATGCTATCCAAATTATACTCACCATCAATCGGTTCTCTAACAATGTCATCCAAATTATACTCACCAACAATCGGTCCTGTAACAATGCCATCCAAATTATACTCACCAACAATCGGTCCTGTAACAATGCCATCCAGATTATACTCACCAACAATCGGTCCTGTAACAATGTTATCCAAATTATACTCACCATCAATCGGTCTTGTAACAATGTTATCCAAATTATACTAACCAACAATTGGTCCTGTAACAATGTCATCTAAATTATACTCACCAACAATCGGTCCTGTAACAATGTTATCCAAATTATACTCACCAAAAATTGGTCCTGACTGTAACAATGCCATCCAAATTATACGCACCAACAATCGGTCCTGTAACAATGTTATCCAAATTATACTCACCATCAATTGGTCCTGTAACAACGCCATCCAAATTATACTCACCAACAATCGGTCTTGTAACAATGCCATCCAAATAATACTCACCAAAAATCGGTCCTGTAACAACGCCATCCAAATTATACTCACCACAATTGGTCCTGTAACAATGTCATCCAAATTATACTCACCAACAATAGGTCCTGTAACAATGCCATGCACTCTTAATTGGTCTGCCAGTTCTTTGTTACTCAGTTTACTAAGATCATTGATTGTTGGCATGGTGGTTGATTCTTCTTTCAATTTGTTACTATTATTGTTACCGTCTACCTGTATATAAAAGAAACTGCTGCTATGCAAGATACATGTACATCCACATTTTGCAAGAGATGGACAGAGAATGAGCTAGGCCTAATCCAGTGAGTTGCAGTCCGATATGCACAAATATTGACAGGAACCAAGATCTTTTGGATATAAATATATATTTTAAGTTTCATCAAAATCAGATAAAAATGGTGACCTCTAGAAGGTCCACAACCTTGATATAATACAGGTCACAATTCTATGGAATACAATTACTGCATATTTCTTAGTGACCATTCGACTAGGCTTCTCTGGTCATTATCAAGCAATGATAAAATATGAAACCTTGATATTGCATACTTTTACATTATTTGTGTACATTGAGCAGACATTTTGTTGGGCAGTTTCGGTCCAATTTTCACGAAATTCGAACTCAAACATCAATAGGATATAACTGTAACACTAACACTCCCCGTATATTTAAAGGGGCTAAATCGCTAATATTTAGGACCTAGATATAGACACAAATTGGTTGCAAAGCATATAATAATGTAATACTAATGTTAATGTATATAAACTGATTTACATTCAATCGTTTCTGTTTTTACTCTAATTTCAAATCAATTATGTCCGGCGAAATAGGCCAGCAGTCTCAATCGAACGACAATCTCTAGCGCCTGCTTATTCCATTCTACAAAGTATTTATTGCTCATGCTCTCCAGATAAGAATATAGTGGACCATTTGACATGACTTGTGGAATATGTCCAGTCTTGTTCTTTGAGTCCATTGTTAAAAATGGGCCTGAAACACATTATGGTACACGATTCGTGTACCAATGATAAAATGTTTATTTTGTCTTAAATACTGGATATCAGAAGTCCATCTTTTTCCGATAATATCACAACATCAATGTTGATTTAAATTGATTTTGTGTTTCCAATGTCAAAGACTTTGGATGATATTGAGGTAGAGACTTAGCTACTTTAAATGTTTTTTTTTAAAAATCATATAAAAATTGTGACCTGGAGGACTTCAAGCTAAAAATTTGATTTTTCGTACAATTCCATGTAGGGGCCATAATCCAGTTAGTTACAGTCTTACACGTCAGTTCCTTGGACTGTAACTAGAGAATTATTATAATTAGTGGTCTCAATCCTTTGACATTAAATTAGAGTTATCTGCTTAGTGAACAAAATGGAAGATACAAACAAACAGGCATCTCTGCCTTTGAACTTTCTTTGCGGTAATTGTTATCTTATACGCATCAGTAATGTGCATAATCATACATTCTAAGTGCCACTTTTCTGTATTTCATTATCATTATGAAACCGTACTCATGTAGTTTTAATATTGTTCATTTCAGATATTATCATTCTTCATGTAGAATAAACATACTATACTATTAGTCACTACGAAATGCCCAAGGGTTATTCTCTATGACAATATCGCATACGATAACCAGCCTAGACAAGGATGCCCGCAATCAGCTGTCCATTCCTTGACTGCACGTTCAAAACTCATGACGTCGACTCACAGCTCGCTGTAGAACTCCTCAAGATCCATGGCCTCACACACGCGACCACCCACAGCACCACCGCTGCCAAAGTCGAGAAAGTCAACCGACCGACCATTACTACAGGTATCAGTTTGGCTGATTGGAACTACTTTCGAATAAGATGGAATGATTATGTCGAGGCAACCGGCATTACCGGCAAAACATTAAATATTTAAATCCTAGAATGGTGTGAAGAGCAATTGCGACGCTATCTCACACGAAACACAGTTGGCTCCCTCACAAACAGGACCACTGATGAAATACTAGACAGCATGAAGCAACTCGCTGTCAGACTCGAGAGTCCGATGGTAGCCCGAGCAGAACTTTATGATATGATCCAAGGTCACGACGAACCTATCCGTGCCTACTGCGCAAGAGTTCGTGGACAAACCACCATCTGCCAGTATACCATTGATTGCCCCATTTGCACACATACAGTCGACTACACTGACCTCGTGATTAGAGACATCATGTGTCAAGGTCTATCAGACAAGGACATACAACTGGAACTATTAGGCGACAGTAACCAAACACCTTCATTGGAGGAAACACTACATTTTATAGAAAAGAAGGAATCTGGCAAGCGCTCTGCCTCCCGCCTGTCACACACGTCCCAGGCTACAGCCGCAAGCAGCTCATACCGACAAGCCCAGAATATAGGAGCAAAGCCGCCTGATAAACCAACCGGAAATCGTCAAACTGAGTCACAAGATCTTTGCAGCTACTGTGGTCAACCGGGTCATGGCAAAAAGGCTCCAGCGAGATTTCGACGTTCATCATGCCCTGCATTTGGCCTTATCTGCGAGAAATGCTCTACAAAGAACCACTTTGCCTCTGTCTGCAGGGGTGGCAGTCGCCCCACCCGGGCAAGATCCAATGAACCATTGCCGGAACATGAAAGTGCCGTATTCGATGAACTATGTACTATCAATGAGCACGTCCATTTCACAGAGTTCCCTATACGTCTGGATCATCACATACATAACAACCTCACAGACACGTGGCTTAAACGATTTTCTATGCCTCAACCCATTGTCACCCTTTCAGCAGGCATCGATAAAAAGGACTACAATGCCTTGGGTTTTCTTAGGAACATCCACAACAAATGCATCACCATACAATGTGCAGCCGATACCGGTTGTCAGAGCTGTCTTTGGGGAATCAATGTCCTACCGCTACTCGGTCTCTCCCGGAGCGACCTATTACCTGTCACTCTATCCATGCGTGCGGCAAATAGTGTCAGCATTAACATCATTGGAGCAATCATCGTACGCATATCCGACACCGATGGAGCTCGGCGCCACACCAAGCAAATAGTGTACATTACAGACTCCTCAGATAAATTTGATCTTAGTCGCGAGGCCTGCCTGAGACTGGGCATCATCAGTGCGAACTTCCCAACAATTGGAGAGAACTCGTCAGCAGTCAACACAGCTATTCAGCCCTGCTCATGCCCAGCTCGACAGAAATCACCCCCTAGACCCACCAAACTCCAGTATCCGCCCACCGAGGAGAACAGAGAACGCATTGAGAAGTGGCTACTCAACTACTACTGTTCATCCACATTCAACACGTGTGAACACACCCCACTACCTATGATGGATGGTCCCGAACTGCGCCTCATGATAGACACAGACAAAGAGCCAGTAGCCCACCACACTCTGATTCCGGTTCCCATCCATTGGAGAGAGGAAGTGAAAGCTGGCCTTGACAGAGACGTCAATCTAGGTGTTATTGAACCCATTCCCGTTGGTACGCCAGTCACCTACTGTCACCGGATGGTCATCTGTGCCAAAAAGAACGGCACACCACGACGCACAGTAGACATGCAGGCTCTTAATGCCAACGCAACCAGGGAAACACACCATTGCCATTCTACTTAGCCAGATCGGTTCCACCAAACACCAGAAAGACAGTAAGCGACGCTTGGAATGGCTACCACAGCGTTCCACTACACGAAAATGACCGCCACCTTACAACATTCATTACTCCTTGGGGGCGATACCGTTACAAAGTATGTCCACAAATGTACATCGCATCTGGTGACGCTTATACACGCCGTTTTGATGAGATTACCGCTGACATACCCAACAAAGCTAAATGTGTCGATGACACACTGTTATGGTCTTATTCAATCGAAGAAGGCTTCCACCAAACGACTAAGTGGCTGGAGACATGCGCAAACGCTGGGATCACGCTAAACCCCAAGAAATTCCACTTCGCAGCTAATGTGGTGGAATTTGCAGGCTTCGAGATCTCCGACACCAAAGTTCGACCGAGTCCCAAATACTTAAGGGCCATCCACGACTTTCCAACACCTACTTCTGTTACCGATGTTCGATCATGGTTCGGTCTTGTGAATCAGGTATCCTACGCGTTTTCAATGGCAACGACTATGGCACCATTTCGCGAACTGCTTAAGCCAAGAAAACCTTTCTACTGGGACGACACACTAGATAATTATTCAAATCATCGAAACTGCACATCATAGACGAGATTTGTAAAGGTGTTCAGATTTTTGACAAAACGAAACCAACAAGCCTCATCACAGACTGGTCTAAAACCGGTATTGGATTCTGGCTACTTCAAAAGCATTGCAACTGTCCGGCTGTTGACACGAAAACACTTTTCTGTTGCCCAGATGGTTGGAAAATCGCTTTAGTGGGCAGTCGTTTCACTCATCCCGCTGAGTCTCATTACCCACCAATTGAGGGTGAGGCACTAGCAGTCGCAGACGCACTTGATCGTGCCAGATATTTTGTCCTCGGATGCACCAATCTGTACGTAGCCGTAGACCATAAGCCCTTGTTGGGTATCTTCGGATCGCGAGCCTTGGACGATATCAGCAACCCCCGCCTTCGCAATGTCAAGGAGAAGACGCTGCGCTATCGCTTTCAACTGATACACATACCTGGTGTAAAAAAACAGGGCCTCCGATTGCATGTCACGCTCACCATCGGGCCCACGTGCACCCAACAAGTATCACCTCATCGATGACAACGGTGCCATTACACATGGACATATCGGATGTGAATCACTTTCTATGCTACGTATCCACTCGCCCACCACACACAGCCAAGGCTGTCGGTAATTTTTCACAGTTGACTAGCAGCACTGCTAATCAAAAAGTCCAATTTTGCCAAATTTGATTAGCAAATTTAAAAATTGATTAGCAGTTTTTCAGTTTCAATGTAAATACCTAGATATTACTTTAATTCATAACAAATATGATTAGATTCCATTCTGACTATTCTTAGATTTTTTTAGCACTGCCACTATATACTTGTGACAGTTTATAAATGTCATGTAGACATTTAGTTAGGTCTTATGTCTGAAGCCAATTCTTGACAGTGACTTCCGAAGCCCCACTCATTTTAATTGTTATTTTTTTGTTACGTTAGAAATCTTCGTTAGAAAACGATCTCGTCTGCTTTTTATCGTGTATTACTATTTTTGTTCAATCGGGCGCACCTCGATTAACTAGACACACGCGATATAAACAATAATATTTTACGGGAATTTTTACTTTGATTTATCATTTTACAATACGTTAACATGTATTTATTTTTTTATATTTTATTTACAATACGTGCGATACACTGGAGTTATTTTTTTCAAAATGAATATGATATAATTACTTGATGTCTCGCAACGTGAGTGCGACTAAACTGTTTCCGGTTTAATAGTCCCTATTCATAGAGTTATGTCCCTGTGTTATATAGTATTGTGTCTGGGTAGTTCGAGAAGAAAATGTCACACGGAGAATTCAGTTTTGTTTATAAAATTTTATTCAACATTTTATACACGTTGAAAGTGTTGAGTAAGCCTTCTAGTCTTCAAAATGTGGATTATTCTTGTGACAATATCCAAAATGACAGGCACATAAATGATTCGCAGTAACTGCGAATCAAAAACGTCAGATTTTAATTTTTGGATAGCAACGGACGAAATATGTATCGCAAATTGCGCTGCGATACTGGTTGTCGGCAGCCCTGCACACAGCATCGAATCCGAACTTGAAGAAGCAGCCTCTACCTCATTGGAAGATTTTAACTCCATCACATGGGATCAAGTACAGGAGGCCACCAACAGTGATCAAAACCTTGTGGACCTAATTAACTTCATCGAAGAAGGTAATATTCCGCCGTCATATGAGGATTGGCCATTAGCCCTGTGCAATTATCATCGGTTCCGGGACGACTTATACACATTAAATGGAGTACTAATGTACAAGGATAGAATCATCATCCCCGAATCCCTCCGTGACCAGTGCATTCGTGCCCTCCACTCAGCGCACCAGGGCACCTCAATGATGACAGCAAGAGCAGAATCATCCATTTTCTGGCCAGGCATCACTAATAACATCGCTCAGGCTAGATCACAGTGCTACCATTGCAACAGAATCGCACCCTCACAACCTAGTGCTCCACCTACTCCTTTAGTCGAACCACAATATCCGTTTCAGTGCATATGTGCCGATTACTTCGAATACAAGGGACACAACTACCTCGTTATAGTTGACCGGTAATCTAATTGGCCGATCGTCGAACGCGCCTCCGAGGGCGCAACTGGTCTAGTCAATTGCCTCCGCCAAACTTTCGAAACATATGGTATTGCCGACGAATTATCATCCGACGGGGGACCTGAATTCACATCCGCCACAACCAGAACCCTCCTTAAACAATGGGGCGTACATCATCGTCTATCATCCGTTGCCTTTCCGCACAGTAATTGTCGCACAGAAATAGGAGTGAAAACCATAAAGCGTCTCATCGCCAACAACACAGGTCCTAGTGGTACTTTAGACACCAATAAGTTCCAACGGGCAATCTTACAGTATCGTAACGCCCCGGACCCTACTACAAAGTTATCACCATCCCAATGTGTATTTGGCCGACCTACAAAGGACTTCATCCCCATTCATCCTGGTCGCTATCTCCCGCATCCTACGTGGCGCTCTACTTTGGCAGCCCGCGAGGAAGCTTTGCGTAATCGACACATACGCGACGCCGAACGTTGGTCAGAGCATACACATCGCCTTCCACCACTGAAAGTAGGTGATACAGTTCGAATTCAAAACCAAACGGGACCGTATCCAACCAAATGGGACAAAACCGGTACCATTATAGAGGTCCAACAATTTGACCAATATCTTGTCCGTGTGGATGGTTCCGGACGTTCTACCCTTCGCCACAGGAAATTCCTCAGAAAGTATGTACCTGTTAAGCTGCCACCCTCTCAACGGTCAATCTTAGACGACCTCCGGACCATCCCATATCACCCACCTGACCTCAGAGCCGATTTGCCTCAACTGGAAGAAACACAGCTGGACACTCAACAAAGAGGATCTAGAACCGTCACTCCAACTTTGCAAGATCAATCTACCCCTGTTCCACCGACCATTGTCCCACCTCCTTCGCACGCAAGACCCCCAGTGATACCGCCTCTACCTCCTCGTCAATTGCAGGACGAACCCCTACCACCAACAACCAATCCAACTGCCACCGTTGAACAAACTCAACCACCTTTACAGTTACGATGATCCCTCCGTGCGCGAGGACCACCGGCTTGGTTAAAAGACTATACTAAATAGTGCAACACTAATAACTATCAGTCCCAATACTATTATTGACAATATCTCATGGGACTTGGGGGGAGATAGAGAATTATTATAATTAGTGGTCTCAATCCTTTGACATTAAATTAGAGTTATCTGCTTAGTGAACAAAATGGAAGATACAAACGAACAGGCATCTCTGCCTTTGAACTTTCTTTGCGGTAATTGTTATCTTATACGCATCAGTAATGTGCATAATCATACATTCTAAGTGCCACTTTTCTGTATTTCATTATCATTATGAAACCGTACTCATGTAGTTTTAATATTGTTCATTTCAGATATTATCATTCTTCATGTAGAATAAACATACTATACTATTAGTCACTACGAAATGCCCAAGGGTTATTCTCTAGTAACGTTTTTAGCTTTGCACACTCTAGAGATCATAATTTTATCCGATTTTGATTCAACTTGAAATGCATGTTTATAACCCAAAGATCTTGGTTCCTTGGTTTGATATTCGCGCATAGATCTACCGGACAATTCGGTTAATGTCGTTTTACTTACTAACTTAGGCTAATGATGAGGAAATCTCTACATTTTTGTTTCTAATGCTTAAAGATGGGTTCCCAGAGAAGTATTTATCGGGTGGTTACTTCCAATAAAAGTATGGCAATTTTGGTATATGGAAAGTAGAGATGTCCAATCTTACTAGAAAAATACTGAATTCCCCGAAAAACACTCATGGAGCGTATAAAGGACAAAAATGTAAGGGTTCCCCGTATCGACAGCCCGACGATTAGGAAATTCTGCACGCGTGATGTCAAACGTCACACACGAACATTGAACGCTTGTTGTACAAGTTGATAAACTTTATGAAGAGTTAGATGTACAACACTTTCTGAGATAAAAAAGACGGAACAACAAGCGGGTAGTGGTTAATCTGAGAATTTAATTAGGATTCGATATTTGTAATAAATAGTAAGCGATTAAAGACAACATCGTCTTATGTATGCAATGAATTCTCCTCTGACTCCCGAAGGGGTAAGTCACCACAAGACATAAACATGACCTGTTTTTATAGCAGGGCATTCCTTGGCAATTACAATGTTTGAGAAGGATTTGAAGCAAAATCATGAAAAATTAATTAGTTTGAATATGTTTTTAGTCCATATATACCATTAAATCACCCAGTTTGAACGCGGGAATGTATTTTTACTTTAAGTGGAAGTTCGCTTGTTGTTAATTCACTTATTTTAGTTTCATTTTTTATTTACTGTTAGCACGATGTAACATAAAATCAGTTTAGTTTAGTTTAAGCAATAAGGTATCCATCAATTAATATTATTAATAAATTTTCAAAAAAGGAAGATCCCACAAAACCTTGCAACAAATGCGATGTAGGCTAGACGATTTTGATCCAATTAACAAATAATGCAAAAGATCTGAGCTAATTTAAGTTCTAGCAGGGTTGGATGTAGATAACAAATCTTACCTCTCAACCCTCCGTGTTTCGAGATAAGAAATGATGCCATTAACTCCAATGTAGCACATGCGGGAGCGATTCACACCCGGCATTTGTAAACAAAATTGACAATATTTTTAATCAAAACACCGATTGATTATTGTTATTTATAATATTTCTGCCACATCCAACTACAATTTAGCATATAATCCTACCTGAAACGGGTACAAATCGTCGTTTTTAAAATCGAGGCATTAAGCCGTTAATTAACATACGCTGTCATCATGAAGGCGGGGCTAAATATAAGGCTTTTATAACAGCCAATCAAAAGGGCAATCTACTGTCTGATTCATTGTAAATTTTAAACGGATTTCTTCGATTATGAACAAACTACTTAACTTTGGTTATTATAAACTTACCTGTGTGTTTGTAATGAACTCCCGTTCGATAAAATCCATTGCACAACTAATTATCACAACGATGAGAACAATTTCTCTCTTGAAAAATTTGAAAATTTACTTGTAATTTCGACAGAGTCGATGTCAACAATGTCTTCGTGACGTAATGGTCGTATCCAATATACCTGTTGCGGGGGTTGGTTAACATTGAAAGATAATTTGACAGCGCGATCATTTTGATCGTATATGGGTTTGGGCGACGAAAAATATCAATTGAAGGCAATTACATAGGAGATTTATATGGAAACCATTGATCGCCAGTCTATCAAATTTTCTTCACAATTAAAATATCACTGATTGCACGGATACTCGTAAAAATAAAGTCATGAATAAACTATAAATATCCTATCTTCTTTATGTTATAAATAATTTAACAAGGATCATGAAGCTTACCTCCGAATTCTCTGAGTGTATTTTTAATTTTATACGCATTCTTTCGATCGAATAATAACCGCTTCAGTAACATCTTTAAGCGTGTTGCGGCAGCCCTCAGCGTGTCTATTGCCGTATTGGGTGCCCGGGTGGGTATATAATGCTACTAAGCCCGTATGACCCCGTAAGAAGCGGAACATTAATTCCCGATTCGACAGTTTTGACCGAAGTGTGATAAAGCCCGTAAAACGAATGTATAGTTGTGTTTGTGCGGCATGCGTGTTCAAAAGTAAATAATCCCATCCGAGTCGCTAATCAAATAATTAGAACAAAATATTTCAAAAAGTAAAGCTATAAAATTTGCAGAGATTTTACTAGAATGTAAAAGACGGTAACTAAATACAGGAATGCGGGTAGTTATGTGTGCGAATGCCAATTGTCGTAGGTATCCAGACCACTCGGACCAAAGACTACTCGGACTAAGACCAGTCGGACCAAAACAAGACCAGTCGGACCAATTAAATTATATTATAAGGCTAGACAATATGCTATTTATTTATTATTAAATCACAATACAAAGAAGCAAATAATTCTTATACGGAATTCTTATATTTCGAGTTGTTTGGTTCAATTTTGTGTACGGAAAATAAATCAACGATTAGTTTTAAAATTAATTAATAATGGTGCCAAAAAAAAATATCAATCTAATTTTTCTTTACTCTTGCAATGAGACTCGGTATGTCCAGACTTTTGACAGTTTCTACATATACGGGTATACTGTTCTTGTCTGATAGCCTAATTTTACTTTTTCCACATTCTCGGTATCCCCAGTGGTTTCATTCCGTTCTACCCCACTAACCCCTGGGTTACTATATATGGGGGGGTGGGGGTGGGGTGGAGACACGTTTTCAAGTTATCCGCCCTTGATGCGTTAATATAAACAGCACATGATAATACGAAGACCGGACGTTTATATGCCCCTTTTTAAACGTGACTACAAGTGTGGTTCTCGATATTTTGCGATTTGGAATACAATTATCAATTTATTCAAACAACACGTTATTATTAGTTCGAGTAGTCATATTAAAACACACACAATTATCAATTTATTCAAATAACACTTTATTATTGGTTCGAGTAGTCATATTAAAATAAACACAATTATCAATTTATTAAAATAACACTTTATTATTGGTTCGAGTAATTATATTAAAACAAACGCAATTATCAATTTATTAAAACAACATTTTATTATTGGTCCGAGTCGTCTTTCTGTTGGGTCCGAATAGTCTTTTTGTATGGTCCGAGTAGTCTATTTGTTTGGGCTGAGTGGTCTATCAGTTGGTCCGACTGGTCTTGAACCGAGTGGTCTTTGGTCCGAGTGGTCATGGATTCTTGTCGTAATTGTACTTGAATTTCCTATGCTGTCACCCCTAATACGAAATGATATCTTCCGCAGAGTGACATAACCATCTTCCATATTGGTATTTTTCTCTGGGAAAAGTTTGTGATATTTCAATTTTTCAAGAGAGAACTTGTTTTCATCGTTGTGATAATTAGTTGTGCAATGGATTTTATCGAACGGGAGTTCATTACAAACACACAGGTAAGTTTATAATAACCAACGTTAAGTAGTTTGTTCATAATCGAAGAAATCCGTTTAAAATTTACGATGAATCAGACAGTAAAGCATTTTAACTATGAAAGGATTTCGATAGCGGTGAAAGTCAGACAAAAACAACGCTTCATTAATTAAAGCGCGAATATTTGGAGTTAGGCGACAGTTGTACCACTACATTGGCCTCTGTAAGTTTAATTAATCATAATAGCATAAACTCATCTTATTTTAAAGATGTAACACTAACATGCATTAATAAAGAAATTGAGTTTGCCACTTGGAACTAAAGGCATCCAATAAACAGCTAAAAATAAACACATCAGTATCTCAACGTTTTTAGCTACGTTCTCGTAGCTAGGTTGGATGATGATGGGGATGGGAAGTGAATAAGTAATTAAAATATTTGTTACCGATTTCTTCAGTTCTTTCTGGAACTTTTCTTCAGTTTCTATGGTGATTCCCAGTAAATCTTGGTCACTTAATACGTCAGGGTTTAGAAATTCTCGGTACAAATTTACCAGAACCTTCTTTTTAACGTCACCTGATGGAAATTTTATATTGTTCCGTCTCAATTCGCTCTTTAATTTCACTTTCGTCAGTTTGTCAGCATGATCAACTACAAAGTTCATCGTATGCAAATTCAGGGTTCGACTTCGAAAGCGGAAATGGCGCGAAACGAACAAAGATGAAAGAAAATATTTGATTGGTTGATTAGTCTGCAGATTAATTTATCGACCAATCAAATATATTCCGGAAGTGAATATTACTTTTACTTTACAATTTCCAAAATCTGTTTCCGGTTAATGAAGGGATTTTGGGATTTTGTTTTGCAGCTTAGAGATAAATAAATCTAATGATGTGAATATGAAGGTTTTAACGTGGAATATCAATGGTATACGAGCGAGCAAGAAGTCACTGAAAGTTTTATTTGATTCACTTGATGCTGACATAATATGTCTTCAAGAAACAAAAGTGACCCGTAAGTGTATGATTTTTAATTTATTTTGTAGAAATATTTCTGTTGTTGACATTTGAATTTTGATGATGTATGTAGAGTCGACAAGAGAGGACAGTCATTTGGTCAAATAAAACTTTAACATCATACTAGACACTTGAAGAAGATAGGCAAAGACCATGCCGTGTGATTACATGTCATTTGGGACTCACGTCATTTGGGACTCAAAAAAATATGACCACGACATTTGGGACTCGGGTATACCACGTTTGGGACTTTGGTATACGTCGTTTGGGACTCGGGTATACGACGTTTCGGACTCGGGATAATTTCTTAGAAATAGGCCAATTCAAAACACGAAAGAAAATATTTATTAACATGAAACACGTGGTTAGTAAAAGACTCAACCAAACGATAAAACATTAGTTGCACTTACGATTCTTTGATAATCATTGTTTCTCATAAAAGTTATATATTTATTTAAAACAAATAATATGCTGATGAATTTATTTGAAAATGACCTACACAAAAAACAAAATAAATATTTACACGACATGCAATCTTTTTTTACAAGCCCCTAGAAATTGTTAACGATAATCCGTGAGCTGCACATTGACATGCTTGTCGTAGATGGCAATACCAATCGATAAATTAGTGCATACAAGGCAAAGTTTTTTTGTGGAAAATATAAGAAATGGCAACGATCAAAGTGGAATAATTAAAGCTGATTAACTGATAATCCCAATGTTATTAAAGTATGTTCAAAGAAACCTAACGGTTCTTTGGTGGATGAGGAAAAACTTGAAAATCATCGAGAATGGCGGCCGTGTGTTGATTGCAGTTATATACCGTTTCACGAAAAAACATTAGCAGTGGTCGGTCAATGAAGCTCGTTTACTATTTGATAAAAGAAAAACAACGAAGTATTACTAAATATACACAAATTTTGAACAATATATTATTGTCAAGTTTTATACTCGCAGATAAAACAAAACAAAGGAAAACTAGCAGTGTTATTCGCGGTCTCAACAATCGGCGATCAACTAAATAAAACGAAAGACAACTAAGACAGCTGTTATCTAATAAATAAATAGTCCCAACTGTCGTTTATATTGAGTCCCAAATGTCGTTTGTGTTGAGTCCCAATTGACGCCAATCAAGTCCCAGACATCGTCAACTGAGTCCCAAATGTTGTTTATGTTGAGTCCCAAATGACGTGAGTCCCAAATGACGTGATACCTGCTGTGTGCTAGTATGAAGGAAATTGTGCCTGGACAGTGGTGATTACTGATGCAGTCTACTCTTACTAACTTCCATTTGTGGTGTGTCAGGCCTCGAAATGTTTAAAAAAAGCTACCTGTCGCAAGCGACAGGTAGCTTTTCTTCATACCTGTTGCTTCAGTAAATAACCTGTCACTCTCAATTATCAAACTCAAAGAATAATCACATCACACATATCCATACATGTAGGTACACACGCACCTGGTTAGGTCTTTGACGTACATTGCTCTATATAAATATTGTAATATGAAACCTTTTTATTTCTTCGACATCGGAATGCCTAAAAGTTCTTGAAAGTCGGCTAAACTGCTTTGGCTCGGCGATTCGAAGATTCGTACAATTCTATCATCCGTATCCACGTGAATTCCGCAAAGTATCATAGTACAACACTTCCGTACTAAATCGAATACTTCACCGTTGAGTTGTAGAATTCAGATTTTAAAATATCCGTAATAAATTGAATATCAAAACACGAATCACACCTGTGCATGGCACCGTATTTACATGTACCGCGTGCGAAGGACAGATAACGCCACCTGGAATTCCCTTCTCACATTTCCAATTCCAACCACTACTATATTTACTGTGGTGTCGTTACGGTAGAATTATTTCAGGTGACTTAGGGGTGCGTTTTAATTTATTTAGATATAATACTCCATAATGTTATAAACTAGTGTCAAGCAGATCAAAACAAGCGTAGATGGTGTGAAATTCATTGATATAAAATTGTCTACTTCCAAACTGTGTGAGTAACTGTAGCCTACGACAGAGCGAAATGTAATTGTAAACAGTGCAAATGGTGGCTTTTCGCGGTATTTCCGTGCTTAATTCTTGCATTTAGAAACAAATAATTAAATGTACATGACGTGGACGTGAGTATTGTGGTCAATTTACTGAACATCAAGTAAAATTTAGTCTACCTGTCGGCGACAAGTAGACAGGCTAACATTTCGAGCCATGGTAAGGCTAATCCCAGCTGTATAGCACTTTCGCACCTCTACCGGTTTCAGAGGGTGTTAAGGGGGACCAGCCATGACCTCAAATCAAATTTCAGCCGAATCGATCAATAACTTTTGGTTTTACCGACCTTTTAGCTTCTGCGAGAGATAAGTTCATGCAATAAACGCCATTTTGTTTGTTGACTATATTTAGACTCGAATAACAAGAAACCAAGACGGATTCCGACAATTTATCGATCGATACGGCTGAAATTTGATGGGAGGAAATGGCTAGCCCCCCTCAACATCCCCTGAAAATTTCAAGTCTCTACGATCACGGGAACTGGTGGAGGTGCGAAAGTGAAATAGCACCCTAATCTCACTTGGAATTTAGATCCAAAGATATTTTTTGGGTGTCCTCCATTAAATCCCATTGCAACCCTTCATAATTGGGAAATCTTTGGGAAAAATCATGTTTTTTTCGTCCCATCCGGACAACTATACATACGTTGTCTCTTGCCTGACCCTCTGTCATGTTGTTCCCATGTTAATTAAAGGTAATATTGTTAATTACAGGTGATATGTTAGATGAACCATCAGCTATTGTTGAAGGGTATAATGCTTATTACAGTTTCTCACGCAAGAGAAGTGGATATTCAGGTATTGTACTGTGTATATATTACAGAGCATGAGCACAATATAGCCACGTAGTATAAACTCCTCTACTCCTTCATATTATTAATTATTTTCAGGTGTTGCAACATTTTGTAAAGACACAGCAGCACCTTGTAAAGCTGAAGAAGGACTGAGTGGATTGTTAACCAGCCAATCAGAAGATAGTGTAGGTTTCTATGGTAATTTGGATGATTTTGATGTGGAGAATAAGGAATTAGAAAATCTAGATGCCGAGGGCCGAGCAGTTATTACACAACATAGAATAAAGTAAGCTTAATTCCCACTTTATTCTACACCAGTCTGTATTTCAATTCAGCAAGAGCCGGGGGGGTTGGATGGTTGAATTGTTAGCGCGTGCGACGTATCATAAGGTCTGCCTTTGGGTCAACTGCCATGGTTTCTATTCCCGGGTTGTACGTGACAAGGAGTAGAGTTGCCTGTCAAACCTCGTTTTCTTCGGGTCCTCCGGTTTCCTCCGACTGCTAAAGACCCCTATGCGCAAGCGTATTATTGAAATAAAATTGAGCCATATGTTAGTCCCAAAATGACCCCTCTCTCTGTGTTTTAGATGTAAAGATGGAGAAGTAGAAAATGTTGCGATAATCAATGTTTACGTCCCAAGAGCTGCAGAAAGAGAAGATCGACAACAATACAAATTACGCTTTCTTTCACTGCTACAAAACAGAGCTGAGACATTACTACAGAACAATAGGTATCAGTATCTTCAAACATTCCAATTTTTATTCACATTCAGGAATTACAGAGTTTTATCCCTTACGGAGGAATATGATATTGAAATGGGCTCTGTCTGCCATCTGCTCTCTTATCTTTCTGCACGTCCTACCTTTGTGGGTATATTGAAAAAAACAATCATTTCATTTCTATGGAATGTATTCTGGAACAGATCTCAAAAACAGTTCAAGATATCTTTATGAGACTTTGTACCGGTACACACTTGGGATATTGATGACTGGGTCTTCTTGTTTTATTTTAGTTCAAAATTTTATGCTATGTTTTACACCCCCCTCCTCCAGGATGCGCTACCATCTTTCTGCATGCAGAAGTTGAATTTATCCAGTCCTAAATTTCATTTCAAACCTGTATTCATCTGGCGAAAGTTTTCATGTCAGTCGCAAACAACTATACTTTAGACATGTCACCTGTGTGTCACCTTAAATCATCCAATGAAATTGTTAAACATAAATTATGCAAGAGCTTAATCTGCATATGTCTTTCTTTAGACCTGAAATGTTATCTAAACTATTAATGAGACATTATTGTGTGTATCATAAAGCTTTTTCTTCTAAGCTCTGTGTGCATATGAAAATGCCCTGTGTAAATAATAAAGCCTATTCATTCCATGCCCTGTGTTTATGATACAGCCTTTTCTGCCTCTCCTTTTGCATATGATAAAGCCAATTTATTCCTTGCCCTAAGTGTATGTTAGAGCCCTGTGCATAATATTATGATAAAGCCTATTTCTTCGATGCCCTGTGTGTATGAGCCATTTCTTCTGTGCCCTATGCATATGATATTAAGCCTTTTCTTCCATGCTCTGTGCATGATAAAGCATTTTCTTCCATGCTCTGTGTGGATGATAAAGCCATTTCTTCCATGCCCTGTGTGTATGATAAAGCTTTTCCTTCCATGTCCTGTGTGTATGATAAAGCTTCCTTCCATGCCCTGTGTGTATGATAAAGCTTTTACTTCCATGTCCTGTGTGTATGGTAAAGCTTTTCCTTCCATGCCCTGTGTGTATGATAAAGCTTTTCCTTCCATGTCCTGTGTGTAATATAAAGCTTTTCCTTCCATGTCCTGTGTGTATGATAAAGCATTTCCTTCCATGCCCTTTGTGTATGATAAAGCCTCTTCCTTTCCTTCCATACAAGTGGACTGGAAAAATGATGAATTAGTGATGGCTGGTTTTTTTAATGAATGTATTTTTGTCTCTGTTTTCTGTTTTCCAGTCATGTTATAGTTCTAGGAGATATTAATACAACACACAGTCCACTGGATAACTGTGATACAGAGAGTGAGGTAAATAATTCCATGTGGCAGAATGTTTCAGTTAGGAATGCAACATGGGAGATTATAAACATTAGATATTTTTTCTGGACCAGGAACTGCTCTCCAACAAGCACTACTCATCTTGCAGATGTTCTTTAGGTGCCAGAGGGTTGGATGGCCGAATGGTTAGCGTGTTGCGTCATAAGGTCTGTCATTGAATCAGGAGGCATGGTTTTGTTTCCTTGCTTGTATGTGACAGTGGGTTTTCTTTGGGTCCTCTGGTTTCCCCTCACTGCTAAAGACCCCTATACTCAAGCTAATTAATGAAATAAAATTGAATTATATGTTAATCCTGAAATGACCTAGTTTGTATGGAGTGGAGTTAAACTGCATCTCTCTCTCTCTCTCTCTCTCTCTCTTGGGGTGACATTCCTCAATAAAAGACTGCTAATTTATGTATGAATCTTGGCAGGCTTGTTCCTTGGAAAATTTCTTATCGATTGGCAGACTTTGATTTTTGATATGATGTCACAATTCCAAATATGGCTATGATGATGTCATTCTCAGTTCCTGGTCCATAGTGCTGTGGTATTTGTTTCTTAATTGAAGATGCATTATACAAGAGCTAAATCTGCCTATTGCAGGTCTTTCTTTAGGCCTTAATTGTTAAATAAACTATTAATTAGACATTAATTAACTTATCCAGACCATAATCAACTCTAGATGGCATTGGGTGGCTCCGATTTTTGGTAGATTAGAACGGTTCGGCCATTTAATGATTTAAATTAAAAATAGATTCGAATAACCAGCACTGTGGTTACGATAATACAAAATCAAAACTACAAACAGTGATTACTTCGCTCAGAATAAAGTTATTTGAATGAAATTTTCACTGTATTCATTTGACATTATCTATTTTTGAGCTATTATAGCAAGAACGGCCAGTTCTTTATCTAAATCTTACATAAAGTATCTTTAAATGATGAAGAATGAATTTCAGTAAATAAACCGAGTAAAATGAGATATTCTCTGATAAATGGAAATGACGATAAGTGACTATAAATAAAGAAGGTGGGGGCCCTTCGGGGCTAAATCTTATTGTATAGCCATCCGTTGCAAAAGTTCTTAAGTGTGAATCCATTTGATTTAAATTGGTTCAAGTGTAAGAAAGAAGGGGACTATTAAAATGGGTCTGTCTGTCCGTCCGTCCGTCCGTCCCACTTTTTGGGACACAATAACTCTCCTTCTAATTGACCTAGAATGTTCAAACCGGGTGTAGGTGTTTATTAGGTCAATGCCTTGATGGAGTTCGAAGATGAGCATTTTCTGCTAAGGGTAAGCAGAGATAAGCAATTTGATTGGTTGATGCTTTGGGACACGATAACTTTAGTTCTAATTAAGTGAGAGTGATGAAACTTGGTGTATAGTTTCAGTACATCAATACCTTGACTATGTTCGATGATGAGAATTTTCTGCTTAGGCTAAGGAGCAAAGAGCATTTTGATTGGTCAAGACTTTGGAACATAACAACTCTGCTTCTAATTGAGGTAGTATGTTTAAACTTGATGTAGATGTTCGTCTTGACTGGGTTCAATGATTGACATATCGAGTTAAAGCTAAGCAGAGATAAGCAATTTCCTTGGTCGATGTTTTGGGACAAGAACTTTGATTCTATCTCATAAAGACTGATGAAACTTAGTGTATAGTTGATAATCAGTTTGATTGTTTGATACTTTTGAAAAAAATAGATGTGCGATTAATTAATATGTGTCATCTATTTATTGGAGGATTTCGGCGGGGGTCATCAGCCTCACTGTTGGCTTGTTTTGTTACAGTCGGGATCCATCGTGAAAATCTCAATTATTTGTATCGTAACATTTCTACCTGCCTGTCGAAAAGGTATTTGAACAGGTTTTGGTCTGATATATAAAATATATGGAAATTATTCTTTGATTCACTTTCCAAAAAATCATAGGATGTTAATTCACTTAAAAATTTGTGCAATTTAAATTCTGATTTTGTATTAAGAAATTGCTTTTCATTTTAAGGAATTTACCAAAAGACCAAGTCGACTGTGGATGAATCAGTTTTTACGAGAATCAGATCGTGATCCCAATTTAGAATGCAATGATGAAGAGAGTGAGATCCTTGGTGAGACGATGACCCCTAATCTGATTGGCGGATTTTTTGTTGATTCATTCCGTAACTTACATCCCGATAAAGAGGGTGCTTTTACCAATTGGTGCACGACAACAAATGCTAGAGAAAATAACTATGGCAGACGATTGGATTATATTTTAACCAATGAGAAGCTTCATGTTGATTGCGTAACTGATGCGATTATTATGCCGGAGATTGATGGGTCTGATCATTGTCCCGTTAAAGTTATTTATGACTGTGAAATCGTGGTTCCGAAAAAATGTCCATCCCTTTGCACGAAGTATATGCCTGAATTTCGAGGTTCTCAACAAAAGTTGTCGTCATTTTTTATTAAAAAATCAGACTCCAATGTGGAGATATCTCACACAGAAAAAGAACTGAAATCTCAAGAAATAGTTCTGTTGAAGGTTCCGGTAATTAGCAATTCCTGCCAATCCGAATCTCTGAATTTATCGAATTTAAAAAAGAGGGCATCCGACACAGTTTTATCTACCTCTAAGTCAAAAAGATCTAAAACAGATAAACCAGAAGTATCCAAGCAATCAAGTTTAAAAACATTCTTCATCAAACCTACAAAAACAGAAGAAAAATCATCGCTGTCTAAATTAATCAACCTGAAAATTTCCGAACATATTCCCAAGAGTCCTGAATCAAAAACTTTTCCAATTCAGACCAAAACGTCACCTTATTTCAATAAAGCATCAGAAAATAAAAGTGTGGTCAAATCAACTAATAAACTAGGTTCAGGGGAGGGAACTGTTGGTTCAGGGGAGATAACTGCACCTACAAAATCAAACTCCTCATCAGCATGGAAGAGTTTATTATCCGGTCCAGGAAAAGCACCACTTTGTAAAGGGCATAAAGAACCATGTGTTTTACGAACTGTTAAAAAAGATGGACCGAATAAGAATAAACAATTTTACGTGTGTGCTCGTGGGGAAGGTCACAGTTCAAATCCAGAAGCACGATGTGACCATTTTGTTTGGGTAAATCATAAATCTAAATGAAATTTTATTGTAATCAAATCATCATTGTTAATTCTGCTAGTAAACTGTTCATGTTTGTACCAGTTTGTCTTGAGATTAGGTGGGGTGGATGGCCGAATGGTTATCGCGAGCGCGTTGTGTCATTAGGTCTGTCATTGAGTCAACTGGCGTGGTTTCGATTCCCCAGTTGTTTCTTGACAAGGAGTAGGGTCGCCTGTCCAACCTCGTGGGTTCTCTCCGGGTCTTCTGGTTTTCCTCCCTGAGGCTAAAGACCCCTACGCACACGAGGGAGAAATGCGGTTTAAGGTCCACATGACACATACTAGGTCATTTCGAGACTAACATGTTTCAATTTTATTTCAGTAATTCATGAGGTTGGACAGGCGATCCAACACGTGACTCAAAGATAGACTTTATGACCAAACATGCATGCGTTAACCATTACCCCCCCTCTTTGAATGCAATATTCTGTTGGGGTCATAAAGTCAATGAGGGGATCACGTGGCTAAGTGGGTAAGACACTGGCTCGCTAGCCTGGAGGTCGGGTGTTCGATCCCTGCATTGGTCGAGAAAGTTCATCCAGATTTTCCGGCGTGGTTTCCCCTTGTCAGTGATGCAGGACGGAGGGCCTGACAAGGACAGCTGTCTAGTCGTTTGGATGTTACGAAAAACCGAGGTCCCGTGTACATATTGGCGTGCACGTAAAAGATCCCTTGGCAGTTGGAATTCGATATAAGAGTAGGCCGTAGCACCGCTGCCCGGGCCAAATTTCCCTCATAGCACACTGTATGGCGTATGCCCGTTTTCATTAGCCCAGTTTAGGAGCAGAATAGTAGGACGTTAAACCCCATTTCATTTCATTTCATAAAGTCAATGAGAAATCGATGGTGGTCTGCCTGTGTTGATTGCTATCCATATATTCTGATGTTACCACAGTCCTGTCCAATTAAAAAAAACCCAGCTTTTTGATCTTGTCAGTAATAAAGTTTTAATTTATTTTTAAAAAATTATTTACAATATTTAAATATTAGGACTCAGTCCACAAAATTCCACAATTTACAATTATAATTAGAATATAAAAGCAATGATGATTGGGTAAAATGAAAAAGTGATTAAAGAATTATGACATGAAATATTTTGGTAATTTTCAATGTTTTTTAGTTATTGCAACGTGCCATAGGATTTACCTTGGCTTGACGTGCAGGTGTCAGTCTTGACTGTTGTTTGTAAAATTGACCGAAATTGCTTGGGGGCAGGTTTTTCAAAATAATGCAAACAGATAAGTTTTCAAATTAGATTTAAATTTCACGAGGGTTGGACCTCTGTGGAGGTTTCAAGTTGACTTGAAACATGACCGTAATTGCTTGGGAGCAGATTTTTCAAAATAATATAATTCAAAGTTAGATATAAATTGTTTGAGGGTTGGACCTTTGTGGAGGTTTTAAGTTAGGTTATGCGTGACTTGAAAAGAGCAAATCACAAAAAGACATTTCCTTCCATAGAGGAGCACAATGTTATTTTTTCCATTCGGGAAGCGATATTTATGCTTGTTTTTCGTATCCTACATAGCAAACAAAGCTTTTTTCTGATTGGTTGATTGATCGTCACAGATCGCACAAGTTCTTCAGAACGCTTCCATCCAGACGTGTAGGAATTTTCAACGTCCACAACCCGATTAAATACAGATTCTTCGATAGCACCCGATTAAATATAGATTCTTTGATAGCACTCTTATGATTTTTATCCGTTCTATATACACATGAGTAGAATGTGAGAAATAATCTTAAACTATACTCCATAGATGCTATATTGGTTCCCTCAATGGTCAGGAGTAGACTGGCCCCCACAGTTGGTTTACATATTCTTGATTACAGATTGATGACAGCGGTTAGGGTGTGGTCATCTTCGCTAGCCAAAAGTTACGATTCGCTTCTTTTCTCTTCCCTCTTGGCAGATCTCGAATACATTTTGAGGATTCGTGGATCAAGATTTCATTGGCTACAGTTATCAGTAGCTGTATCCAATCAGAAGACTTATCACATGTATATATCGGCGAAATGTAAACAAACATGGCAGCTGACAGAGAGTCTTGTCGCCTCTGCCACGACAACATATTGCCTAAACAACACAGAAGAACCATTTTCGGAGATACTTTTGGAGGCAGTCAACAACTAAGAAAAGCGTTGGGTGATATTCCCCAAATTCACATATCAATTTTGCTATACTGGGCGCAGCCATTTTAGACTCTCCAACATACGTACATGTATAACAAAACGATTCTGATTGGCTAGCGATGACGTCTATGTAAGGGGTGCAACTGTGATATATCACCAGGTGGCATTGCGCGCTAACTCCAAAATGTATTCGAGATCTGCCATGGGTGAAGAGAAGAGAAGTGAATCGTAATCCTTGGCTAGCGAAGATGGGCTGTGATATGCTTTCTAATTTGCATCTAACTAATACATTACTACCTGTATTCATATCTTGAGGACCAATGGTTAAGCTCTGCCCCGTTTCCGTATCCTGAGGGCAACGATATAGCATCCACCGATATATGATATGATCTAACTAGTCTCATTGATCTAAGCTATAGATATATTATCACGTATAGCATTATGTCTACTTGGTGCTGGATGAATGGCATGTTGAGGTGATGTGCCATGTCCACGATGTAAACCTGTATAAAACAATGCATTGTTTCCTTCTGGAGTCTCAGTCGATGTCATGGCGTGAGCACCCATTCCTGATGGGGACAAGAAAGCTGGGTCATCGGCATCCATTGATATAAATAGGTGATCGGTAACTGAAATGCAGAAAAATAAGAACATGTAATTACTAAGTGAAGTCTCTATCAGAGACAGGGAGAGAGAGAGATGGGGTTTAAGTCTTCTCGACACAAACTAGGTCATTTCAGGACTAACATATGGTTCAATTTTATTTCAATAATTTGTTTGTTAGCTAGATGGAAGAACTTTGCTTCTTAGCTAGGTGTAAGACCTGTGTTTGTAAGCTAATGGAAGACCTTTGCTCGTCAGCTAGATGTAAGAACTTTGCTTGTTAGCTAGATTAAGAACTTTGCTTGTTAGCTAGATGTAAGAACTTTGCTTGTTACCTAGTTTAAGACATGGAAGATTTGATTATATTAATAAAACAAACTTACTATTATCTACATGCTGTGGTAAGTCACCATAACCCCCTCTATTGGTTGTCCTGGTAACTGTCTTACGATTTATTTTAGGATTATCTTCTGGTCTTGGATCCGTCCGATCTTGTGTTGTATCTGTCCATAAAGCCTGATGTGTCTCTATACCAGTAACTGGGTCAACTCCTGATTTCATCATGGCTGTTCTGTGACCTTGACCATTATCTGGGGACATAACTCCAGCAGGGACAACAGATGCATTGTTACTATCACCAGGATTTCGAGGTTTAGATTTTCTTCGGTCTGGGCCATGACCATGTGGTATATCTCCATATGGAGTGGAAGAGGAACTAGGTTGACCTGGACTACCATTATGATTTTTATTCTGTTGACTTCCTGGTCGTGATTCTTGCGTAGCCATCATAAAAGAGGTTTTTTGGACTGGACCGTTTTTAGATGGTGTTTCTTGAACAATCCAAGCAGCTTTTCCTGCCATTTGTTGTGGTGCTGTGTTGGGATGTGCACCTGGTGCAGGCATTGTTTGATAAGCATAACTGTAGGTTTGTGTTCCTGGCGGTACTGTTCCTGGTGCAGGCATCATACCATATGGCATTCCATATTGCTGTAAGGGATACATTCCTCCTGGTACACCGTATGGATTGTACCCAGCATTTAAAGGTTGCATCCCTGCAGGATAGGGTTCTTCGGAAACTGGACGGTCAAACAAAGGTTCAAAAGCTTCAGGAGGGAGTGTATCTTTAACTTCTTCTTGTTTTGGTTTCTTTTTCTTCTTTTTCTTAGAATTTGGTGATTTGTGGGAATCTGCATTTTGATTTTGTGGAATGTTTGGATTGGGCACCCTTTCTGATTCACCGTGTTTAGCTTTGGAGTTGATTTCATTCAACTCTGAATCATCTGAAGCTTTATCTGTAGGCTTTTGTGATGGTCCACCAGGGCCTGATCGTCCATGAACGGATGCTGTAACAGTTGCTGGTTCTGGTACTGACATAAAACTACTGGAATCAAAATCAGAAGGTGGGTCAACTTGTCCTCCGGAATTACCATGGTTTTCACCCTTCCCTCTGCTATCCCCTTCCCCAGGACCTGATCGCGATTTAGAAGATTTTAGTTTTACTGCAGTAGCTTCATCAGCCAGATTCTTGGCTTTATTCATGTCATCGTGATGAGATCCTGTACTTTTATTACTACCTCTCCCTGTGTCACCTCTTCGTAACGATCCTCTTGTAGGGGAACCATCCTCTCCCCTTCTTGATGACCCCCTAGTAGGATCCCCCCTCTTAAAGAACTCATTCCCACTGTCTTTTTTCTTCAAATATGCAGGAGTCGCTACATTTTCATAAGCATCATCACCTCCATTAGATAGAAGTCTATTGTCTTTATTTTTATTATCATCACTTTCAAAAACATCATCAATTAATGTTTCTTTACTATCGCCACCGTCACCTCTTGCACTTTGACCTCTGCCCCTTGGCCCTTGCCCTTGACGTATCTCATTGTTTAGCAACTGCTTTAAATCAGTCTGTTCTTTCTGATAGGTGGCAGCAGGATCCCCATTTTTAGACGTAGTTACGACAACTCCATTAGTAGTTCCATTTCGTCCATATGATCTACGACCAAGAAACTGGGGACCATCGGTTCTTCTGGGAATAGATGGATCGTATTTACCACTAACTGCTGTATTCCATACCGATGGATCTTTATGATCCAGTCCAGAAGCAACCGAAGAAGTAACCATGCTGTCTGAATTTCCCACACCGAAATTCTCTTTCCCTTCCTTGTCGTCGTCGTCATTTTTTCCAGTCCAACCAGTGTAGTCGTAGAGTCTTCCTGATTTCCAACACCAGACCAACAGAAACATCAGGAGAACAAGCGCCAACAAACCAATAATAATACCAACTATTGCACCAACTGGTAAATTGGCTCCACCTTGAAATATTGATGATTCACCATCATCCTCTGAAAATAGAAATAATTGAGAAATTGAGTACATGTACATCGTTAGAGGCAGCGATCCAGCTCTGTAACGGAGAATGTAAAAGATATTAAATGAAAATGAACAGCAGGTCTTTATTGATATTGTAGCTCAGACCTAGGACATTCTTCTCCAGAGGCCAGTGCCTTATAACCAGTGCTTTCTAATAAGAGTGCCATACAACAATGGCCTCGATTTCTAACAAGAGTGCTTTACCTCCACGGAACCCCGCTTTCCAACAAAAGACATAGACAATGATGACCTGTACTTTAATACTCTGTTCTGAAATTTATTTTTTAATATATATACACTTCAAAAAAAGAAATGCACAGCCCATTTTTCATCATTTTTGTATTTGAACGAGATCGTTGTCTCCATAAATCTTACTTGTTTTTAATGTCATTATGTAAGGATAAAATAAATTCATGATTGGTTTTAAATGTACGGTCACTAATTATGATGGGTCATACTTTTTGCAGAAATTCGTTTTCGCTTGATTGTGCCAAGACACACGAGTTTAAATACTTCCCAAATCTAAGGCCTTTAAAATCCTGGGGTTCTCGGTTTCAAAATCAGTTGCAGATGTAAACATTTAACGATCCAAGTGATAACACATCTGAACTATGACCAACGCAACTGCGCTATCGGTCGGTTAGAAGCAGGTGAATCCCAGATAGATGTAGTCAGGCGTCTGAATGTTTCCCAGAGTACCATTTCTCGCCTCTGGGATACGTGACCGCCCAAGCTCAGGCCAAACAAGAGTGACCCCACCTGCCCTGGATTGTCACATCCAGTTACGTCATTTGGGAAACGGTTCACAACAGCGACCTCTACTGCAGCAGCAATTCCTGCACTAAGTAGGATCTCAGACCAGACAGTCCATAAACGCCTACATGAAACTGGATTACGAGCCAGAGTTCCCGTTAGAGCTTTTGTTTTGAAATACATGTACGCAGACACCATCAAATCCGACTTCAATGGGTTCAGACACACAAGGTATGGCCACAGCAACGCTGGAGAACAGTTTGGTTCAGCGATGATTTGCGGTTACTGTTACAACGACGTGATGGTAGAGCGCAGGTATACCGACGACGAAATGTCATTGTGCGTTTCTTTTTTTGAAATATACCCCATGTTGGCAACCCTTCTTCCAGTCTTGCTTGCTATGTTTCTCACAGTTTTCCCACCAAAATTCGTGCGTGCTGTATCATAAGGCCTGTCATTGAGTCAACTGGCGTGGTTTCGAATCCCTGGTTATATGTGACAAGGAGTAGGGTCACCTGTCCAATCTCGTGGGTTTTCTCCGGGTCCTCCGGTTTCCTCCCACTGCTAAAGACCCCTACCCCTACGCGCAAGCGAAATATTGAAATAAAATTAAACCATATGTTAGTCCCGAAATGACCTAGTTTGTGTCGTGTGGACGTTAAACTCTCTCTCTCTCTCTCTCTCTCTCTCTCTCTCTCTCACTCACTCACTCACTCACTCACACACACCAAAATTATCCCTATATCGATTTGTAGAATATTGCAGAAAAACAAATTGTGTGACAAACAAGGCTATCCTGAATAGCTACAAACATAAAATATGGGTAATCACCACACGTAGAATCTTCTTATAATCTCTTTTTATTAGCAGACGAACAATATTTTCACCATCTTTAATAAATTAAATTAACTGTTTGAAGTTTTAGGGAAGAACCCCCAGATTAAAAAGACCGACTGTCATCTTACTTATTGTGTTTCAACAAATTGGATAGAAATACAATTTCCAAGACTCAGGAGAGTTTTGATTGGACGATAAAAATAGACACATTCCATCAAAAACCCAAGTAATCCCTCTCAGTACGGCAATGGTTTAGGAATATGAGAATCAACTGACTTACTGTAGGCTCTTATATTAAGGTTGAAGACATAAGCATTTTCCTCAAGATTGTATGGTCTAGACAATCTTATCGTGGCAAAATTACTTTCTGTATAAAGCGTGTCTGTACTCATACTGCGACATGATAACTGGCGCTGAAATCAAACAAAATATTTGAACATTATATTTAAACATCCATTATGCAAGAGCTAAATCTGATTATTGCAAGTCTTTATTTAGGCTTCAGATGTCAAAGAAATTATAAATTAGATCTTTATTTACACAACAAGTACAAAATCAACTCTGTAGACCCACGGATGGTTTTGGAGCTTGGATTTAAACAGGATTTCGTTGACTGATTTAATTCTAAATGGCGTCGTGAGTGGAGATTAACCGTTACGTTGACGTCATACTCCCGGATCGAGGCTAAATGATAGAGTGTATGAAGCGAGGCCGCTGTTGAACAATGCCTTAACAAATGACATCTAAACTAATTAAAGTGCAATAAACTAAACACAGATAATGACAAATTATACAATTCCTGGAGACCGTGTGATACAGACGGAGAGGTCTTCTGTCTTAATAATATCAATAAAAATATTTTTATTTCCCCAATAGGCACGACGCCACTGGTGTATACCTATAGATTTATCATAATTGTATTATAATATTATGTCCTATATTCAATTGATTTAATGCATGCCCAAAATACAAGTAAGAATGAAAATTTACCCTCTCACTCATTTTGTTCAATTGTTATAAAAATCCAAAAAGGTAAAACACAAATTCGGATATGATGACAGCAGACAAAAGACAGCAGAGATTATGTAGGTGGAGTTAACACCTGTCAATCAAACAATCGGCCATACTAAGAATCAGTGAAGATGGAATTCAATCCCATTTCTAGTCAAAAATTACACTGGTGATAACTATGTTCAAAATAAAGTAATTTGACTGAAACTTTCAATATATTCTTCTTTCATCATCTATTTTTGAACTGTTATAGCAAGAATGGCTAACTCCTTATAAAAATCTCCTATAATGTATCTTTAAAACCAAATTCCTTTGTCCTGCTAGAAATAAAACTTTTGGAGTGATAAATGGAAAATCTCTTTCAAAATTTTGCTAGTTTTGAGGTCGCATGTTCGATCCCTGCATCGGCCGGACAAGTTCATCAGGATTTTCTGACGTGGTTTGCCCTTGTCAGTGGTGCAGGATGGAGGGCCTGACAGGAATTCGATATAATAGTAGGCCTTAGTGCTGCTGTCCGGAAAAAATTTCCCTCATATCACCCTGTATGGCATATGCCCGTCTTCATTAGCCCAGTAGGACGTTAAACAACATTTCATTTCACTATGCGTAACGGCTGAAGCCAAATTACGTTTATACTCAAGGGAGATAATCTATTTTTGCCAGAATATCAATAGAGAGAGAGAGAGAAATGGGGTTCAACATCCACTCAACACAAACTAGGTCATTTCGGGACTTACACATGGTTAAATTTTATTTCAATAATTCGCTTTCGCCGTAAGCTTGTTTCATTAGGAGACATTTGAGAGACAGACAGAGACACAGAGATGGGGTTTAACATCCACTCTACACATATTAGGTCATATCAGGACTAACATATGGTTCAAGTTTATTTCAATAATTCACTTGCGGGTCTTTAGCAGTAGTAGGAAACCGGAGAAACACCCAAAATGTTGGACAGGCTACCCTACTCCTTGTCACATACAAGCAGTGAATCGAAACTCTTGACTCAATGCCAGGCCTTATGATCCAATGCAAATGCCTTAGACCATTCCGTCACCCAAACCCCCTACATTTTATAGTTACACGAATCTTGTAGATGTTATCAATATTTATATCTTAAAAAAAACAAACAACCTATGTATAGTTGGCTAAATCTCTCCTGTTGATATTCGGGGGGTTGGATGGTCGAATGGTTAGCACCTGCGCGCTGTATCATAAGGCCTGTCATTGAGTCAACTGGCGTGGTTTTGATTCCTCAGTTGTACGTGACAAGGAGTAGGTCGCCTGTCCAACCTCGTGGATTTTCTCCAGGTCTTCCGGTTTCCTCCCACTGCTAAAGACCCGCAAGTGAATTATTGAAATAAACTTGAACCATATGTTAGTCCTGATATGACCTAATATGTGTAGAGTGGATGTTAAACCCCATCTCTGTGTCTCTGTCTGTCTCTCAATTGTCTCCTAATGAAACAAGCTTACGGCGAAAGCATTAGTCTTGAAGCGCGAACATGATGCAATAAATGCCTGAATTTCTGCTTTGGTCTGAAAATATCCCCTCCCCCCCCCCCCCCCAGATTTGTACTTCACCAGAAAAACAAGCCAACAGTGAGGCTGATGTCCCCCGCCGAAATCCAAAAATAAATAGATGACACATATTAATTAATTGCACATTTATTTTTTTCAAAAGTTTCCAGCAATCAAACTACAAATGTCATTACTAAAAGGCCCAGGTTCATTAGTCAACGGTATCAGCTTACCAGTGTTAGTCAAGGTAATGATATAATAAAGTTATAGTGTCCCAAAGCATCAACCAATCAAATTGTTTATCTCTGCTTACCCTAAGCGGAACGGACAGACAAACAGACAGACGGACGAACCCATTTTAATAGTTCCCTGCTTTCTTCGAAAGGCGGGGGACAATAAGCATGAACATTTACTCAATTCGAAGATCAACCAATCAAATTGTTTATCTCTGCTTACCATAAGCGGAACGGACAGACAGACAAACAGACAGACGGACGAACCCATTTTAATAGTTCCCTGCTTTCTTCGAAAGGCGGGGGACAATCAAAGTAGGAGAGTTATTGTTTTCCAAAGTCTCGACCAATCAAATTGCGTATCGCTCTGCTTACCCTGAGCAGAAAATGCTCATTATCAAACTTAGTCAAGGTATTACTGTAATGAAACTATACACCAAGTTTCATCAATCTCACTTAATTAGAACTAAAGTTATCGTGTCCCAAAGCATCAACCAATCAAATTGCTTATCTCGGCTTACCCTAAGCGGAAAATGCTCATCTTCGAACTCCATCAAGGCATTGACCTAATCAACACATACACCAAGTTTGAACATTCTAGCTCAATTAGGAAGAGAGTTATCGTGCCCCAAAGTATCAACCAATCAAATTGCTTATCTCTGCTTACCCTAAGCGGAAAATGCTCATCTTCGAACTCCATCAAGGCATTGACCTAATAAACACATACACCAAGTTTGAACATTCTAGCTCAATTAAAAGTTATCGTGTCCCAAAGCATCAAACAATCAAATTGCTTATCTCTGCTTACCCTAAGCGGAAAATGCTCATCTTCGAACTCCATCAAGGCATTGACCTAATCAACACATACACCAAGTTTGAACATTCTAGCCCAATTAGGAAGAGAGTTATCGTGTCCCAAAGCATCAGCCAATCAAATTGCTTATCTCTGCTTACCCTAAGCGGAAAATGCTCATCTTCGAACTCCATCAAGGCATTGACCTAATAAACACATACACCAAGTTTGAACATTCTAGCTCAATTAGGAAGAGAGTTATTGTGTCCCAAAAAGTGTGACGGACAGACAGACGGACAGACAGACGGACAGACAGACAGACAGACAGACAGACAGACAGACAGACAGACAGACAGACAGACAGACAGACAGACAGACAGACAGACAGACGGACGAACCCATTTTAATAGTCCCCTGCTTTCTTCGAAAGGCGGGGGACAAATAAATACTTACCAAATAATTTCCAAAGGCTCCTTTACCATTAAAGACATCTAGCTTGACGGCACAGTTCTGGATGTCGATGGCCTCGATAATAATCTGAAGTCGATATGCTCCGTCTGTATAGCCGGATTCTAGATTAACAATACATTCGACAGGAATTGTAGCGGGGACGAACGATGCTCTACCATTTATAACTAGGTCAGTATCAAACACAGGTAAAGTCTGACCACAGATAAATTCCAAATCATCTGAAAAGAAACATAGCCAAGAAATGAGTGAGAGAGAGAGAGAAATGGGGTTTAACTTCCACTTGACACAAACTAGGTCATTTCGGGACTAACATATGGTTTAATTTTATTTACATAATTCGCTTGCGCGTAGGGGTCTTTAGCAGTGGGAGGAAACCTGACACAGAGAAAACCCACGAGGTTGGAGAGGCGACCCTACTCCTTGTCACGTACAACCGGGGATTCGAAACCACGCCAGTCGACTCAATGACAGACTTTATGATACAGCGCGCGCACACTAACGATTCAGCCATCCCCCCTCCCCCCCGAAATGAAATGAGGTTTATCTTCTTACATTCCTGGGGGGAATGGATGGCCGAATGGTTAACATGTGCACGCTGTATTATAAGGTCTGTCATTGAGTCATCTGGCATGGTTTTGATTCCCCAGCTGTACGTGATAAAGAGTAGGGTCGCCTGTCCAACCTCCTAGGTTTTCTCAGGGTCCTCCGGTTTCCTCCCACTACTAAAGACCCCTACGGGCAAGCGAAATGAAATGAAATTAAATGGGGTTTAACGTCCTACTGTTCTTCTCCTATACTGGGCTAATGAAGACGGGCATACGCCATAGGCGTATGCGCGCTATGAGGTAAATTTTGCCCGGGCAGTGTCACTATCGCCTACTCTTATATCGAATTCCAACTGCCAAGGGATCTTTAACGTGCATTCCAATGTATACACGGGACCTCGGTTTTTCGTATCATCCGAAGGACTGGACAGCAGTCATTGCCAGGACCTCCGTTCTGCGCCACTGACAAGGGGAAACCACGTCTGAAAATCCTGATGAACTTTCTCGGGCGGCAATGCAGGGATCGAACACCCGACCTCCATGCTAACTCGCAAGCGTCTAACCCACCTAGTCACTGTGATCCCCATGGGCAAATGAATTATTGAAATAAAATTGAACCATGTGTTAGTTCCGAAATGACCTAGTTTGTGTCGAGCGGACATTAAACCCCATCTCTCTCTCTCTTACTTCCGTTACTGTACCAAACAGACTAGCGAAATATTTTTTAAAGATACATTAGCTAAGATTTTCATAACGAGTTGTTCATTCTTGCTATAATAATTCAAAAATAGATGATAAAAAAGAAAATATTGAAAATTTCAGTACATTATTTTATTCTGAACGGAGTTGTCACTGTTAGAAGTTTGGACTAGAAATACATGTAGGCATCAACTGTCTCCGCACCGTCTCCCATAGTTGCCAATCGTTAGATTGACAGACAATACCTCCACCCACATATTCTCAATTATCAAGTAACATTCATTGCAAATGTCATTTTTATTGAAGATTACACCAAAATGTTGGGTCAGTTAGTTAGAATTATCACTTACAATTTCTTTGTCCCCATGACGATGATATCAGAAAAACGACACCCAAGAACACCAACAGCATCTTGTTTGTATTCACATATAAAACCATTCTTTCTTTTATTCATGTCACATGAAATGAAGATCTACCATTTCTAAATAATAAAATAAAAATATTGTTTTTTATACAGTAACACCACATGTCTTTTTTAATTGTGAAATGAAAATGAAATGAAATGAAATGAAATGAAATGGAGTTTAATGTGCTACTGTTCTGCTCCGAACTGGGCTAATGAAGACGGGCATACGCCATACAGTGTGCTATGAGGGAAATTTTGCCCGGACAGCGGCACTACGGCCTACTCTTATATCGAATTCCAACTGTCAAGGGATTACGTACACGCCAATGTGTACACGGGACCTCTGTTTTTCATCGGATGGAACTGTCTATTAGTTAATGGACAATAAAAAAAAATGTCTATTAATTAGTTAATGGACAATAAGGAAGGACAAGGTAAAGTGACACCTTGCCATAATCAAACTCCAACCATCAAGACTTGAAATCTGAATTTTTTTTTATCAAAACTTAGTTATAGGACCTCATAGTTTTCAAATATTTTGTAAACAAAAGGTCATTTTGTCTCATGCACTACTTTCACTGCAGATGTATGGTGTACCACTAGTGGCATAGTGAACAGCAATATTTCCCCTATGATATGAGGTACACAAAGCTATGAATGTGACTGCATTTAACATATCGTGTGCTACATTATAGCCTTCATATTCCTGATTTGACATCTGATTACAATAATAGCAGTCTTTTTTAGGTGAGGGGGGGGGGGATTTTTCATGACTTGAATGCAGGGGTATATTACAATGTATGTATGTCTGCTAAGGCTCATTACATGTATATAGTGATACCATAATGATGAATGTATTATTTGTGTGTAGATAGAGACAGAGAGAGGTTTAATTATGTCCACTGGATACAAACTACTGTAGGTCATTTCGGGACTAACTCATAGTTCAAATTTATTTCAATAATTCGCTTGTGCATAGGTGTCTTTTGCAGTGGGAGGACCCGGAGAAAACAGACCCGGGGAAAACCGACAAGGTTAGACAGGTAGCCCTACTGCCTGTCACATACAAGCAGAGAACTGAAACTACGCCCCTTGACTCAATGACAGACACGTGTTAACCTTTCGGCCACCCAATTTACTTTAAAAGCATTCATCTTATGTACAGGTATGTACATCAAATGGAATAATCCACATTATTTACAATTTGTTATACCCACCTGTTATTACATAAGTCAACAAATCCTAAATCACATTTCAGTTCTGGCATTCACTAGACAAGTATTCCTATATTTCTGAAAAATACAAATTTTAAAGGTGTATGTTTCAATTCTTTTCCAAATCCAACACATACACAAATTCTATAATTAAACATCAATATACATGTACATGTGATATCAGATGTTCTAGTTAATTAGATGCTGATATACATGAATCACAACCATTCACAGATGTAGAATGTACGTCTTCTAGAAGGGTTGGTACGATGTAGATTTGTAAACTTGCCCACAGGGTTTGTGTAATATTGATATTGTGGGCATACCCTGCCCATGCATAACACTCATCACTATGCAAAAGAGTAACTTTACTGTCTAGATAGGGAATGTTCTTGATTGGCATGTACATGTATGTGATGGTTGCTTTACGTATGCTAGAATTAAAAAAAAACGGTTCTGATATAGATATTTAAGACAAAATAAACATTTTACCATTGGTACACGAATCGTGTACCATAATGCATTTCAGTGCCATTTGTAACATGGGACTCGAAGAACGAGGCTAGACATACTCCACAAGTCATGTTAAGCGGTGACGTCATATTCTTATCTGGAGAGCCTGCACAATAAATACTATTATTGTAGACTGGAATAACCAGATGCTAGAGATTGCCATTGAATGCAGACTTCTGGAATATTTCGCCGAACATAATTGATTTGAAATTTGAGTAAAAACAGAAAAGATAGAATGTAAATCAGTTTATATACATTCATATTACATTATTATATGCATTGCTACCCATCTGTGTCAATTTCTAGGTCTCAAATATTAGGAATTTACCTCCTTTAAAGCAACACGTTCACCATAATCTGCGTAGATTATCTTGTCCAATTCTGTAAAATAAGAATAAAAATGTACGGTATATCAATGAAAAGTTTATATGAAACAAATCTTAAATAAACGACACAGAAGTATAATTATTATATAATAATTTCAAACATAAAAAACCCAACAAACCATGTTTTAAAGTAGCTTTAAGTCTCTAACTCAATATCATCCAAAGTCTTACACATTTAAAACACAAATTATTTGTCAATTTAAATCAACATTGATGTTGCGATCTTACCGGAAAAAGATGGGATTCTGATATCCAATATCTAAGACAAAATAAAAAAAATACCATTGATACACGAATCATGTACCATAGTGCATTTCAGTGTCATTTGTAACATGTGACAACTCCTGTCAAACGGTGACGCCATATTTTATCTGGAGAGCATGCGCAATAGACTGGAATAACCAGATGCTAGAAATTGACATTCGGTTGAGACTCATGCCGTATTTCGCTGGACATAACTGATTTGAAATTGAATGTAAAACAGTTTATGTACAATTAGATTATATATGTGTTGCGACCCATTTGGGTCAATTTCTAGGTCTGAAATATTAGCGATTTAGCTCCATTAAATAAATAAAATAAGACACAAAAACTAATTTAATATTAATATAGAGGAAAAAACTTGAAAATTTTAACTTAAGTGTGTACTTAAAATTACCAATATGAAAATAAAATTTATTCAACGAATTTGAAATCACTTGACGACGAAACCACATGTACCAACTTTTTTGACAGTTCGTCCCATCTTTCTAAAAAGACCCACATCTCCAGGGATCGACTATCCTATCGCACACGACATCGATGCTACATGATGCCACAGTACCTTTCAAATTTTCTCCTGGCGATTTTTCGTGCTTCAGTGATATGTCAACAGAGGGTCACTGGAGAAGAAGGCGGAGACGAAAAAACAAAATGGCTAAAGCACATACGAGTATGTACCTAACGTAATGAAATACGTATTACATTAATAGAGAGAGGTTAATTGAAAAAGCGAGTCTCGACGGTTGTTGTACACGCCATGGGATAATAGTTGAGTGTGATAAGTAACGTCAGAAAGTTCAAATAATTCTTGTAGGTGTAACCGTGTTTGTTGGACATTTTGCTATATTTTCACCATAAATTTACGCCTCAGTAATCACAAGATCAGTTTAAAGGGTCAGTGGTGGTAAAAAAATGGTCTGTGAGTAATGTTTTTTCTTTTAGACTTTTGTATCCAAGGGCCATTGTTGTGGTTTTTGAAATAATTTTTTCATCTTTTCAGGTGTTGTGACAAAATGGTGTCACTTTACCTTGCCCTTAATGGGCAATACAAATGTATATTAGTAAATGACCAATACAAACACCTATAGTAATGGGCAATACAAATGTATATTATTAAATGGACAAATGTATATTAATAAGTGGACAATACAAATATATATAAGTAAATAGGCAATAAAGTGTCTTCTAGTAAATGGACAATAAAAATGATATTATTATAATATTGTGATGTCCTATCAAAAATCGAATCCTGCCATGGGCTTTATTCAATTCGTGTACCAACGGTAAAATGTTTATTTTGTCTTAAATATTGGATATCAGAAACCCATCTTTTCTCGGTAAGATCACAACATCAATGACAAATAATTTGTGTTTTCGATGTTGAAGATTTTGAATGATATTGAGTAGGAGACTTAGCTACTTTAAAATACTGGTGTAATTTTATACATTGTAATCGACGAGTTCAGGTGGTGCGAATTTTCGTAGATTATCAGAGGTAGCCGAAGCATCGTTCTACACTATGACACTCATGACATGAAATCCGTCATCAGTGAAAACAGTCTCATGAATTAATCTGCAATTTAAAACCCGATGGGACCCAGGTGTGTGAACTCCGCTCACCTGTAAATTAACTCACCTGTCTGAGAGCTTATCATTCCTTATAACTGTAAATAAATATCTTCGTAAAACGGTTTTAAAACCTTATATTATTGTTCTATTGTTGATGTTGTCGGCCATTTTAATCTAAGTTGACCTACATAAACTCAAACGACAGTTACCTGGCCAGACTAAACCACTCGATAAACTGTTATCGGTAAAAACCATAAAAGTTAAAACCCATGTCATTTCCAAATATAGACTGTTAGTTATCGATTGCTTGTAAATCAACTTGTATCGTGCTACTAATTAAAATTTAATCTCGATAAATTTATTTTTGATGGTTTGTATTTTATTTATAATTGTTGAACGATATATTGAGGAGCGGGATCAACCGTGGGAAAATTCTATTTCTTGGTGACTAAAGGGGAACAACTCTACAAAGGGGTGATTCAGGAGATTACCTGAACTACATTGCTATTCTTTCAAATAGTAAAGTGAATTAACGTAACTAGCTGTTATATTATAGTCTATTTGTTTATTAGCATAACAGATCACGTGGTTTATGGAACTGGAAATACACGTGACACAGTTCTATTGAATACGAAATGAAACGGGGTTTAACGTCCTACTGTTCTGCGCCTAACTGGGCTAATGAAGACGGGCATACGCCATACAGTGTGCCATGAGGGACATTTTGCCCGGACAGCGGCACTACGGCCTACTCTTATATCGAATTCAAACCATGAACGGGGCCTCGGTTTTTCGTCCAATCCGAACGACTAGACAGCTGTTCTTGTCAGGTCCCCTTTCCTGCATCACTGACAAGGGAGAAAGGAACTACGTGGGAAAATCTGGATGAACTTTCTCGGCCAATGCAGGGGTCGAACACCCGACCTCTAGGCTAGCGAGCCAGCGCCTTACCCACTTATAGCCATCTTGATCCCATTGAATAAAGTCAATGTTCATTACAATCAGATTAAAACACAGATCCTATTTCGTTTAGTTTTTTTTGTAGTTGAAAACTTCGTTTTACTTGTATTTCTTACTTAAAGGAGCTAAATCGCTAATATTTGGGACCTAGAAATTGATAATCAGTTATGTTCAGCGAAATACACCAGAAGTCTTATATGTGAATGGCAATCTTTAGCGTCTGGTTTTTCCAGTCTACACCGATGGTATTTATTGCGCATGCTCTCCAGATAAGAATATAGCGTCACCATTTGACATGACTTGTGGAATATGTCGAGTCCTGTTCTTTGAGTCCCTTGTTCCAAATGGCGCTGAAACGCATTATGGTACAAGATTCATATTCGTGTACCAATGGTAAAATGTTTATTTTGTCTTAAATATTGGATATCAGAAACCAACCCTTTTCCTTGTAAGATCTCAACATCAATGTTAATTTAAATTGACAAATAATTCGTGTTTTCAATGTCGAAGATTTTTGATGATATTGAGTTAGAGACTTAGCTACTTTAAGGACCTGGAAAAGTTATTACATGTATATAACCCGCGTTCTGGATGATGTGAGGGATTAGCTAATGAATCGGCCCGTTACGGCGACTTCTTGGCGTGTCATGCACGGAACTGTAGGTAAACTACTAGAAACGTCAACATTGATTAAGGAACGCCTGACGTTATAGGGTCAAAAACCGCTCGTATGACCTCTGACGCGACTTTCCATTACAACTAGACAGATTTGCATGTAGTGTGGAGGCCATCATAAGTATAATAAGAAAACGAAACGAAATATAGATCTGTATTTTAATTAGGAATGGTAGTTTATTGTATATGTAATAATGTGATTGTGTAATTTATGCAATAAATTTATCTTATGTTATCTTATTACATGATAAAATATAAAATGTGATTGTTATGGAAATGATCACTATTCTTAGCATTACATAAATTATTATCACTATGCAAGAGATAAATCTGCCTATTACAGATTTTTCTTTAGGTCTGAAATGTTATCTATATTATTTAGACATTAATTAAATTATCCAAACCATAATCAACTCTCGATGTAATCGCTAGCCTGCGATATTTAGCGGATTGGAATACATGTTTTGAAAAATAATTAACATATCTGTGTCACACTTTATCACGTTCACAACTTAACCTATATATTGACCCAGTCAGAACACCCATACATATGGTGTTCTATTTCGGCCACTTCCCGCGTCGCGCGACGCAAAATGTTAAGCTATAAATCGCCCTTTATAAAGCGACATCGTTATCAGTACCCTGGTTCCTACTGGTAAATTCATAGCTGTGTGTACGTCATTCTATGTGTCTATGACTAGTCTGTGTCTACCATTGTATGCCGTCTATAACTTGTCCTGTTTTCATTTTGCAAAATTCAATTATTTTTCATATATATTTAGCCAGGTGTGCCGCTCTTTTTTTATGTGTTCCAAGGTGTGCCGTTGGCAAAAAAAGGTTAAGAACAACTGAACTGTGTGTGACTGAATCTGCATAGAGCACGCGATCACTCATTCACAAATGTAACATATAATCTGGATATTATAGAATGTTTTGTTATATGAAGGATAATATTGACAGTTCCTTGTGTCCAATATAAATTACTGTATTGAAGTTAAAATACCAAACTGCAAATGAATTATTCTCCAAGTATGCGCATTTCATCACCAAAACTATAAACAAAATCCTTTTAGAAAAAGCGACGCACGACGTCGTGTTAAAAAGCCAAAGTCTCTTTTTTTCTCTATAGTTTAACATTTAAAAAGGCGACACACGACGCGCCACGCGAATTTTGCGTCGCGCGTCACTTTTTTCAAGGGCGACACGCGACGCGGGAAGTGGCCGAAATAGAACACCATAGATACATGTATATAGATATATATATACAGTGAAGACATATCGACATCAACTAAATAGTGGATTAGTTTAACGGCATCAAGTAAGTGTAATATTTATCTATACAGATCTAAAAGACTTAGCTACTGTTAACAGGCTTGGTGTCAATATAATATGTAAACCAATTAACCCTATTTTAAACCGGCTGTGTTGATATTGTAGTACGCATCAGCAGATCTGTGTCATTCATAATCACGTTCACTATAAATAGGCTCGTATATATGGCGTGAGTTCCACTACTAATCGTAAGGAAAGCTAAACGAGACAGGGTTAGAAATTGGTATAGTGTTTTGAGGAACTCTTTATAATTGTGTGGTGTCCGGTAGGTAATAGGTACAAATTTGACTGCGTTGTATACGCCCACATTTAAGCGTATTCAGTCCTCGTTAACGCCATAGAGGCTACAATTTGTATCTTATAAAAAAATGGGGTCATAAATCAAGGACGGACCCTATTGATATTCAGCGTTCCACGACTTCCCGATACAGAGTGGGGGGTTGGATGGCCGAATGGTTAGCACGTACGCGCTGTATCATAAGGCCTGTCATTGAGTCAACTGGCGTGGTTTCAAATCCCCGGTTGCACGTGACAAGGAGTAGGGTCGCCTGTCCAACCTCGTGGGTTTTCTCCGGGTCCTCCGGTTTCCTCCCACTGCTAAAGACCCCTACGCGCAAGTGAATTATTGAAATGGCCTAGTTTGGACGTTAAACCCATCTCTCTCTCCCCCTCTCTCTCTCTCTCCCCCCCTCTCTCTCTCCATTATTTTTCGAAAACGGGGATTACAGACACGTCATTTTTATCATGTCATTACTTACAGCTTCAACTAGTAGCGGATGAAAACATTTCTTGTTATATTATTGTGCATCTAATGATGATTTGAGACAACGATATCTCTCTCCATAACCTCATATAACTGATTCAATTCAACTTTTATATACTCAGTGGCCGATCCAGCGGGGGTGACTAGGGTGACTAGTCACACCCCCCCCCCCGAGAGATTTAAAAAACGCAAAATCGGACAAGTTTTTTTTTTTTGGGGGGGGGGGGTGGTATTTTTTTTTTTTTATTAAATAATTAAGTTAAATACGTATACATACATGTAGACACAAAATGAGAACTATTGCCCAGAAGATACCTCAGATAGAACAAAATAGTTTTAACCCCTTTGGACACCCTATGCCCGCCCCCCCCCCCTTCTAGTGCTCCCACCTTTGGTCGACCGCGCTTCGCCCCTGACCTCTTTTAGTCACCCCCCTGGAATAAATCCTGGGTCCGCCACTGATACTAATGAATAATGAAGAGTACATAGAAAATGTTGGAAGTTTTGTATTGAATGTCTTTAAGAAAAGAGGAATATAAATATAGCTTTGTTAATTGATATGTAACATTCAATATTGATTACATCAACATTAATATGTACCACATGTCTTGAATATTAATGTTATTTTGTAAGATATCTAATCAGATATTGTAATGCATCATAATGTATCATAAGGTCTGTCATTGAGTCAACTGGCGTGGTTTCAATTCCCAGGTTGTACGTGACAAGGAATAGGGTCGCCTGTCCAACCTCGTGGGTTTTCTCCGGGTCCTCCGGTTTTCTTCCACTGCGAATTATTGAAATAAAATTGAACCATGTGTTAGTCCCGAAATGACCTCGTTTGTATCGAGTGGACATTACCCCCCCCTCTCTCTCTCTCTCTCTCTCTTTTCTCTCACCCTTTTCTCTGCGATATAAATGAAACGGGGTTTAAAGTTCTACCTTTCTGCACCGACTAGGCTAATGAAAACGGGTATACACCACACACACTCTGATCCGCAGTGAATATTCGCTTGGCCGCTACAATCACTGATAAGGATGACATCGATGCGACTTAATGACTACAAAATATTAACTTTTTTCTTTCGACAAATTAAATTCTGAAACATTTTTTTTAGTATTAGAAAAATAAATAAAGGTGTTTGAAGTATATCTTGATAAAAAATATTTAGCGTAGATAGGTACAGAAAATAGTACGCGGAGGCGTAAAATGGGTAAAACAATATAATTCTGCCCGTACCAGTTCATATTACTACGTTCGATGTAAACAACGCACGTGTGACCATCAATTTGAGTTTTTTTTTCTGTTTGTTTACTCTGAATTCTTTCAGAAGTACATTTTTTACCGTCTAATCTGATTGACCTGCTCGTGTTTGTTTTAAAACAACAAAAACAAGCCACAGAAGTAATCTTTTTTGGCGTTATCGATGCCATCTTGCTTTGTTGGTAAACATTGTGATGTGACGTCACCCTTAGAATTACAGCGGTCTGACCTTTTAAAGGTCAGTCATCTTGGACAGAGATAAAAGACGGATGTCGCATTAGGTCTGTAAAACAGATTGCACCACACACTGTACCGTGAGGGAAATGTTTCCCGACCCCCTGTCCTGCACAACTGACTAGGGGGAACCTTACCTGAAGATCCTGATGAACTGTCCCGGCCAACACCGGGATCTAACGTGGGACCTCCCAAGTCCCGAGTTCACAAAGCATTCTCAGACTTCAGTTAAGACTTTACTCCAAATTGTTCACCTTATTTTAACTAAAATATAGTCTTTTATAAAACTTTTGTTGTTTTAATGTATCAAATACATCAACAAAAAACTATGTGCAAAGTTTTGTTTTTCTGGATTAAATATATTTCTCATAAACATAGTGATTAAAAGTTGAGTAAATTCTTAACTTAAGCCAGAGAATGCTTTGTGAACTCGAGGCTAGGTTAGGCAGCCAACGTCTTCCTCACTGAGCCACCGCGGCTCCCCTTTGCTACATGTATATAAAGTTTCTTACTATACTGAATGTGTGATCTTAATATAATATATTTTATAGAAAATGGCGGCCAGTGATTTTGAAGCTCGAATGTCAGGTTATTTAAACGGAGCTGCAGCATGTTTAGCTTTATCTATTGGACGAGAAACTGGTTTATTAAAAGTTTTTACGGAGCCACATGAACCAATGACAATTTCACAGATAGCTTCTAAAACTAATCTTAAAGAACGGTAGGTCTATCATACTGTATCACAGATAGCGTCTAGAACTAATCTTAAAGAACGGTAGGTCTATTATACTGTATCACAGATAACGTCTAGAACTAATCTTAAAGAACGGTAGGTCTATTATACTGTATCACAGATAACGTCTAGAACTAATCTTAAAGAACGGTAGGTCTATCATACTGTATCACAGATAACGTCTAGAACTAATCTTAAAGAACGGTAGGTCTATTATACAGTATCACAGATAGTTTCTAGAACTAATCTTAAAGAACGGTAGGTCTATAATACTATGTCACAGATAGCTTCTAAAACGAAATTTAAAGAACGTTAGATTTATCATATAGTATTTCAGAGATAGCTCCTAGAACTCTAAAACCACCCTTAAAGGTTTTCATACAATGTCTTAGCTTCTATCATACTGTTGTCTATTATACAATGCCACATATAGCTTCTATCATATTGTTGTCTATTATACCATGCCGCAGATAGCTTCTAAAACTAATCTTAAAGAACAATAGGTGTTTGTTATAGTCTTGATACAGATAGCTTCTAAATCAGATCTAACAATTGAGGGAAACAGGAGATCTAGAAGACAACACAGATTACTCAGATGAACAGCACCTTGTCACTTGCTGAGAATATTACCATGTTTTGTTTTGCATATTACCAGGTATATAAAAGAGTTATTGGGTTGCCTAGTAACATCAAGTATTATAGAAGTTGATGAAGCATCAGTTAAATATTTTGTACCAGATGAAATAAGATCGACCCTGGATTCAAATCTGAATTCTATTGAGTTATTTGACTATGGTTTAGCACGTAAAGAGGACCTGAAATCTTGTATGGCGATTGATGGACCAAATGGTATGTAAACACATAAATTTGTCATTGATAAATTCTCCACACCAGAAAATTTTGACTTTATCTATTTGATAACCACTGAACAAGGTGATGAACTGGAGAATCTCAGAGCTCAACGTGTCGATTTGTGTCGTTTTACTAATGTTAAAGGTTTGTTTGAAGCATCCGGTTTCCTCCCACTGCTAAAGACCCCAGCTACGCTCAAGCGAATTATTGACATAAAATTAAACCATATGTTAGTCCCGAAATGACCTAGTTTGTGTCGTGTGGAGGTTAAACCCCATTTCCCTATCTCTCTTTATTTGAAGCAAACAAGCTTCGATCACTTTATTTAACATACATTATGTAAGCGCTAAATCTGCCTATTGCAGGTCTTTCTTTAGGCCTGAAATGTTATCTAAATTATTAATTAGACATTAATTAACTTATCCAGACCATTATCAACTCTGTGATATTTACTGGATTTAGTCCATGTGACAGACCTGGGATTTTGGAACATCATTACCAATTTGATGAATAAATTCAACCATGATTTTCAGTTAGCCTGGTGGCTGAAGTGTTGTAATTTGGTTGATGGACTTCCGGGTTACTTTGCTAAATTGCATTTTGGCGGCCATCTTTAAAGATGGCCGCCGTTATTTCATTAAAATTGAGCCAATGGGGAAACCTTCACAACTCCTGAAAAGATCGACCTATGGATATGGAATGTGGCTTACAATGTTCACAAGAAAATGCTTCTTCTGGTGCTATATGATACTTGTTGTTGAATGAATCATATATTTTCCAAATCAACAGATTATTCTGGAAAAAGCAACCTTTTGGCATTTTTATTTTCCCAGGTTTTCATGATTTATTTTATAAGTTTACTACCAAATCCTGTTCAGAGTAATTTTAGCCAAATTATGTGTGTGGTCTTCTTAAGTTATTCAATTAGCATAAATAAATACGCCCAGTGGTCCTCCCTATACAGCTGCGGTGGCCGCAAACTCAACAAAAGTCGTAAGTAGACTGTCAAATTTAAAATGTTGAACGTCGGCGAGGCAGGGCACAAACTTAGTGAACTTTTAGCTAGTGTGTCACAATCGAAACGATATTTGGGGACGGGTTGTTTCTGTGTCAAAATTTGTCCCTAAAGACAATTTTGAGATTATGTCACTTCTGTGACGCCATTTTCGGTTGGGGTTCTGTCCGATGTCCAAAATGACCGCAAGGGAGCTAAAGATGATCCAAACAATTATAGGCCAATCTCAATTCTCCCCACAATTTCAAAGATATTCGAAAGGCACTTGAGCACTCAAATTCAAACTTATTTGGAAACCTTCAATGTTCTTTATGCTTACCAATCTGGATTTAGATCAAATCATTCATGTGCTACTGCACCGATCCGAATGACAGATAATTGGCTTGATGCTATCGATAATGGTGCGATAAGTGGTATAGTGTATCTTGATTTTAGCAAAGCATTTGATCTCATTGATCATAAGCTTATTATTGAAAAACTACATCTTTATCGATTTGATAATAATTCACAAATTTTGATTGAATCATATCTTGACTCACGGAAGCAAAAAGTATGTTTAGGATCAATTACCTCCTCAATTACTACAGTCAAATGCGGGGTTCCACAAGGGTCGATCGTGGGTCCTCTCCTATTCCTTATTTTTATAAATGATTTCCCACTCAATATTGAATCAAGTCAGATAGATTTGTTTGCTGATGACAGTACCCTGCATTGTTCACACAAAGATATTTAATCCATCGCCAATAATCTCCAAAATTATCTCTATTTGGTTGCTAAATGGTGTGAAAACAATGGGATGGTAATCAATCCTTCGAAAACAAAATCAATGCTGATTTCATCAAAACACAAAAGAAATCAGAAAAACCTAACTTTATCACTCCATGGTGAGAAAATTGAGACGGTTACTACCGCAAAATTACTTGGAATTCAAATTGACCAAGACCTTAATTGGGAAGCACAGATAGCAGATATGTCTAAAAAACTTGCATAAAAAATATTTCTCCTAAATAAGATAAAAGATCATTTACCTTACGAGACAGGACTTTTGTTTTATAACAGCTACATACTACCAATATTTGATTATTGCTCTATTATTTGGGGAAATGCTACCAAAAGTAGATTAGACATTCTTTTAAAATTACAAAAGAGGGCAACAAGAACTATTCTTGATGCACCGATTGAAACTCCGTCCACCTCTTTATTTACTAAACTCGGTTGGCTTACCCTTACACAGAGGATTCTTTACAATAAAATTGTCTTAGCATTCAAAATTATTACATTTAATACTCCACTTTATCTAAATTTCTATTTTATTGAAAAATCTCTTGTTTCCAAAACGGATATCTTGCTCCGTTCACAAACCAATAAATCTCTTTTTCTTCAAAATTGCAAAACGGAATCCATGAAACGTACTTTTCATTATTCTGCATGTCTTTTATGGAACAATCTGCCTTTTGATATAAAGATGTGTAAAAATGTTGAAAATTTTAAGATTAAACTGAAAAGTCATTTATTTTGCACACTGAAGGAACCATAATATTCAACTGATGACATACTTATTATTTTTAACTTGCAACTGCATTCTATTTTATTTTGTGTGTAATTATAGTGAAAGGTTTGTTCCGCACAGGTATTAGCTTAGAAAGGACAAATACAATTTGTAGAACCAGATATTTGATGTTAGTGAACCCATTTTTTCTAGGACACCTATTTCACACGAAATCTTATTTTCTATCCAGACGAACCTTCAGTATAATAATCTATATGCATACAAAGTTTATGAAAATACACATTCAAGCAGCATTTAATATGGTCTACCGCCTGTAGGACACTCCCTTCAACTTAAAAATAAATTGTTTATTGGAATTTTCGATTAAACGTAAACTTTCTGTAAAATATAAAATACTCGACTAATATACCAGTTGTAACATGTTTAACATCATATCTTTCCACGCGAATTAACAATAAATTGTTCATTCGATAAAACGGAAACATTTTTTATACTTGTAAAATAAATACCTATTGTGTATATGATACGTTGAAGTCTACCATGTAATACGGAAATTTGCAACACGTTTATAAGCACCATATCTTTCTACATGAACTAACAATAAATTGTCCATTGGATAAAAAGGAGACATTTTTTTTATATATATAACTGTAAAATAATATATGAATTATCGTTTTAACATCATATCTTTTGCCTCCCTTTTCAGGGATGGACACTCAAAAGGAGTATGGTAGTTTCGGGGGTCCCTAAACTAGTCAATGTTCTCGCATAGTTATGAATTTATGTCGTTTTTGATGAATTATTAAGATATATGCATAAGCTAAAAACACCAGGATATACTCTAGAAAGTACCATTTAAATTACAGTCAGTTTTTTCAAAAGAAATTTCGAGCCTGGTTGTAGAGAACCCCGTCGTTCACCTCACGGAGCAAAGATACGCCTGTCCTATCCTAGGTATCATATGTGTAATTTTATGTCAACTTCACAATTGTCAGTATAAATATAACATTTACTTGACAATTATCACAATTTTCATCTGGCCTTAAAACATTTTAATTGGATTTGTGTTCCTAGTGTTATAAGCTTTCCAAATATGTATAGTTTGTTTAATAGGGAGGACCTTGTAGGGGAACTGTGTTTCTAAGCAAGCTAAAAATTTTGGTTGCAGGCCTACTAGACTATACGACAAAAGTTGCCGGGCATAGAGGCGTTAATGTAAAAACGGACCACATTACCATTTCTGAACGAATAAGAGATCTTATTTTTATACGGCTTAAAATGGTGCAAAGGCATAGTAGATGAAATTAAAATGACTCACTATTTTGGTGAAATGTCTTGTGATCTGTGAGATACAAAATAATCAATTCCATATTATGCCCCATTGTATTGTTTATGGGGTGTGTGTGTGTGTGGGGGGGGGGGGTCGCATAGGATGTGTCATTTTTAGCAGTATCATTAACATCATTTTCTTCAGCATTATTTTTGAGTTTTTATTCATGTTCAGTGACTCTGAAAACCTTATAAAAGAGACATTATAAGCTATTTTGTGTATATGATACGTTGAAGTCTACCATGTAATACGGAAATTTGCAACACGTTTATAAGCACCATATCTTTCTACATGAACTAACAATAAATTGTCCATTGGATAAAAAGGAGACATTTTTTTTATATATATAACTGTAAAATAATATATGAATTATCGTTTTAACATCATATCTTTTGCCTCCCTTTTCAGGGATGGACACTCAAAAGGAGTATGGTAGTTTCGGGGGTCCCTAAACTAGTCAATGTTCTCGCATAGTTATGAATTTATGTCGTTTTTGATGAATTATTAAGATATATGCATAAGCTAAAAACACCAGGATATACTCTAGAAAGTACCATTTAAATTACAGTCAGTTTTTTCAAAAGAAATTTCGAGCCTGGTTGTAGAGAACCCCGTCGTTCACCTCACGGAGCAAAGATACGCCTGTCCTATCCTAGGTATCATATGTGTAATTTTATGTCAACTTCACAATTGTCAGTATAAATATAACATTTACTTGACAATTATCACAATTTTCATCTGGCCTTAAAACATTTTAATTGGATTTGTGTTCCTAGTGTTATAAGCTTTCCAAATATGTATAGTTTGTTTAATAGGGAGGACCTTGTAGGGGAACTGTGTTTCTAAGCAAGCTAAAAATTTTGGTTGCAGGCCTACTAGACTATACGACAAAAGTTGCCGGGCATAGAGGCGTTAATGTAAAAACGGACCACATTACCATTTCTGAACGAATAAGAGATCTTATTTTTATACGGCTTAAAATGGTGCAAAGGCATAGTAGATGAAATTAAAATGACTCACTATTTTGGTGAAATGTCTTGTGATCTGTGAGATACAAAATAATCAATTCCATATTATGCCCCATTGTATTGTTTATGGGGTGTGTGTGTGTGTGTGTGTGTGGGGGGGGGGGGGGTCGCATAGGATGTGTCATTTTTAGCAGTATCATTAACATCATTTTCTTCAGCATTATTTTTGAGTTTTTATTCATGTTCAGTGACTCTGAAAACCTTATAAAAGAGACATTATAAGCTATATAAAACAGTCATTCATGTTATGGAAATTCTGACCGCCATTTTGAATTTTCCCCATCTTGGATTTTTAAAACTCTTTGTTTAGATTAAACAAACATTGTGCAAGAGCTAAATCTGCCTATTGCAGGTCTTTCTTTAGGCCTGAAATGTTTTCTAAATTATTATTTAGACATTAATTAACTGACCCAGGCCATAATCAACTCTCGATGGCATCGGATTTCTCCGATATTAAATAAATTAGAACGTATCAGTCATATTTTGATTTAATCTAAAAATGGAGGAGCGAGACTTAGCTTCGAGCAACCAGTACAGTTGTTGAAATTATCGCACGTGTCTTGTCAAACCTTCAAAGGCTAATATCTTCGCTTGCAATAGAGTAATTTGAATGAAATTGTCAAATTATTCATTTTACATTATCTATTTTCGAACTATTGTAGCAAGAATGGCTAGCTCTTTATCTAAATCTTACGTAATGAATCTTTAATTGTAAGCTCATTGGATAGTACATGTCATATCAAACAATGAAATGACTATTATCTGACATATTGGCCAATTTAGGAAATTTTGTCGCCATTTTGAATTTCCGCCATCTTGGATCTGGGACACTCATATTTGAGATTATTTTTTATGATCAATGTTTCTGATATCTATTCAATCACTTAAGTTGACCAAACAGATAATTTGGCTTATATGGGTCTGAACACGATTTGTTAGTAAACATACGAACAGACATGAAAAAAAAAATCGAAAATGTTGCTTTTTTCAGATTAATCTTTTATTTTAAAACTGATAGTATTGATTAAACAACATATATCATATACCAGCAGATGCAGAATTATATTATGAACATTTTGAGATATATTACATATCCATATAGGTGAAACTGTTGAGGAGTTATGAAGGCTTCCCCGACTCGCACTAATTCAAATAAGAAAAAAAACGGCGGCCATTTTTTTTAAAGATGGCCGCCAAACTGACATTTGGCAAAGTGACCCGGAAGTCCATCAACCTATTTTGGACACTTTCGACCTAAGGCTAACTGAAAATCATAGTTAAACCAATTCATCAAATTGGTAATGAATATCTGCCTGTCACATGGACTAATTAGGACCCGATTTGGTGCTCAACTTTCATTCATGATTAATTCCTGAAATGGCTAATCGAGACTATGTTTCTTATCGTACCGACTTTAGTAATGATGATCGAGGCGAGGAGTGGATCAATTTGATTGAAATTTTTAGCAAATTCCCTTTACATTACCTAGTTTTGAACTATTTTACTGAGAACTGCCAGCTCTTTATCTTATCTCCCATAATGTATCTTTAAATACAGACTTGTTTCAAATTTACCCTTACGTCATTTGAATGACTTCTTGTATATGATTGTATGGCGGGTTGATATATTTAAATTATTTACACTTAAAGGGTTGAAAAATTGGTAAAAACACAAAAATAAAAAAAGTCCTTGTATAAAATCGGTGTCGTGAGAAGAGAGGGCGGGTCATCTTCTCTCTTTGTCATAATAAAAATACAGAATTAACATAGGAAGGAATAATACAAAAATGGGTTAAAACAGATGAAAAATAAAAAAGAGAAAACGTTCTTGTAAAGTGTCACTTAAACACACGGTGAGAAGAGAGGTTGGTTCATTTTCTCCATTTGTCATAATATGTCAGTAACTTTAGATAACTGATACTGATCTTCAGATTATACTGGTGTGATAACATCTTGTCAATCATCGTTCATCTAGCTGGCCTATCCACTCTGAATCTACGGACGTGTGTGGAATAGTTTTATTTAACGTCCGCTTCTACCGCAGACAATCCCACCGTCCATTAAATCTGTGGACGACCCCATCTCCCATTGAATCTACGGACTAACCAATCTACCAATGAATCTATGGACGACCCAATCTACCATTGAATCTATTGACGACCCTACCGTCCATTGAATCTACGGACGACCCCACCTTCCATTAAATCTACGGACGACCCCACCTTCCATCGAATCTACGGACGACCCCACCTTCCATTAAATCTACGGACGACCCCACCTTCCATCGAATCTATGGACGACCCCATCTACCATTAAATCTACGGACGACCCCACCTTTCATCGAATCCATGGACAACCCCATCTTCCACTCTCTTCAAATAACAACTCAAACCTAAAATATTCTTGTACTTTTCAGGATTTGCCGGACAGACCAGACCTGGATACGGAGAACTACTTAAGAAATTCCGATGTATAAATATGGATAATCTGATCGAAGAAGAATTCTTTAAACACACGCCTGATATAAAAACAAAATTAGGTCAGTTAAAATGAAAGTAGATCGGATTACATGAATCCGATTAAAAGTAGATGTTAATTTCGTTGCGTTTATTTTGTTGGTCTTTCGACTGAAATCCGAGCCGCGGTGGATCAGGTAGTAAGGGACTGCCTCGGTATTCAGGAGGTCTATCTAAGGTTCGCTTCTGGTGTTGTCAGAAAAATTTCTGCTGAAATTTTCGTCGTGGTTTTCCCATATCAATGATTCAGGAACGAGGGTCTTACAACGAACAGCATCCAGTCGTTGGAATGGGACGAAAACTCGTGGTCTCGTATACAAACTGTCGCCCGTCTTCATTAGCCCAGTCGAAGCAGAACAGTAGGAGGTTAAACCCATTTCATTTTCATTTTCACCACTGAAGGACAAGGTTTACGCCCACCATCTTGGAACTAGCCCTATTGTGCTCTGCGGTATGGTTGGGCCACAGTAAGGCGTTGTATCACTGCCCAGGAGGATCCGGGTTCGATATCGGTGTTGGCCGAGAAAGTTCCTCGGGATTTTCCAGCGCGGTTTCCCATTGTCAGTGTCAGTCTGACAAGGGACAGCGTCTTGTCGTCCGCAGTTGAAGAAAAAACCGAGGTCCCGTGTATTTCTTGGCGCACACGTAAAAGAACACATGACAATTGGACATTAATTACAGCTGCGCATGACGTATGCCTGATTGGAGTAGGACGTTAAACCCCATCTCATTCATTCATTCTATCATAGTGTTCCGCTAGTCACGACCAGGTAGTTTGACTATTGTACGGTATTCAGCGCCTCCGAAAGACCCCATATGTGGTGTGATGTGTCCCAATAACACGAGGGTTGGATGGCCGAATGGTTAGCACGTGCGCGTTGTATCATAAGGTCTGTCATTGAATCAACTGGCGTGGTTTCGAATCCCCGGTTGTACGTGACAAGGAGTAGGGTTGCCTGTCCAACCTCATGGGTTTTCTCCGGGTCCTCGAGTTTCCTCCCACTGCTAAAGACCCCTACACGCAAGCGAATTATTGAAATAAAATTGAACCATGCGTTAGTCCCGAAATGACCTAGTTTGTGTCGAGTGGACGTTAAACCCCATTCTCTCTCTCTCTCTCTCTCTCTCTCTCCCTCTCTCTCTCTCCCCCCTCTCTCTCTCTCTCCAAATAACACACAGAACATTATTAAAAAGTTGAATTTTTTCAGAGAGTTGATCCGAAATTCCAATGGGCTATTTGTTAAAGACCCTGGAGAACCTTACAGAGTTTCAAATGAAATCATTCCAGAACTCCGTCGTGCATTGTGCTCACGCGATTTCGTAAATTTGAACGTAAATGTACGCGTAGAGAATTTCATAGACTTGTTCATTTGTATGCTTGTTGATATTTTGTAGAGAGTGGAATAGATTTTGTGGAGTTTGGTTGTGGATTGGGTCCAGTAATTATAGAACTAGCCAGTAGATATCCTAACAGTAGATTTATAGCAAGTGATTACTCACCGGAAGCCATGGCGACCGTCGCTAAAACTATTGAAGACAAGGGGTTGAAGAACATCAAGGCCCAGCAAGCTGACCTTTATCAACTCCCGGACGAATGGGTGGGGAAGTTTGATGTGATTTATATCCGCGATACGCTACATGATCTAGGACAGCCTCTAAAAGGTGCCACGGAGATGGTGAAAGTGCTGAAACAGGGCGGCGTGATCGTAATAATAGAAATAGTCCTCAAGGGAGATAACCACCGTGAAAATAAAGAAGACCCCAGTGCACCACTACTCTTTATATTGAGTGCCTCGGTTTGTGTTCCTGAAAGTTTGTGCCAGGAAGGGGGTATCGGACTGGGTTGCACTTCAGGGTTGAAGTCGCTGAAAAACATAATTTATCAATCAGGAATCCCAGCTGCCAATATAGAGACACACGAACTTGCCTCGTTTTCTTGTAAATTCGTCTGTCGCAAATAGACAGATGAACATCTGGATACAGACCACCCATGAATGTAGCTTCTTTTATTTATAGTTTCTTCCCCTTCTGCAAGGCGGATGTGTTTGATTTTTTGCTGCATGAAATTGAATTTACATTTTCGGCCAAGCTTTGGTGAATATTCATGATTTTCGGGCGGATGGATAACAGAGTTAAGAGGTTGCTTACCTTGGTATGCGCGGCTTCACAAAGAATGGACTGGCTTGTACGCAACACAAAAGATACCGAAAAGAACGCAGTATTATTGTTATTTTATTATCTATGGAACATGGATGACCATGTACAGTGGACACCCATGTAAACATTAAAACTGTGTTAAATTTATTGACCAGCTTATACGTTAAAGGTAGCAGCATTTATTTATCTAAAGCAAAGTCCTGTCTTTTATATTTCATTTTTTATTTCATATTGAAATATTATCTAAAATTTCACAACGATGTACGCAAATCATCTCGACTTTAATTACCACATTAGGATACTGTATGTGACGTTATCATTTCGACTTTAATTAGCACATTAGGATACTGTTTTTCACGTTTATTGTGTTTAAAATAAAAGTACTTTAAATTTTTGTATGGTCTTAAACTGCAGTAGTAGTCACTATCCCACCAGTTGCCTATTAAAGGGGGTTAACGTCCAGTCGACACAAACTAGGTCATTTGGGGACATATGGTTCAGTTTTATGTCAATAATTCGGTTATGTGTGGGGGTCTTTAGCAGTGGGAGGACTCGAATCTACACTACTTGACTCTATGACAGACCCCTCGATCCCCCCGCCACCGCGCTCGGGGCTACATAATATTTTTTGTAAAAGTGTCACGGTGGTGTGCTTTATCCTTTATTGTCAGATGGAGGGTATGGGCATTCAAAGTCCAAGATAACGATATAGACATAAGATATCACAATTAATGCTTTGCATCAATGAGGGGGAGAGGGCGAATGGTTAGCACGTGCACGCTGTATCGTAAGGCCTGTCATTGAGTCAAAACTACAAACAGTGATAACATGGCTCAGAATGAAGTAATTTGAATGAAATTTTCAGTATTTTCATTTTACATTATCTTTATTTGAGATATTGTAGTAAGAACGGTCAGCTCTTTATCTAAATCTTGTAACACTATCTTAGTGCTAACAGAAATGGAAATGAAATGAAATGGGGTTTAACGTCCTACTGTTCTGCTCCGAACTGGGCTAATGAAGACGGGCATACACCAAACAGTGTGTTATGAGGGAAATTTTGACCGGACAGCGGCACTGTGGCCTACTCTTATATCGAATTCCAACTGTCAAGGGATCTTTTACGTGCATGCCAATGTGTACACGGGACCTCGGTTTTTCGTCCCATCCGAACGACTAGACAGCTGTCTTTGTCACTGACAAGTGGGGAAACCACGCCGGAAATCTGGATGAACTTTCTCGGCCAATGCAGGGATCGAACACGCGACCTTCAGGCTAGCGAGCCAGCGTCTTACCCACTTAGCCACCATGATCCCCAAGTGCTAACAGAGATATATGATTTATTTAAATTAGGTATATAAAACAGCTACACACATACAACAATACAGGAACTTAAACTATACAGGAAGTAGACTACGATAGGAACACATCAGGACGGTACATGACTATATTCAATCCACCATTCTGTCCCTCTGCCAAGGCAGCAACTGAACTCGAGTGAGTCCATGCACTCGTCCAAGCCTCTTTTCTCCTCCACGCTCATCTTTGGTCGTCTATCAAACTGTCAGCAAACTCCTAGTTATATAGGGTCTGACAATAGGGGTAATCGATAAGACTCATGATCATATATGGAATTGTCTTCTTATCACGTCATGGTATGATTACTGACCAGTGCGTATTCCATTGAAATCATGCGGAGCTTGAACACAGAGCATAATATGTAGTTTGTAAATAACACATGGGATTGATTACATGTTTAATTAGAACGTGACTAAACAGAAGTATATAGAGTTGAAAAGTCAACATCATCTATTATCAAAAACTAGCTGGGGTCAATAAGTTCTAGAGTACTTTATCTAAATCTTACATAATGTATCTTTCAGTATTTCTAACAATTATATTAACGGGTTATTACGCCTGATCTATTATTAATGTCATGTAAATACTCCTTGGAACCTTTGTGGACTGATCGGACGAGTTAGCGACTGTGGAAGCATGTTTCGTTTCCTGGCTACCTATATATTAGTTTTTCTTGACGAAACCTTTCTTGATCCGCAAGAATATAGAAATAAGACTGCAAGTAGCGTAGCATAAAAGGTGCCCATAGGAATACCGATTACTTTCTGAAATATTTCACCCTATCAATTAAAATGACAGCATCCCATACCTGAACATAACCCATTCCAAGAATCTATTTGGTGTTCAGATGCAATTAGCACACAAGCGCGTGTAAACTGGGAAATCCTGAAATTATTTCATCATCATATATAGTTCGTATTTTTATGGTGGAAACAGTCTTGTTAACGTGTACGTAAACAACCATTGCCAGTTCAAATTCAACACAGAGAGAGAGAGAGAGAGAGAGAGAGTATAACGTTCACTCGATACAAACTAGGTCATTTCGGTGAAACACATGGTTTAATTTTATTTCTATAATTCGCTCGTGCGTAGGGAGGTTTAGCAGTGGGAGGAAACCGGAGGACCCGGAGATAACCCACGATGTTGGACAGGCGACCCTACTCCTTGTCACGTACAACCGGCAAATTCAACAGAGACTAGGTTAAATTAAATATTTCCCTCTTAACACGATGCATGGCGTATGCCCCCGTTCGTTGGTACAGAAAGGTAGGGCCGGTTGATGCAGAAAGGTGGGGCCGATTGATACAGAAAGGTATGACCAGTTGGTACAGAAAGGTAGGGCCGGTTGATGCAGAAATGTGGGGCCGATTGATACAGAAAGGTAGGACCAGTTGATACAGAAACGTATGACCGGTTGGTACAGAAAGGTAGGGCCGATTGGTGTAGAAGGGTAGGACATTGAACCCCATTTCACTTCTTTCTTGTTGTTGTAGTTTTTATTTAAGAAACTAAACGAAACCGTGAGACCGGTCACTCCCCTAGATATTATATCTGATACGAAGTTTATTCACCTTCTATCGATCTCACCATTTGTCCAATAATATGTCCCAATTTCCAGTACAAGTACATTCTTTTATTGTAATGTCTGTCCGTATATTAATACTTGTAGTGTGATAAATATAATTGTAGATGGTTATCATGATTAGTGAAGCTATCAATGTATGTACCTGTCGCAAATAGGTACATAACATTATAAAGGTGTTGATCATTTATACGCAATATTAAAACTCATCCAACCATCGATTAAAAAATGTTTACTTAAATATTAACCAGAAGAACTCCCACCAATCTATAATGTGACGATGGTGAATGCAACCATTCATTAAACGCTCTCTACTTAAAGTAGCTAAGTTTCTAATTCAGTGTCATCCAAAGTCTTCGACATTGAAAACATGAATTATTTGTCAATTTAAAACAACATTGATGTTGTGATCTTACCGGGAAAAGATTGGCTTCTGATATCCAATGTTTAAGACAAAATAAACATTTTACTATTGGTACACGAATCGTGTACCATAATGCGTTTCAGCGCCATGTGTAACAAGGGACTCGAAGAACGAGGCTAGACATATTCCAAAAGTCATGTCAAACGGTGACCCATATTCTTATCTGGAGATAAATACTATCGGTATAGACTGGGATAACCAGACGCTAGAGATGGTCATTCGATTGAGATTTCTGACGTATTTCGCCGAACATAACTGATTTGAAATTAGAGTAAAAACGGAAACAATTGAATGTAAATCAGTTTATATACATTCAAAACACGTACTTTATTATATGCGTTGCGGCCCATTTGTTTCAATTTCTAGATCCCAAATATTAGCGATCTAGCTCCTTTAAATAACAACCAAGAAATGAAATGAAATAAAATGGGGTTTAACGGCCTATTGATCTGCTTCGACTGAGCTAATTAATAACCAAGAACATTCCAACCAACTTATAACGTGACCAGTGGTGAATCCAGACGGGGACTCTACCCCCCTCCCCCTCCCGCCACTCCACCCCCGGCTAAATAACACTATCGAATCCACTTATTATTATTTCTGTTTCTATAAATTTGAGCTTTGTGTTGGTTGGGGTGATGTAGCTGATGAAATTGTTGAAAGTTACACTCCGATATTTCAAAAATTTCTCGGAGGAGGACCCTCGATCCCCGGCCCCTCCCTCAAGCCACGCCCAAAGGAAATCCTGTACGCCCGCCACTAAATGTGACCTATTTGATATGCTGTAAGATATCCTGAAAAGAAGTATGTAAGTATGGTAGCGTCGGGGTCCCCTAAGTAAAGACGTTTGGGGGCCCTTTTCAGTCATGAATTTGCATCATTTACAAGAATTTGTAAGAATTGGTAAGATTGCCACACGCTAAATTTGTGCATAAGATCAAAGATCAGTATATATTCCAGAATTCACCTATTACAATCAGTTTATCCAAACACTTCTCGCGTCATGGGGTGGGGGGGAAGAGGACATTCCGTCCCCTAAAGTGGGGGGGGGGGGGGCTGTTGTGTGGCAAGACTCTGTCTCTTAGTCTGCCCCTATGCCTTTGCAACATGTAATTCATGAAATTATTAATATGAATTTTAAGTTTGTTAAATTATCACCTACATGCTTATTGTTATTGCACAGCAAACCCACCCCACTTCTCTATATGATTTCTACTAAAACTAGTGTAAACCAGCAAAAGTGTGCAATAACATTGAACATGTCTAGTTATTGCACGGTTAAGCTCCCCCCAATCTACTAGAGGGAAAACCATCTGCTTATTCAACGAAAAGAACAAAGGAAGATTTCCCATCCATGTTACAAGTACACGTTACCTTCTACAAGTACATGTCGCATTTTAATTGTGTGTATACCACCTTTTTATAGCGCAAGCCACCTTCGTTAATGATCAGTGACGCAATCAGTGTATTTCTATAGGTACAATCTCAATCTTAATATTCGGGTCCATCTCTCAAAATGTATTAACATAGAACGAGTTTTAAAAAAGAATGTAACATTATATCTTGCCGAACTGAGAAGTCACATCATACTCACCCCAGTTTACATAAACATAATATGTCTTTATAATACCACTCTTGTTAGTTTATAGACTATTTAAGTCTATGCTATACCTGAATAATAATCACTCTATTCATGTTCTGTCAAGTGATACACATGTTTTATGCTGTATACATGTTCAGGTAATAGAATAAATTGTACTAATCTATTACAGACAGCGATTTGGATGATAACACAAGGGTATGCACCTCCATGTAAAGGTAAATTATGACGTAGATTAAGCCTAGTATGCGCGAGTTTTTTTTTTTTTTTGGGGGGGGGGGTTCAGGTCATCGATTTTATATGATGACGTTAAAAACCTAATATCCTAAATTACACTGGTTATTTAACGGGTGGGGGGTGGGAGCGGTTTATCAAAAATCACTTGGGGGAAAATTGGGTAAAAATGACCCCCCCCCCCCCAACAAATTATATAATAATTGATTAGCGTGAAAATTTAAAACAAATTCTTTTTTTTTTAAATGCTATGCCTGTTTCACATATTTAACCGAATTTAATTCATTAGCAATGGCAATAAAAACAAAATGAATGTAAATCACTTTATATATATTCATATGACATTAATATGTGCTTTTAGACCACCTTTATTCTATTTTAAGGTTCAAAACATTTGTGCCATGTGCCATACGCCATTCAAATCGTTATAATTTCAAACATGATTAAGCGAGCGCCGACCCCCTTCGTTCTGCAAAAACCTAATGTACAAATGAAACATATCATAATAATGTAATCACAGACTCTTGTAAATATAGAAACTTTCTTTTAAAAATAACGTTAAGCTTGATTTTTGTCCCACCCTAACGGCTATACGCTGTCCCGTGCCAGACCCTCGGCTAATGCAGGGATCGAACTCGAGACCCCCAGGTTAGCGAGTCAACGTCTTACTCTTTGAGCCACCGTGCCCCCTATATTTGTATAAGGTAGATAATCAAATTCTGGGGTAGACAACACGTCTGAAACAGCTTCTTTATCAATACAAATATTGAAAATTCAAGAAACACTTGTGTCTTCCTCTTTTATTTTCTCAGATATGAAACGATATGGTACATGCTTGCCTCTACTACATGAAGATCTGACCAGTTGTAGCGGGAGGTCGCATCAGGGGGTCATACGAGCGGCTTTTGACCCTATGACGTCAGACGTTTGATTAACCAAATTTTATGTTTCTAGTGAGATACCCACAATTCCGTGCACTTCACGCCAAAAACTTTCCGTAACAGACCGTTTCATTGGCTTACCCCTAACATCACCTAGAACGCGGATACAACAACTCTTCCAGATCCTAGTGTAGTAAACACAAGTAAAACGAAATTTTGAACTATAAAAAACGAAACGAAATAGGGTTTGTGTTTTAATGAGTTTGATTAAAATGATAACAGGTGATAGCAAGGGAGGGAAGAAGATATGCTGACAGGATGCGAGTACAGTCGGAGGCAGACCACCATTAATTTCCCCATTGACTTCAATGTTAATTCTGGCCTCTTTGCCACCTCCAACTTTTCTCCAAATATTCGTTGGGCTGAATGCCTTTCACTACAGACAGAGGAACAAATGGTCATGTCTTTGTACTAAAATTTGTATGAGGTTGACACCAAAATTTTGAGATACACAAACTTGAAGAAGCATACTAAAACATGTAACTAATTGCCGTACATATCACCGTAACCAACCTGATAATTCTGTTATCCTTCCGCCTCAAAATCATGAATATTTACCAAAACCTGGCAGAAAATGTTAATTCAAACCCTCTTCGTCCATTCTAGACCATAAAGTCAACAAAAATGGACATACAAAAGGGGGAAAAAGACAGAGAGAGAATTGCTATAAATAGACAAACTACAATTTGTGGGTACCGAGATGGTGAAATTTAATTGTGGTCTGCCCCCAGTCGCCTGATTCCACGGGGAGACAACTGTGTTGACCTCTAGACTTTGCCTGGTAGTATGTACAGTACTGGTATTGTATTATTTACATGAGAGAGAGAGAGAGAGAGAGAGAAAGAAGAGAGAGAGAGAGAGAGAGGGGGAATCGAAACCACGCCAGCTGACTCAATGACAGACCTTATGATTCAGCGCGCACGTGCTAACCATTCGGCCATCCCGCCCTCACCTATCAATGAACTAATTGCGTTACACCACCGGATAGTGTTAGATAATCGAGACTACCATTTTTAAAAAATAAACTCCGAAGACTCGATTGTGTAACTGGTAATAATTAATCTGTTTCACAGAGATCTTCTAATATATCTGTAACAGATGACTGTTTCGACACATGACGTCACATCACGCGGCGTCAATCATTGGCTCAATAGCGCGTGCATTGTTTACATAAGACGTTACTGATTCGGGCTAATTGGTGAATTTTACTTATTTTAATACCCATTTACACTAAATAGGAAATGATTTTTACCTACAAATAATTCAAACGTCTGTATTTATTTTTCTAATAAATGAAAAAAATGTTTTAGAATTTAATTTGACGGAAGAAAAAAGTTAATTTGGGAATCATAAAGTCGCGTCGATGTCATCCTTATCAGTGATTGTAGCGGCCTGATCAGTGTGGGTAATAATTAGAGAGAATTGGTTGACTTATTGTTGGGTCACTGAGCCGTACTTTTTAAAAAGGTAAACACTTTAGTCATTGAAGTTTATAACCGCGTTTATTTCGGTCAACTTCTTTCAGCAGATCCGCGTCACATCTCATTCATACAAAGACCTTTATATACGCAGTCAGAAGACCTGTTTTGCTGTTTCGTGTGAAGTTCTAGAGACACCCACTAAACAGAACATTAAGAGCCATTGGATTTACGACGATTATCAGGTGAGTCTTTGGGTATTTTCGTCTATAACTTTTGTAGCGCTATAGTCATATACTTAGTGTAAGGATCTTAGCGCTTTAAAAGTGAGAGAGAGAGAGAGAGAGAGAGAGAGAGAGAGAGAGAGAGAGAGAGGGTTTAACGTCCACTCGACACGAACTAGGTCATTTCGGAACTAACACATGGTTCAATTTTATTCTAATACATGTAATTCGCTTGCGCGTAGGGGTCATTATTTAAATGTAGTTGGTATTGACAATCAGCAACGGGGAGAGAGAGAGAGAGAGAGAGAGAGAGAGAGAGAGAGAGAGAGAGACTAGGTCATTTCGAGACTAACATATGGTTCAATCTTATTTCAATAATTCGCTTGCGCGAAGGGGTCTTTAGCAGCAGGAGGACACCGACGGACCCTGAGAAAACCTATTTCTTGTCACGTACAACCGGGGAATCGAAACCACGCCAGTTGAGAAAAAGAGAGAGAAATGGGGTTTAACGTCCACTCGACACAAACTAGGTCATTTCGGGACTAACGTATGGTTTAATTTCATTTTAACAATTCGCTTGCGCATAGGGGTCTTTAGCAGTGGGAAGAAACCGGAGGACCCGGAGAAAACCCACGAGGCTGGACAGGCGACCCTACTCCTTGTCACGTACAACCGGGGATTCGAAACCACGCCAGTCGACTCAATGACAGACTTTATGATACAGCGCGCGCACGCTAGCCATTCAGCCCCCCCCCCCCCCGACGCCAATATACGACCTTCTGATACAACGCGCTAACCATTCGGCCATACAACTCCCCTTAATTTAGTTGAAGTTGACCTAAATCATTTAAGATAAAATGTCTACATATAGAAATATATTAGTTAGAAAATTTACCCATTCAATATAAATTCGTGTGTCGAAAGAATATAGAAAATCATTAGTCTATCTTGTTGTTACAATATATTACGCAATGTCTTAAGTTTAGTTAGTTAACGAGTTGGCAGTTCTCACTATAATAGTTAAAAACTGGATAATGTGAAGGAAATTTGCTGAAAATTTCAGTTAAATTGATCCACTCTGAACCGAGAATTAAGCGATTGAATTTGGGGCCTAGCCTCGGTCATCAGTATTAAAGTCGGTACGATAAAATGGGGCTTAACGTCCACTCGACACAAACTAGGTCATTTCGGAACTAACACATTGTTCAATTTCATTCTAATAATTCGCTCGCGCGTAGGGGTCTTTAGCAGTGGGAGGACCCGGAGAAAACCCACGATGTTGGAGAGTCCACCCTACTCCTTGTCACGAACAACCGGGGAATCGAAACCACGCCAGTTGACTCAATGGCAGACCTAATGATACAGTGCGCACGTGCTAACCATTCGACCATCAAACCCCGGCTTTAAAAGTGCATTATTAATATTTTTATTATAATATATATTTAGTATATTATGTCTGGTATTTTGTGCTATTCACGTACTATTCACAACATATCTATACATAACAGTGTTTACACCGATAAACAGATTTCTTTTATCTCGGCTGTGTAGGCAAAACGGAACTCTCCTTAAATATAATTCAATTTCAGTCATTCGTAGCCTATAATGCAGTTGTTGATTATATAAAAATTGTGGGTCATAAACAAGACAAACTACATATTGATTAGTTTACTCTTTTAAAGGGACAATAACACTCTTGCTGGATTGAAAGCTCCAGAAAAAAAATAATATCTCTATCTAAGTACTAGATGTTTAAGTGTCCTACCTGTTGTGTAAATTATCCATTACATTCTATTTTACTTGTCCAGAGGGTTCGAAAATATTTTTAAATCGATGTTTCATTTGAAAAGGTTTACGTTAGACGTTTCAAACCATTATGTTGAATTTTTCAAATTTTTTAAATAAGGTGTGTTAAGATGAAATTTGTATCATCAATTAATTGAAATATTCTAAAAAAGTACAATTTGTTGACCAGAATAAAGATAGGGACATATTATTCAGTTACAACAAGAGTGGTATTGAGCCTTTAAAGCTCGGGGGTTTCGATTCCCCGGTTGTACGTGACAAGGACTAGGGTCGCGTGTCCAACCTCGTGGGTTTTCTCCGGGTCCTCCGGTTTCCTCCCACTGCTAAAGACCCCTACGCGCAAGCGAATTATTGAAAAAAGATTGAACCATATGTTAGTCCCGAAATGACCTAGTCGCTCTCTCTCTCTCTCTCTCTCAATACCAACTACATTTAAATAATGGATTTTATTTTATAGAAAATGGCAGCCAGTGAATATGAAGCTCGTTTGTCAGGTTGTTTAAACGGAGCTGCAGCGTGTTTAGCTTTGTCTATAACACGAGAATCTGGATTATTAAAAGTTTTTATGGAGCCACATCAACCTATGACAATTCCACAGATAGCTTCTAGAACTAATCTTAAAGAACGGTGAGTCTATCATACTGTATCACAGGTAGCTTCTAAAACTAACCTTAAAGAACGGTAGGTAAAGAGTTGTTGGGTTGCCTAGTAACATCGAGTATTATATTGTATATTACAAGGTATATAAAAGAGTTATTGGGTTGCCTAGTAACATCAAGTATAATAGAAGTTGATGAAGCATCAGTCAAATATTTTGTACCAGATGAACTCAGATCAACTCTGGGTGGTAAACTGGAACATCTAGAATTATTGGACTACGCATCAGCACGTAAAGAAGACGTTAAAGCCTGTTTAGCGACTGGTGGACCAAATGGTAAGTAAGCATAGGCCTAATCGGGTAATGTTACCTAGCCCACCTCGTGTATGACATCAACCACGAATGACAGCTTAAAACCAATATCTACTAGTCAGTAGCTAAGTGGTTTAAATAAATACACAAGTATAGCAAAAAAAAAAGGAATCCCGGATAGCGACATGGGTGGCACCGGAACACGGGCGGGGCGCGAGAAATATTTTGAAAATTTGTGATATGACGCCGAAATTCCAAGATGGCTGCGATGACGTCATAGCCAGTTCCTGGTGCATCTGGTGCATAATACGGTGGTAATTGTTAGAATGATGTCCAACTTTAACAATATTCTAGTTTGCAACAGATTAACAATCAAACCAATGCCGTCCATAGACTTTAAAGATACATTATGGAAGATCAGATAAATGTAGACTGGCTTACTTTAGTTATATAAAGATACATTATGGAAGATCAGATAAATGTAGACTGGCTTACTTTAGTTAAAGATACATTATGGAAGATCAGATAAATGTAGACTGGCTTACTTTAGTTAAAGATACATTATGGAAGATCAGATAAAGATCTGGCAGTTCTCACTATAATAGTTAAAAACTAGATAATGTAAAGGGAATATGCTGAAAATTTCAATCAAATTGCTCGACTCTGAACCGGGATTGATTTTTCGGCCTAGCCTCGGTCATCATTACTAAAGTCGGTACGATAAAAATCATAGTCTCAATTATCCAATTTTTGATGTAATCATCAATGAGCATTGAGCAGCAGATCGGGTTCAAATCCAGTGACAATCCGACACGTAAGATGACATCGAGTGTTGATTAAGATCTTTTCATGTTAAAAAATGTCTAATTAATAGTTAATATAACATTTCAGGCCTAAAGAAAGACCTGCAATAGGCAGATTTACCTCTTGCATAATAAAAATCTTAAAATGTTTAAGGCCATTAAACCAATACAGGTGTTGTTGTATATTTCAGGGTTTATCGCACAGACGAAACCTGGCTACGCCGAACTACAAAAGAAATTCCGATGTACAGATATGGATATTGTGATCCAAGAGGAATTCTTTAACCATACACCGGATATAGAAAGAAAATTAGGTCAGTTAAAATGAAAGTAGATCGGATTAAATGAATCCAATTAAAACTAATTTCGTTCTGTTTACTCGATTAATTGGTCACACCATTAACCTAGAATAATATGTAAAACTCGTCCTGGGTCTGTGACGACGGTAGAATACCACGATAGGATAGCCAATCAAATAATTGTAGGTTCCCACTATCACGATTCGCGCTATTGGGAATCTAGCATGGCTGGATAGATAAAGCATTTATGGGATAGTGGGAAACTAACATAATTCTAGGTTCCCACTGCCACGCGATGCGTCACGATAGGATTGTCCCTATTGAGTTCACGATCTGTTATGTGCAGATACGTTTGGATACGTTTCGATACGAATAACGCGATTGCTACGACTGGCCTCAATATATGATAAGACCTGATAGGATCGCCACGTTCAATCCACGATTAAAACCACGATTTCAATCGTAGCACGAATCGTGATAGTGGAAACCTAGCATATGATGGAAAAGAACACCAGCGTATTCCCCTCACATTCCCCACTTCATGACTAGAGTGCGTTATAAACCCAACTTCCCCCTTGTCAGTGATGCAGGATGTAGGGCCTGACAAGGACAGCTGTCTAGTCGTTCGGATGGGACGAAAAACCGAGGTCCCGTGTACACATTGGCGTGCACGTAAAAGATCCCTTGGGAGTTGGAATTCGATATAAGAGTAGGCCGTAGTGCCGCTGCCCGGGCAAAATTTCCCTCATAGCACACTGTATGGCGTATGCCCGTCTTCATTAGCCCAGTTTAGGAGCAGAACAGTAGGACGTTAAAACCCATTTCATTTCATTTCATTTCATAAACCCAACTGAGCGAAACTGAGGATGATACCGGATGTTTACGACTACAGTGCCACACTGATCCGCAGTGAATATTTGCTAGGCCGCTACAATCACTGATAAGGATGACGTCGATGCGGCTTAATGAGCCAGAAATATTAACTTTTTTCCTGCGACAAATTAAATTCTAAAACATTTTTTTATGTATTGGAAAAATAAATAAAGGCGTTTGACGTATTTGTAGGTAAAAAGTATTTCCTATTTAGTGTAAATGGGTATTAAAATGACTAAAATGCAGCATTCTCTCCGAAGCAGTAACGTCTTATGTAAACAATGCACGCGCCATTCAGCCAATGATTGACGCCGCGTGCTGTGACAGCACGTGTTAAGGCAGTCATCTTTGACAGAGATATATCACTAGACTCGTAATTCTCTGTGAAACAGATTGCTACAGTGCGTGTAGTCATTGGTCAGAGCATCCTTGATATCGAACTCCTAGGCTTCAGTCTACCAAGCCTGTAGACAACTCCAATGTTTTTCACGGGATTGATTGGAACGTTAATGTAAAGTCAGTCAACGATAGTCAGAACTAAAAACCATTCCAATGCAGATAGAGAGAGAAATGGGGTTTAACGTCCACTCGACACAAACTAGGTCATTTCGGGACTAACATATGGTTCTATTTTATTTCAATAATTCGCTTGCGCGTAGGGGTCTTTAGCAGTGGGAGGAAACCGGAGCACCCGGCGAAAACCCACAAGGATGGAAAGGCGACCCTACTCCTTGTCACGTACATCCAGGGAATCTAAATCACGCCAGTTGACTCAATGACAGATCTTATGATACAGCGCAGATAATTTGACCATAGTACGAAATGGACGCAGCCGTGTGATATGTCCAAATAAGAAATAGCACAGTATATTTTATGAAAATGAATTTAACTATCGTTGTATTTTTCAGAGCGTGGAATAAATGTTTTGGAGATTGGTTGTGGATTGGGATCAATAATTATAGAACTAGCCAGTAGATATCCTAACAGTAGATTTATTGCATGTGATTACTCAGCAAAAGTTATTTCAAACGTCGCTAAAACTATAAAACAGAAGGGCCTGAAAAACATCAAGGCCAAGAAAGTCGACCTTCATCATCTTCCGAACAAATGGGCGGGAAGGTTTGATGTGGCTTATATACGGTATACGCTGCATGATCTAGGCCAGCCGATTAGAACTGCCATAGAGATAGTAAAAGAACTGAAAGATGGCGGTGTTATGCTCGTGGTAGAACTATTTCTCAAGGGAGATAACCACCGTGAAAACAAGGAAGACCCTCATGCACCGCTACACTTTATGTTGAGTGCATCGGTGTGTGTTCCTGAAAGTTTGTGCCAGAAAGGGGGTATTGGACTTGGTAGCACTTCAGGGATGAAGTCTCTGAAAAACGTTATTTACCAATCCGGAATACCAGTTTACAATATTCGGGCGTACGAACTTGGAGCTGTTCCGAATTCTTGTAAGTTCGTCTGTCGCAAATGATGGTCCCAAAAGAAGTATTGATGAATTTGTAGAACCAGACTTTTTATGTCACCGACCCAGTAAATTACCAGGACGCTTGATTAACCCAAAATCTTATTTACAATCGAGATTGACCTCCAATATGCACGATTTCAACTGTCTTATTTAATTACATTCCAATCATCTATATTTGTATAGCCATATATTATCCATTAACATCACACGTCGATCATTTGTAGGTAATGGCCCTAATACACTAAGGGGGGGGGGGCTGAATGGTTATCACGTGCGCGCTGTACCATAAAGTCTGTCATTGATTCAACTGGCGTGGTTTCGAATCACCGGTTGTATGTGGCAAGGAGTAGGGTCGCCTGTCCAACCTCGTGGGTTTTCTAAGGGTCCTCCGGTTTCCCCCCACTGCTAAAGACCCCTACGCGCAAGCGAATTATTGAAATAAAATTAAACCATATGTTAGTCCCGAAATGACCTAGTTTGTGTCGAGTGGACGTTAAACCCCAATTCTCTCTCTCTCTCCCTAATACACTAAACAGAACAGTATATCCTGAGACTCGATAACCTGATAGTATAAAAATTCGCCCTTGTTGTAGTCCGACAATACTCGGGCTAGAAACGGCATCTAACAACAAGAAATGAAAAGAAACGTCCTACTTTTCTGCACCGACTGGGATAATGATGACGAGCATACGTCATACAGTGTGCTATATGAGGGAACGTTTTCAGGGATATCGGCGCCTACTCTTATATCGACTTTCAACTGTCAAGGGTTCTTTTACGTGCAAAGCAAATGTGTACACGGGACTTCGGTTTGTCCTTCTATCCGAACAACTAGACACCAGTCAGTGCCAGACTCTTGGCCCTGCATCACTAACATTGGGGAAATCATGTCGTAAAAGTCCGAGGAAGTGTATCTAAGAATCACAGTGTAACAAATTTATTGTAGTCATTTTTTTTATATCTTTCTGTATTTTAAAGTCATTGATCTTTATAACTCGCACAATGTGTAATTTGTCACGGCTGAACCTCGTGGGTTGTCCCCGGGTCCCCCATTTACCTTCCCCTTCTCTCTCCCCCATGCTAAAATTCACCGACTCTGTTTATTCAATAACATAAAAATATTAAACGTACAAAATATAAAATCACCCAATCTGATTAAAACACAGATCCTATTTCGTATCGTTTCTTATAGTTCAAAATTTTGTTTACTTATTTTTTATACTGTAGGGTATAATAAAACGAAACGAAATATATATCTGTATTTTAATCAAATTGAAAATCTCCCGATGTGGATTCAGACGGATTAAAATGAAGCCTGTCAGCTGATTTCAGCGAAAATTATAAGTGGGACTGGTTGGGTTTGAACATATCATATATATCGTTAGCAAGGAAGATGCCGACTGTTGAATAATAACAGATTGTTAGCTCATTATATCTTTAGTTTAAAGAAGGCTAGTCCCTAACTCATTATCATCCACGGTCTTCGACAATGTAACCACGACTATGGTCAATTTAAATTAACATTGTACCTTGCCAGGCCCTCCATCGTGCACCAGCGACAAGAGGAAACCACGAGGAACTGTATCGGGCAATACCGGTAGCGAGGCAGCGGCATACTCACTGAGCCACCGCCGCTCTTTCGAAAAATAAAAGTAGTATTAGATTAGGTTTGTTTTTTTTAGTAATATTTATTCCCAGAAAGACATTAATACAATTACAATTACGATAGAATCATTAATTACTCATTAATTTATTTACAATATAAAATCTTGTTTTTGGTCTTTTGCATTTTAGCTTAAAAATTTCAAAATTGTGTAAGTAGAGTTAAAACCCTTTTTTTTCCCTTTTTTTAAAAAAGAAAATAATATAAAATATATAATTTACAATGAAGAGATATGTATCAAACGTGGCTTTTACTTAACACAGAGTTAATGCAAAACATCTTAAAGCGGAAATTGCAAATTTTCTAAGAAAGTCAAAACGTAATTATTTCTATGTCTTTTGCTCAATAGGTTGTCAACTCACAATTATACGATTATAGGTGTCATTCTCACACTTAAGATTCATTTACACAGGAAATAATAACACAATTACCTCCCAATTACCCCCCTTGTTTTCTATTCTCCACCATGGAGTAGCGATATTCAAACGTTTGAAAATGAAGAGGAAAATGATATTTTTGCCAATTTCTCAGCTGGCAATAGTGAATTATAGGATTAATAGGATTATTCTTTAACAAGGTAGGACTGTTTATGGATATCATTTATATTCAGGCTTTATTTTAATAAATTTTAAAAATATAACTTAAAAATTTGCAATTTCCGCTTTAAGGTAAAAGAGTCTAAAGGCCGTTTGTCTGGGTTATTTAGGCCACCTTGAGAGAGAGAGAGAGAGAGAGAGAGAGAGAGAGGGGAGAGAGAGAGAGAGTTTAACGTCCACCCGACGTCCACATTACTATGGTTTGATTTTATTTCAATAATTCGCTTGCGCTGAGGTGTCTTTATCAGTTGGAGGAAACCGGAAGACCTGGAAAAAAACCCACGAGGTTGGACAGGCGACCCTACTCCTTGTTACGTACTACCGGGGAATTGAAAACACGCCAGTTGACTCAATGACAGACCTTATGATACAGCACGCACGTGCTAACCATTCGGCCGTCCAACCCCCCTAATCTGCTAAAGTTAGAGTACAATTATCCGCATGTTGGTATAGTAAGGACGAGCGTGGAGATCCAGGCTCAAATGTTCTTAACGACGCCTGCATATATTCAAATTAAGATAAGATTTAGATAAAGAGCTGACAGTACCCTAACCCCTGTTACCATTGTTTGTCGTGTATTTTGTACACGAGGAGCAGTCCATTTGCCGATTACACTATTTTGCTTGAATACACTATTTTGCCTATAACGTTTTTTAGGACTTCGAATTCTGTCTTATGGTTTGGATTGTTCGTACTTGGTTTTATTTTATTTATAATAGTTTAAAAATATATAATGAAATGTGAATATGGTGAATATTTCAGGCAAATTACTTCACTATGAGTAGAGTTATTGTGTATGAAGACCAGTGTAGTCTTGATTAACATTGCTACCGTTGTTACAATAATAAACAAAATCTCGATTATCCATTTTATAATTAAATTATTAGCTGTCAATCGTGTTTAAATCCGTTGAAAATCAAAACCATTCGATGATCTAGAGAGTTGATTATGAACTGATTTAAGTAAATAAATGTCTAATTAATGATTTATATAACATTTGGGACCAAAAACAAAGATCTGCACAGGGGGATCAGATGACTAAGTGGGTAAGACGCTGGCTCGGTAGCCTGGAGGTCGGATGTTCGATCCCTGCATTGGCCGAGAAAGTCCATCCAGATTTTCTGGCGTTGTTTCCCCTTGTCAGTGATGCATGACGGAGGGCCTGACAAGGACAGCTGTCTAGTCTTTCGGGTGGGACGAAAAACCGAGGTCCCGTGTACACATTGGAGTGCACGTAAAAGATCCCTTGGCAGTTGGAAGTCGATATAAGAGTAGGCCGTAGCGCCGCTGCCCGGGCAAAATTTCCCTCATAGCACACTGCATGGCGTATGCCCGTCTTCATTAGCCCAGTTTAGGAGCAGAACAGTAGGACGTTAAACCCCATTTCATTTCATTTCATTTTTTTCAGATCTGCATCTTATAGAGATAATATTCTGTTTTGAAATTTTAAACTTTCTGGAACACACACGGTAGTACTGGGTATGAAACACTTTGTTGCCATGGGATCCTCCTTATTCTCACGGTGGTTATCTCCCTTGATTACTATTTCAACAATTAAAAGGACTCCATCATCTTTCAGAACCTTGACCAATCCCTTTGCACCTTTCGATGGACTGCCCATATCATGTAAGCAATCACGGATATAAACCACATCAAACTTCCCCACCCATTCGTCCGGGAGTTGATAAAGATCAGCTTGCTGGGCCTTGATGTTCTTCAAACCCTTGTCTTCAATAGTTTTAGCGACGGTCGCCATGGCTTGCGGTGAGTAATCACTTGCTATAAATCTACTGTTAGGATATCTACTGGCTAGTTCTAGAATTACTGGACCCAATCCACAACCAAACTCCGCAAAATCTATTCCATTCTCTGCAAAATATCAACTAGCATACAAAGTAATCAATTTATTAAATTCTTTACCCATCTACATTTAAAAGGCCGCCTCTTATTTACGAAATAGCGTGAAGTTAACACCAACCACGTCCAGTCTTTGCGTGAGGTTAAAACCAACCACGTCCAGTCTTTCCGTGTAGTTAAAACCCACCACGTCTTGTCTTTCCGTGTAGTTAAAACCCACCACGTCTTGTCTTTCCGTGGAGTTAAAACCCACCACGTCTTGTCTTTCCGTGGAGTTAAAACCCACCACGTCCTGTCTTTCCGTGGAGTTAAAACCCACCACGTCTTGTCTTTCCGCGAGGTTAAAACCAGCCACCTCATGTATTTCCCTGGAGTTAAGAAAGGGCCTAATGGAATTTCAAAATGTTCGGATCATAAAATTAAAATGCGTTCAGCAGAAATATTTTGCCGTTTACATTTAAGACATCAATTCCAAAACGTGTATTGGAACAATCGTGTCATATCGATTTTGGAACCTCAAGAACGTACTGTACTGGACTCGACTGTTCTTTTAACGTCTGCTTCCACAATGATGATATCACGAGACAAAATCCAGGGGAAGGCAAAGGTTGTTCCTGTATTTTAACATATTAGAATATGATTTTGCAATCTTACCATTTGCATGGATTGTTTTAGTATTAAAAACAGACGTCCAATCTTGGGCACATGACGAACATGAGTGCGGGATATTATATTGTCATAATTTAAGTAACTTACCCAATTTCTGTTTAACCTCAGGAGTACGAGAAAAGATTTCGTCCTCAATAACTGCGTCTAGATCAAAACATAACATATTGCTGAGGATTTCTCCAAATCTGGGAAACGATTGTCCAGAATATCCTGCAATATAAAACACCGTGTAACATAGCATGGTGGTGAAGACGAAACATATACTGGAAGTCGGTACTGAAACTGAGGACTCAGGCTATGGACATTGCTGTCAATTCTATAAGAACAACCAATATTGATCCTAGCATTGTTCCTTTCTGGATGCCCCATAGGATAGTTGGAAAGACCATATCACATTTTGTTCTGAATCGTTGGTCAAATGGCTGAACGCTCCAGTCTCAAAGGTGTTCAGAGGTATAGCTATGCAAGACACGTGGTAATATTTAACGTCCGCTTTCAAAGGAATCATATCGCAAGACATTAGCAAGAAGCCAAGGTTAAAGGTCACACGCCTGGTAGCCGCGGAGGCTCAGTAAATATAGAGTTGACTCGCAATTCAGGATGTCCTGGTGTTGGAATGAAGAGCCTGTCGCACCAATTCCAATTAATTTCCTTAAATAAGGCGCAAACGTGAATTTTAACCTTCAGTGTCCGATAAGCTACATGTTGCTGTCTAAGCTCGATCTAGTGAGGGCTGATTGTATTAAGGTTTCAATCAGCTGCAGTAGGGCCATGGAAAGCGTACTCCTGCTGCGAATGGATGAAAAAAAAAAGATCTATATCATGGACGTCCCAAAAATGATCTATATTTAGATTTTAAATTCCATTCCCATAATATACTAAACTAAAACGGGTGTATTTACCCTTTGGTCCATCCATTTTCAGACAGGTTTTAACATCTTCTTTACGTTGTATAGCAAAATCTATCAACGCTTGGAAATTCATCACGCGAACCAGAGTTGATCGGAGTTCATCTGGTAAAAAATATTTGATTGATGCTTCATCAATTTCTATTATACTCGATGCAACTAGGCAACCCAATAACTCTTTTATATACCTGGTAATATACAATATAATACTGGATGTTACTAGGCAACCCAATAACTCTTTTATATACCTGGTAATATACAATATAATACTGGATGTTACTAGGCAACCCAATAACTCTTTTATATACCTGGTAATATACAATATAATACTGGATGTTACTAGGCAACCCAATAACTCTTTTATATACCGGTAATATACAATATAATACTGGATGTTACTAGGCAACCCAATAACTCTTTTATATACCTGGTAACGTACAACATTATACTCGATGTTACTAGGCAACCCAATTACTTTTTTATATACCTGGTAATGTACAATTTAAACACAACCAGCCTCATCAGGTGGTGTACGACAAGGTGTGTGTTCATCTGCCTAACATCGTGAAGTTTATCCAGGATCCCCCCCACCCCCTCATCTACTTTATAACAATTTTATGGTAATGATAGATCCACCGTTACGATTAGTAAAAACAATATCTGTGACAAAGGTATGATAGACCTACCCGTTCTTTAAACATACATAATACAAGAGCTAAATCTGCCTGTTTCAGGTCTTTCTTTAGGCCTGAAATCTTATCTAAATTATTAATTAGACATTAATTAACTTATCCAGACCATAGTCAACTTTCGATGTCATGGCTAGCCTGCGATATTTATTGGATTAGGATCGGCGCAAATTTCATTCATGATTTAATCATGAAATGAATAATCGAGACCATGTTTTTTATCGTACCGACTTTAGTAATGATGATCGAGGCTAGGACGAAAATTCAATCGCTAAATACTCGGTTCACAGTCGTTCGATTTGACTGAAATTTTCAGCAAATTCCCTTTACATTATCTAGTTTTTAACTATTATAGTAAGAACTGTCAGCTCTTTATCAAACCTCCCATAATGTATCTTCAAGGTTAGTTTTAGAAGCTATCTGTGATACAGTATGATAGACCTACCGTTCTTTAAGGTTAGTTTTAGAAGCTATCTGTGATACAGTATTATAGACCTACCGTTCTTTAAGATTAGTTTTAGAAGCTATCTGTGGAATTGTCATAGGTTCATGTGGCTCAATAAAAACCTTTAATAATCCAGATTCTCGTGTTATAGACAAAGCTAAACATGCTGCAGCGCCATTTAAATAACCTGATAAACGAGCTGCATATTCACTGGCTGCCATTTTCTGTAAAATAAAACCGTAGGCGTCATTCTAACTTATATCACAAGGGCGGGATGATTACCCAATGCTACCAACAAATACTACCTCATTGTAAAAACTAGGTTGCCAGGCAATGAAGAATACGCCCATAGCAGCTAAATCGTCCGTGGCGGTGGCTGGGTGGCGGGGAGGGGGGGGGGGCAAAGGTTGTCGCATATTAATTCTCTTGTAGGTTATGGTGGACATTTACAAGACAATTTCATACAGTTCAGATTATAATTATCGTTGTTTGAGGTTTCACAATGTTCTACAAACCGAAACAAGGGCCTTAACTCTGGAAGTAGTTTACAGAAATTGTTGAAATTTGACAGCAGGCTTTTTCGTTTCACTAATCTTAATAATGCATATAAACTTCAAAACACATCGGGTGATTGCTTTTGTCATTCGAGCGTTCACAAAGTATAACAAAGTGAAACAAGGGCCATAACTCTAGACCAGTGATTCTCAACCAGTGTGCCGCGGCACACAGGTGTGCCCCAAAATCTTTCTAGGTGTGCCGCGAAATTTTGAACGGCACACTAAGACAATTTCTGACTAAAGAAGCCAGTTATTTGATTGATGAAATTCGAAGAACTGCAAAAAAGTAAGTTCTTTATAGTTATTTTGAGTCATTCTATGTGTCTATGACTAGTCTGTGTCTACGGTTGTATGCCGTCTATGACTTGCCATGTTTTTATTTTGAAAAATTCAAATATTTTTCATATATATATAGCTAGGTGTGCCGCTATATTTTCATGTGTTCCAAGGTGTGCTGTTGGCAAAAAAAGGTTGAGAACCACTGCTCTAGACGTACTAAATAGAAATTTCTGAAATTCAATAGCCACGGTTTTCAATGGTGCATACAAATTCCATACAGATCGGGTTATAACTTTTGTCGTTAGAGCGTTCACACGGTCCAACAAAGTGAAACAAGGGTCATAACTCCAGAATAAATTAACGGGAATTATTGAAATTAAATAGACTTCTTCATCTCCCCAATGTAAGCTACACGTATCAAGTTTAAAAATATCAGGTGATAAATGTAGACTGTAAAGCAATTGTGGACGACGGGGGTATACCACCACATTTCCATGTGGGAGTATAAAAACTGACAGAATATTTCAATTATTTTTAAAACATTCGTGGAAAAATTGCCCAAAAGAAATAAGACAAATTCAAACGGCTCGCCATTCCAGTTATCTCCCTTAACCACCTAATTTTTAATTTGTATTGGGTGGTATTGAGTAATATTTGGTAAATCGTCATGTCGTTTCACAATGCCCCCCCCCCCGCAATGAAATTAACCGGGTCGTTACCGTTACATATTGCAACAGAAATTTAACGGACCGTTAACAAACAACATGTTAGCGAGATAACGATCCGTTAGAGTTTTACGAATCGTTAAAATAACTTAGTTTTAAGCAACCGGTCCCAGCTAGTTATCTATATCTCAAATAATGCCCGTCGGAGCGGAACACTACATAATGCAATTATTATTTGCTATGCAAGTAGACGTCTATATGATTTCTTAATACATAAAAAAAATTGTTTATGATATTGGTAATAAATCTTATGTATGTGTTACTCTCTCTTTACACATGCTCAGATTAAAAGAGAGAGAGAGAAATGGGGTTTAACGTCCACTCGACACAAACTAGATCATTTCGGGACTAACATGTGGTTTCATTTTATTTCAACAACTCGCTTGCGCGTAGGGGTCTTTAGCAGTGGGAGGAAACCGGGGGACCCGGAGAAAACCCACGAGGTTGGACAGGCGACCCTACTCCTTGTCACGTACAACCGGGGATTCGAAACCACGCCAGTCGACTCAATGACAGACTTTATGATACAGCGCGCGCACCCATCCACCCCCCCGCTCAGATTAAAGATTTGGGGAGCAGGGAACTGGGCTGCAACCAAATTAGTTTTTCTAAAAATAAATTGTACAATAAATATAGGGAGCACGTTGGAAATTTGATTATTTATATAATGCGTGTAATTTATAATTTTGTAACTTTATGATTTTATTTAATATGTTTGTGCCAAATAAATATCTACCATACTGCAGGGGGTGGGGGTGGAGGGGGGCGAATGGTTAGCGCGTGCGTGTTGTATCATTAGGTCTGTCACTGTGTTAACTGGCGTGGTTTCGATTCCCCCGGGTGTATGTGACAAGGATTAGAGTCGCCTGTCCAACCTCGACGGTTTTCTCCAGGTCCTCCTGTTTCCTCCCACTGCTAATGATCCCTACGCGCAAGCGAATTATTGAAATAAAAAATTAAACCATACGTTAGTCCTGAAATGACCTAGTTTGTGTCGGGTGGACGCTAAACTCTCTCTCTCTCTCTCTCCTCTCTCTCTCTCTCTCTCTCTCTCTCTCAGTATACTGAAATACAAATTGCATTTATGTGTGTGAGACAGATAATGCCCAGAATAGGCCCCTAATAATAACTATTGACACACTTTTCTGGTTCACAGATTAATTTGATATGCTGAGCTGAATAAATGATTGTATTGTGTCTACATCAAGCGGTCATTCCACTTTTCCTTATCTCCAATTCAAAGTTAAACTTACAATGGTCAGTTGTGTCCGATTCTTCCTTTGTGAATATAATATACCACGCACAGTTTTCCAGGGTGTCCTATGTACTTCACGATGTACGCATAACGATGTACGCATGTCAATAGAGACTATAGTTTATGCAAATTAAAGTGTCAGGTTAAATACACGGTAACTTAGTCATGCTGCTTATATGCATCGTTCCGGACAAAAGCAAATTTTCACCTATTGCATTATGGAATATGGTCTACCAGTGAGAGTGACCTAAAATTGCAATCCTAAGTGGCTTGGGAGCTGAAATTTCGGCAGACATAGTTTTTTCACATAGCAGAAATCTTGAAGATCCAAGATGGAAAGCTAAACTTATGGATAGCATTTGAGGAAAATTTGTCGCTTTTGTCAGGAAGTCCATAATATATTCATTTCAAATCTGGTCCTAAGAGGGGCCATACCGAAAAGTCGGAGACCTCGGAAATCCGAGAGGGGTTCACTAGTCCGTGGGTTTGCTAGTCTGACGCTGTAAGAAATACTATAAATATAGGAAATATAGGTATCAAAACACCTAATCCGAACCCTAACCCTAACCCTAATAATAGATAGCGGTGGAATAGTGAACCCGGGGACTAGTGCACCTTAACCCCAACCCTAACCTAACCCCTAATGATAGATATCGGTGGACTAATGAACCCGCGGACTGGTGAACCCGCGGACTAGTGAGCATTCCCCGGAAATCACGGGAAACGATTTTCCGAGTTTTATCAGTTCTCGAACACAGTCTTGACAGTTGCTTAGCTTTTTTTGTCACCATGGGCGCAGTGGGTCCTCCAGTATAACAATCGAAAGATAAACGCCCGCAAAGGGCTTGGAGCTTCTCATTTTTCGTCAGGGACAGAATCTTAAATGCCCCCCAAAAAATTCGGGTTACAGACGACGGTGCCGGTCATCTGCGAGAGGCGAAGGAGCGGGGCCCCCTCCAAAAAAAAAGAAGAAAATTTGGAAAGTTTGACGGGCCGCAAACGCGTTTTCCTGGCGCGAATCGTGATAGTGGGAACCTTGCATTAAGACGGTTGTATTAACATCGTCTATTTCTAACGTAAAATCTCACTGGTTTGCACGCATGAAATGAATTGTTAGACCTTTTATGCTCCTTAACGCCGTCACATGTGCAAAAATAAAATAGATATTTGAGTAATGTCCTTGTTGAATAAGTAAGCCATTTCACGTTTCACCGGTGTCATCTTACCAAAATAAACCTAGAAATATCAGATAAGTTTATACATAAAATGGTCCCGTGATGCATAGGCGTACGAACTCGATGATTGTTTGAATATTTAATTGCCGCAAACGCATTTTCCTGTTTTTCCAGCCCGTGAATACAGCAACCTCAATATAGTCCAGTATAGCCTACCTTAGGTGACCTTCCTGAATTCCAAATCCCAAACAACCCATCAATCCTCGATGGGTATGGGGGACTCGCGCTCCCCGAGAAAATTTTGAAAATTTAACCGCCACAAATGCATTTTTCTGCTATTCTAGACCGCAAATGAAGCAACTTCAAAGTTTCCAATCGGTTTGCAACCGAAATCTCACTTTATGCCGACCTGAAATCCATTCATCCGATCAGAATGTTGCAGCTATATTCACAAATAATAATCGATGCCGAAAATTGTCGCACAAAGTAGAGTGGCTCCAAATAAAATGTAGTAGGCTTGGTAGATTTTTTGCTCTTTAAATTAATAGCATTGTATTAATAATATACTATTCAAAAAAAGTAGGGGATATTTGATTTTTAAGTGTTATTAAAGTCACCTAATGAAACTAACGAAGAAACAAATGACAAAATGAAATGAAATTCACATTCATCGATTTATTCCAAATGATCGTTAGACTAAGTAAGGCACAGACTGACCATTATAAGGGTAAAATGATACCCGGGATCAAACAGCAAAGTTACCACAGCATCACAACCAAGTCAGTAACGGGTAAATCCTCCTCTGTTTGCCAAACAAGCATTGATCCGACGTGGCATACTCCTAATGAGACGTCTAAATCATTTTGGTCCAGATTGTCCCATTCCTGTTGCAACGCAGCAGCAAGTTCTTGGACATTGGCAGGACGTTGTTGACGTTGACGTAACCTCTGTCCAAGCATGTCCCGGACATGCTCGATGGGGGGAGAGGTCGGGACTCAGTGCTGGCCAAGGTAATGTGGTGATGTTCTGTTGTTGGAGGTAACCTGTAACGATCCTGGCCCTGTGACATCTTGCGTTGTCATCCTGGAAGATGAAACGGCGGCCATGACGTCGTGCGAACGACACAACATGGACTGCCAAGATGTTGTCCCGGTAGTACTGGCCTGTAACACGCCCTGCAACAACATGTAAAGCCGTTCTTCCAGCAACAGTGATGCCTCCCCACACCATAACAGAACCACCCCCAAATCGATCATGTCTGATGACGTTAACGTCTTGGAAGCGCTCGTTTCGACGACGCCACACCCTCCTACGTCTGTCCAAAAAATCAACAGTGAACCTTGACTCATCTGAAAACATCACATTGCTCCAGCGTCGATTATCCCAGTGTTGATGATCCCTACACCAACGACGTCTTGCCTGAATGTGATGATCTCTCAAACAAGGGATCACGCAAGGACGTCAGGCGCGAAGGTGACCCCTATGCAGTCGATTCCGAATCGTCTGGCCACTCACTCTCACACCAGTGTCTGTTTGAAGACGAGCGCTGATCTGATTTGCTGTGATGACACGATTTCTCAAGGCCAAGGTACGGATAAATCGATCCTGGGCTTGAGTTGTCGCCCTTGGTCGACCTGAGCGTGGTCTGTCCTGTACAGATTGTGTATCACGGTATCTGGACCATAGCCTGCTTATGACAGACTGAGAAACATTCATCGTCCGCGCCACAACCGCCTGTGTTGTGCCGATCTGTAGCATGCCAAGGGCACGTAACCTTTCATTTTGGGTAAGCCGACGCATATCAAAATTTGTTTTCTGGTCACTAAAACAATTAAACTGGCGTTTCCACCCTGGAATTCAATGCCACAATGACTGTAACATTCAAAGTCAGAGTCGTGCAAATCTTGGGTTGGACCCCCGTGATGATCCCAAGCATCACCTGCATTCCATGCGGTAGCTATTGGTGCGTTTGGGCGTCACATGTAACTGGAAATGTTTCTTCTGTTAGGTTCTATAGTGACTTTTTTCGTAGTCATTTGCATATTTTAGTATTATGTCCCCAAAATCAAATATCCCCTACTTTTTTTGAATAGTATATATCTTTAAATAATTGTTATTTAGGGGATCACGTGGCTAAGTGGGTAAGACGCTGGCTCGCTAGCCTGGAGGTCGGGTGTTCGATCCCTGCATTGGCCGAGAAAGTTCATCAAGATTTTCCGGCGTGGCTCACCCTTGTCAGTGATGCAGGACGGTGGGCCTGACAAGGACAGCTGTCTAGTCCTTCGGATGAGACGAAAAACCGAGGTCCCGTGTATACATTGGAATGCACGTAAAAGATCCCTTGGCAGTTGGAATTCGATAGTAGGCGATAGTGCCGCTGCCCGGGCAAAATTTTCCCTCATAGCACACTGTATGGCGTATGCCCGTCTTCATTAGCCCAGTATAGGAGCAGAACAGTAGGACGTTAAACCCCATTTCATTTCATTTCATTTAAATAATTATTAGATTAACATGTTGTATAGAAGTCGTGTCTCATATGCATTAAAATAATGAGTGATGGATTTAGACATAAAAACAGTTATAATTTGGTAAACATTTAATTCTGGGTTAATAACAAAATATCACGTGTGACAATTCTGGTGGTAAGTTTCCACTGTCCATATAAGAGTGGTTTTCGACGTCATTAGACTAAGTAACCAATCGTTATAATTAATAACGTCATATTTGACCAATTAGATAATTGAAGGTCCAAACCCAAAGCTACAAGACTATCATATCTCTGAGCATTCGTCAGATGTAGCAATTTCTATCAGCAGACTCTCTTCCAGCGAGTCGGGTGGATTAGGTTTGAGAGAATGACTTTATTGTAATCTATTATGCATTGTACCATATGTATCCAGTGCTTTATATAAAATGTAGAACTTAACTGTTGCATTGTTATTCCTGGTGAGACAAACTGCTTAACTAATGAAAAGATAAACGTTTTAATGAGATAGTAAGAAGAAAATACATAACGTTATGAAAAGGAAGCCAAAGCAGACAAGTGCAAATACTAGACGATCACAAGGCTACTAAGATATGTAGTAAGAAAAGAATGCATGGGTCATACGCCTGATTTTAGCACGTCTGACAAACGACCCATGGTGCTACAAAAATGCTTTAAAGGCTCAATACCACTCTTGTTGTAACTGAATAATATGTCCCAATCTTTATTCTGGTCATAAAATTGTACTATTTTACAATATTCCAATTAATTGATGATACAAATTTCATCTTAACACATCTAATTTAAAAAATTGGAAAAATTCAACTAAATGATTTGAAAAGCCTAACGTAAACCTTTTCAAAAATGTGACTTGGATTTAAAAATATTTTCGAACCCTCTGGACAAATAAAATAGGATGTAATGGATAATTTACACAACAGGTAGGACACTTAAACATCTAATACTTAGAATAAGGCTATTATATTTTTTTCTGGAGCTGTCAAGCCAGCAAGAGTGTTATTGTCCCTTTAATCCATAGTAAAATCAGTACAAAATCGTGGCATTCATGTAAAAGAAAAGTAAATTTAGTGTTTAGATGAAATAATAATTTTTGTTTTCACCCGTCTGCCCAAGAAGTCAGATTGCCTGAAAGTTAGGGGGCAGCTCCCCTCCCCCACTCGCCCTGCTCCCTGGCTCGTGCGCCTATATGGACATGTCCTCTAATTCGCGGGCCTAGCACTGCAGCTGTTTTCATCATTGCACTGATGTCATCGTGGTCAAGTTGCAGAAAAGAGTAAGTTCGTGTTGGTGACGAATGTGGGTTCACCCAGCTGTTTCTTCTTGACGAATCCAAGTCAATTCATCGCAATGGTATAGATAGACGATGTCTTAAAGTTAGTTTAGCTACAGCCAACTCCATCTCGACCCTA